GCGTGTCCAGAACGATCGGGCTTTAACGGTAGTCGACACCGAACACTAACAACATTCTTGTTTTTCCACCTACAACCGCTCATGCACACTGTGGCAGGGAACGAACGTGTATCAGGGTATGGATCAAAGTCCTGGCTTAATTCGTAGTGGTAAAAGATACTCTGCACCTAGGGAAACATACATCAGGCTCTGAGGAACCAATTTCAGCGACCGAACAATTTACCTAACAGAAAAAAAGATACGACTCAAATCGATGACCACAGTGAGCTGAGACACTATGCAAATGATAGCGGAAGAGTTTATCTGACCGAAAAACTGCATGACCTGACTGACGACCAGAACTGATAGGGTGGTTGGAACTTCATGAGAGTACCTGCGGTACCTCGCACTATCTCCTGTCACAATGCAAAGAGATCATGAGTATCTTAAATAACTTTGAAAGTGCTCATGCGAAAAAGGGAAATTTACGTTCATTAACAACTTGTTCGTTTCCGAAGCAGGGTTTCTTTCACACTTGTATTATCTCTTATTCTCCATAGCTTTATCTCAAGGCCCTCCCCAGCAATGCTACGACGTGTCCTAGACGACATCAAGTCTATCTCTCTGTCAGCACAGTCAACTTGGAGGACGACTTACTGAACAATCTTCCCCCACAAAAGTGACGTGTTTATTCAACGCATTAACGGCGGTGCGATAGTTACTTCGTTCTTTTGTGTGGTTCCATGTTGAAGGGCTACATGGCACGTTGTAATACCCCAACCACACTTGACGCGGATGCGTGATGGTGAATCCGAGTTGACTTCACATTGACTGAGGAGATGGTTGAACCCAAGTTGGGTCACGTGGTAGATCACAGAGGATCCGGGCCGCATGGGGTACCCCAGTAAGCTGATGTTCTCAACGTCACACGCAGGATCTTCAAGTTGCCATTATTATAAAGGCTAGCGCTCCTAGTCATGGCTCTCACCTCGTCGTTGCTGGCGTCGACGACTCCAAGTGTCATCGCACCAGCAGACATTACCATCGGCCATGTGTAAGCTTCTATCCTTCGTGGTTGCTCGTCACTAAAACGTTCCGTAGGCAACTTCGAGATTTAATCATATGTCCACGCGAGGCCGGGATCGTCAATTACGTTCATAACAAGTCGATTATTGAGCATGACCTTCATGCTCCAGACTTGGTGCGTTTTCATTTATCTTTGTCTTTATGTGATGTAAGGGTCGCAGGACGATTCTCATTTATGGCTCCTAGGCACCAAGACTTGTAGCCGATCTCTCATTCATCCCAAACACACTTTCTTCTTTAACCCTTTCTGATTCCCCGCACACACTCCTCGCAGCAGGTGGTCAGGACACCGAGATTCACCTCTCACTTCACAGCCCATCGCGTACCCGTGCGCTCTGGCAGTTCTCCCGCAAGCTCAGTGGAAGCATCAACAATTCCGTCCTCCTTTCACGCGCATTCGACAGTTCTAATGAACCACGACTTGTTGTAAGTAATAATGACTGGACAGTTCGCCTCTACGACGTGCCCCTCCGAGCCCGTTGGGCACAGGACCTCAGATGCTGTGGGGCCCTCAGGCTCAAGGAGCCTGTGAATCATTGTACGTTATCATCCCACGTGTGAGTAAATAACTCAACCCTGTGGACATGTACAGCCTCCATATCGCCCGACGGCCGCACCTTACTCTCAGTCGGAGACTCTCCTCGGATCTACCTTCACTCTCTTTCAGGCAGCGCTCGGCTTTCCTTCAATCGCGTCACAACATTGCAGATCCCGTCCGCCATCTCCATCCATCCCAACTCTCTCGTAGCGTCCTTTAGCACCGCATGGAGCGCCGACGGACTTAAGTTTGCTGTTGCTTGTCAAGAAGGAGTTGTCGCAATCTGGGACGTGCGAAGCACAAAGCCGCTAAAGGTGCTGCATACGGGTCGTGAGAGGGGCGGTGGTGACAACGGGTGGATGAGTGATGACCCATGGGACTGGGCACGCAGAACCTCACGTGCCCCAGGATGGGGTGCGCGGAGCGTCAAGTTCGGATGTGGCGGAGTTGGCGCCCGGGCAGGCCACGAGATAATGACGTATACTGAGGTGTGCACGAGTTCGGAGTATCTTCGTTTTATACTCAGGCTGATCATGGGAATTTATACAGCACACCAATCTCCTGCACGTCCTCGACGCTCGAACATTCGAAACTGAGGAAATCATCCGCGTGCCCGACATCTCTTGCAGCAAAACTCCTCCTACTCATACACGCACCCTTCCACTACTTAGGCATTCAGGGGGGCGACTGAGTGCACGTACCGCACGCCGCGACGACAGCGTTGTCATCATACCTCCGCACGGTGTACTGCCCCGGACGATGTCATGGACGAGCGCACCGCCCTCGAGGATGTCGGATCGAACAGGTGGCAGTGATGAGGGCGATATGATGGACCTCGATGAGCTCGAGGTGGACTGCTTGTCACGTGGGGGCTCGCCACCTCCAATGAACTTGCACCGCACCCCAAGCCCATATCGGCCCATCAGCCCATCGCCTCTCTCTTCCCAAACATACCGTCCCGCAAGTCCGCCGTATCGCCCCTCAAGCCCTCCGTACGGCCCCACAATCATAACACCCGGATTTCACCCCCACCTGCCAGTGCGTCCGCGGCGAACACATGGGGAGGAAGGAGAAGTCGATCGTGCAGGAACGGTGGCAGAACATGAAGATGCGGATATTGCAGGGACGTGCTTCGATCCAACAGGAGGTTTCCTGTACGTGGCGACGACGGCTGGTGTTGCTGAGTGGGCCGTACGTGGTTCGGAAAAGCGTTGGTGGGGAAGTGGACAGTGGGCTTAGGGTCCCGTTCGTGCTTCCCCTCAATGTTTCAATGCACACGTATGTCTTTTCACGATTTTGGGACGTGTTACAAATACTTCTCTGCGGATCTGGTCATATGTACTCTTGTGCTCAAGTGGTTTGATCTACTACTCTGTTTCAGATTATTATTACTAGGGTCACATTGCTGTCTTCCTATCCCTTCTTTGTTATCGTCTTTTCATGTGCACTTACTCACATCGTGCTTTCTCGTGTCTGATCGTACTCATCTCATGTACTGTACTAGTTGCATTTCTATATTCCGTTTCTGATGTTGTATACGTACACACCCACGAACTTGATACCAAACACGCTAGTGAATTTATGATGTATTCATTTCTGTTGTACATCACTCTTTCGTTGTATTATTGGGGCTATCCTTTGGTAGAATTTCTGCCAAGGAATAAGACTTTCGACGCTTTGTCCCGGAAGGGGATGTGGCATAGCCATCATGCACATGCTGCTTCGCCCCACACTTTCCAACCTCGACTGACTCGGATCATGTACGTACTTGTACTCAATCGAAACCCCAAATATTATTATCGACGCTCTCTCAGCTTCTCAGGTAACCAATGATATGGCATTTGATTACTCCCATGCAAAATTATCGCAGATTGCCAGTGTTTTAGTTGGGCACGCGCCTCCGAGTCCGCGCTAAGCTTCAAGTCACGCGGTAAGCATGGATTGTGTTGATCCCGATCCGCCAGGTATTGCGAATATACATGAGTACTTACTACGCGATATAAACATGCATGACAACCTTTGACGAGGAATGGAGTTAGACTCGGGCGATCCTCAAGCTCCGTGATGTAGACCAGATTTCGAACGGATCAAACTGCCACTTCGATAACAACTACAGAAATTTGAACGTCTTGTCTGGTTACGACATTGGCTGGATCGCGCACATCAGTCTTTTGATCTAGTAGCCGTTGAATTATTCCAACATGCGGGTGTCCGTAGTACGTCACATTATCTCCATCGATTATAAGTCTCACTAGATGGATAAACAGATATAGCCAGTTCGAAGATATTTAGGGGCCCCGGCCCCAACGTGCCACTGAAGCTTCACGAATTGGTAAAGTGGCATGACAGATGTACGACATATACGTAGCAACTATCTCCCAACACCTTCGAGTTCTCCGCTTGCCAAGGACGACCAGAGGACCAAGATAGGGCATACTTCTGCAACCAAGCTTAGCTAGATCACTGCGGCGCGTGATAATGATGTGGTAGGTAGCTGTTTCCTCGACAACATTACGACCTGGAGAGTCCAGATTGATTTGCAAATCGTCAGAATCCCGCGGACTTTTCGCTTGACAAAACGTAGATTTCCGCGTACATGTTCGCATGCAATTACCGTTGGGTGCGGTTGATAGCGCTGAAGATCTCACGACGGCGATGTTGGGACGTCAGAATATTAGGATGCAAGAGCGATTCGTCTATAGCGAACGTTGAACGACGAATTTCTAGCTCTGGAAGGTCGAACTGCGGCCCTCGTTTCCACAGAACTGAAGCTCCTCGGCCGACCGAGATGCGCGCTTGAGCGACTGACCTAGGATTGGACCGGCTGGACCTTCCACATTCAAGCGATGGATATCTCATCGCTTGGTACCGCCTGGACTGCCTCTATTATCCGAGAACACACGTAACATTGGACCCATAGAGGTCATCAGCTCCAAGTAATCCGATTGACACAAAAAGTCAAGTAATTTCCCGTTGTATAGCAGTACTGCTCGAGGGCGGTACATGGAAGTATTAATTTAGATTCTGGAATCCACGGGCAAATTGTTGACACATACCGCCACGTGTACCCTTCTTAGAGTTCAGAAGTTGCAGAATAATTGTAGAAACTCGTGAACGCATGTCCGAGTCACCCGTATTATGTCGACATGGAAGATCAGGTCAATGGGGCAACGACGGCGATGGCTATGAAGCGCAGATCGGATGGCTAAACTGTATACCAAGGCTCAGCACCCCGCGCTGAGCGCTGAGCAGCCCTAAGCTGACTGGCATTCAAAACTGACCCAGGGCACAAGGTGGCACAAGGTTGAAGTTGCCAAGGCATTGCAGTGGCATTGTCCCAATGACAGCTTAGTAAGCGAATGAAGTTCCACCAATCAATTAATTAGTCAGGTTCCTACCATCATCATGAGCACCGACGAAACGTCAACCGTAGTGGTAAAAACAAAGCCAGTAAAAAAGCTCAAGCCTGCGCGCAAGCAAGTGAAAGCGGGAGATGTAGAGAGAAAGGAGACGCCTCAGACGGGGAAAGAATATAGTAAGTGTCAATGATGTTGTCAATGAGGACTCTTCACGAGCGTAATTGCAGATATCTGGTATAACAAGTGGGCTGGAGGCGACCGGGAAGATAACTACTCCAAGTGAGTTTAATGCGTATCTATCTCTTCTTTCGAGATCTAACTCTGCTGTAGCAAAGTAAAATCGCAAACTCGGTGCAATATCAAGAAGGACTCAGGTCTGACTCGAGCGAACACGACTGGTATTCGCTATTGTTGTCTGTTCTATGCTCGTGGGTGCTGTCCGTATGGATGGGAGTGCGACTACCTTCACACTCTTCCCGACCCTGATGACGCATTACCTGATTCGAGTAAAGATTGTTTCGCTCGAGACAAATTCTCGGACTACAGAGATGACATGGGTGGTGTCGGTAGTTTCAACCGACAAAATCGAACATTATACGTTGGTCGAATCAAGGAGACCGGCCCAGGCCCGGAGACAGAAGAAATTGTCATTAGGCATTTCAAAGAGTGGGGCGAAATTGAACGCAGTAAGTTATTGAAAGTTTCTGTAGAAACGGCATCTAAAACACATCCCTACAGTCCGCGTGCTACAGTATCGTAGCGTTGCGTTCGTAACTTATGTCTCGGAGTTCGGCGCACAGTTTGCCAAAGAGGCCATGGCGTGTCAATCCCTTGACAATGATGAAATCTTGAACGTTCGATGGGCCACCGAGGATCCCAATCCGGTACAGAAGGTGGCTGAAAAGCGGCGATTGGAGGAGATCGGGCAGGAAGCTATCAAGGCGCGGATGGATCCTCGTATTGTTGATGCTATGCGGGCTGTCCGTGCATTAGAGGATGGGGATATGCTGGATGACGAAGGAGAAGTGGTAGAAGACCCGGAATCTGGTGACCCAGAGGCAAAGCGGCGGCGAATTGAGCTGCCACCGCCACAAGAAGCGGCATCAGAGCCACCACCTCAGCCCCTTGGTCTGCTGTCAGCCGATACAATGGAAGGTCTCAAATACTTTGCCGAAATAAGGAAGCGGAACGGCGTCTCGCTATCTGTTGTACATCCAAAGACAATACCTCCGAAACCATTGACTTCAGGGCTGGGAGTGGCGGACTACGGGAGTGACGAAGATTGAGGTCTGTTCAGTTTCATTTGCACCAATCGGTAACTAGTCTGATATCCGACCTGGCCAACAGCCCTTAATCTGGTCAAGCTAGAACCGCCTCTTCCTGCCAGCCGATAACCTTCGAACGTGATGAGCGCTCCGACGAACCATGACGACTCGTTTCGGCATAAATTCGTAACTACTATCATTGGGAAAAGAGTCTTCCTTCGCTCCATTAGCTGGCACTCTAGAAAATGTAAAACGTTGCGCAAACATAATGAAAGCCCATATACTATCGACCTCCATTCCGATTATTTGTCATAACTGGTACATAGACTAGTTATTTCGATCGTTGCCGATCACTTGAGATGAACTCATTCGCCACTCTTTGCAAAAAACAGATCTGGGCCTGGCAACATGTGCCTCCTCTCGCGCCCACAGTCTGGTACCTTGGCCAGGTTGATAAATTCCAAACTCCATAAACGGAACCGTGAGGATCAAAATATACCCCAAACCTCAAGGCAATTGGCCACCTTACGTCTGTCACCGAAGCTCTGCAAAGTCTATTCCCATGAATGCCAGAGCCCACATCTTAGGTGCCCCGGATCTATATTTCACCAATCTCCACCTTATGTGCATCGGAGAGCTTCGGAAATGAGAGATTATGGCCGTACTAAATGTGGGTGAAACGTCATCTGTGTTCATGAACATCAGTAACCACCTGGGGTTGGTGACCAGAAGCGACCAAGAATGGAATAGAAGAACTCTATCAGCCATTTGCATGAACATTAAGTGGTCGGCGAATGAGTCGAGTCCCGTCCGACTCCGATTGTAAACCGACAAGGAGGTGCAGGTGGAGGGACTCAGGTGAGTCCGATTGCGGCAATATTCCTCAGCATGTCAAACCAAGCAGCTGGGGAGGCAAATAGTACGTGCTTGTTAGTTTAATGAAAACGGGCCTAACTACAAGTGAAACGGGGATCTGCGTGATGAGATTATCCACCACCAAACGATTCATAGGCAAGCCTCGGTCAGCTATGAGTATTCCGTTGCGGGGGAAGCCGCTGTGGCAAGATCAGGCAAAACGTAATAACTCATGTTACAAGACAAAACTCCCCTTCTAAGGCCATTGCAATGGAAGTGTACTCCAGGGGAATAAGCTGTGAGATCCCGTTGGCAAGCGTGACGTGCTAGAAGAAATTTGAATCGTGAAACAGAGATAGACGCTGTGCTTACATACCTGTGCATGCAGCCCTGAGGGGCATGTGAAGAGTGCAGCGCCACGTACACGTTGTAAAATGGCGGTGATTATGCGATTATTTTAGGCATCATTTGGCGTTGGTTTGGCGGGTGATTGGCCGCTCGAGCTCAAGGCCAAACGAAGAATCATTGTAGTAAAGCAAATCATAAGTGGGCCCTGGACCGTCCTGCCTCCGTCTGGTTTGCCACCTATGTAATATTACTAGAAATAAATCTGGAGGCTGTGAGTATGGCATACCTAAAATATTGTTTTTTCCACCATCATCGGACAGAAGGCGCCTGATACCATGATGGCGCGGGCCATGCTGCGGCAATGCAAAGCGATGCATCCCAGTATACCACGAGAGTTAATAATCCGATAAATTGTGCTTATACAAGGTGTCCGTCGTTACTGTCGATGCGGCTTGAGTGTCGTAATCTTGAAATGTGGCAGGTGAAGATAATCATCTGGACTAGCGAGTGGTTGGCCTATGTGAAATTGTGGATGAATATAGTGGCGGTGCTGCCGTTTCCTCACTCAAACTCCCAACCATCTACTCTGAATTTCTCTTCAGAAAGCACAGCGTTTTGGCTGGTTGGCTGGCTCATGACATGTTCGAGAGTCTCATGGCTATCCAAAAGAAATTCTATGCAGATATTCAAAGCGCTTCCCCCTCATTTCTCCCACTCAGCAGTGATAATTGAGTCCGGATAACTTGTGGGTTACAAGCAGGTTACAAGTGCCATGGCACGATAGAAGTCAAGTTTGCCATGTTCCGAATTGCACGACTGCGCTGAGTATTTCGGCACCTAGATGGAAGGCCAGATCTGTCAGATCTTCACCACATCTTGCCAGAACCTTGTGGAGACAGGCGTTTTTGGGCGTCTGCCCAAAAGAAGTTGCCGAGGTTTGTGATACCGTATAGTCGCCTCGGCGCTGGCTTAAATAGGATCATTCGTAGGGGGCTGGGCTCTATTTAATCGCGAGTCATCTTGCTCCGTGGACTGTTATCCACTCACCACTACAATGTCTTTTACCAACAACGGTCCCTCTCGTCGTGTGCAGGTGACATCGCTCCCTCACATTCATCTAGAGTCACCTTCTGGATCTGAACAAATCAGACGCGCTCCCGCACAGTACGTTTGTTTTCGTACTTTCTATCGTTGACTCTCAACTCATACATCCGCTCGCATAGGCTCGAAACTGACTCCTTTTCATTTACCATGTACAACAATGATCTGCCATTTACGTCTTCTTCTACACTTTTTCAAGAAGGATGTAAGTCGATGCATGTCGTGTTGTATGCTCGAGCTGAATAGATTCCCAGCTGAATCTTACAATCATCAATTATCGCAATTAGATGATATAAGCCCTGACGATTTCCTGCAACTTCTCAACGAACCTCAGCAGTCGCAAGACATGTATTGCCCAATGCAATTCATGTCTGGTCCTGATTTTTTTTCGCCGTCTCCTGATACCTTCCAGGTCATTCCACCTTCCCCACCACCACAGACGATGTTACACAGTACAACTGACAACATGCGCCTTATACCCATATATACCCCATCGCCCACATCATCCTACACCACACTCTCCCCCAGCCCCAGTCACGAGTCGCCTTCATCTCCATGGTCCGAAATTACCACACCTTCTTCTGATGGTAGCGTGTCTCCTATGATCCCCCATTTAAGTCTTTCGCGTCGGGGGAGCTCAGCTTCTCTCCGACACCACCATTCCCCAAGTGATTCCACATTTTATCTTCAACCCCCGGCCGTCGGCAGTAGGCACGTTCGCTCGCATTCAGAGTCAAGCATGACTCGTCCCGTCGCCAGTCAAGCCATGCTTGATGCCAACCAACGACGTCGGCGCCACGATGCTACCCATAGGTGCGATGAATGTGGGCAAACCTTCACAGCTGTGTTTAGCTTAAAGCGTAAGTTCTATATGTCAAACTACCTCTTTCTACGGTGTCACTAAGATAAATGCAATAGGTCATATGCAATCTCACTCTGGTGTCCGACCATTTGTCTGCAGCGTTCCTGGCTGTAATCAGGCGTTCTTCAATCAGAGCGACTGCAAACGCCACGAACGGAGCAGGAAGCGTCACAAGGGTCTTCCTTTTTCCGACTCACTTTAAACTTGGCGTTATGCTACAACCCTTTCACTCGGGTCTGCCAAACACCCCGGTCGTTGTACACGTCACGTCGGAACTGGACACTCCTTTGTGCGCATTCGCGTCTTGGGCATGCAGGAACGATAGCTACACCTCCATATTATCCTTGCTTCATTCCCCACCATGCCAATCTTCAAATTCGACACAGTCGATGTCTCATCTCATTTCGACTATAGATACCATTGGCCTGACATACCCTAATTTTTTGTGCCGTTCTCCCTATTCATACAATAGTTTTGTTTGCCTTTTCGGTCCCCTCACTGCTTATTGTTGCCAATAATTATTGTATCATTCTTGCTATGTATCTGGATCCTGAGTTGCTATGCGTTGTCAACTGGCCTTGTCGACGCAATGTCCTTGTTCTCCTTATTCTCCTTGTTGTACTACATGTAGCCTTCGGTGATAATCTAAGATTGTTTAGTTGTGCGGCCATGACAGCGCCGAATCTACCCTAGCTAATTGCAACATTACTTCCCGCACATACCACGAAACCAGTAGAACAATTAGTTTTATGAATCTCGTAATCAGAAAGTCGGCATTTATGATCAGTTGACATTTATATCATGGGTACGTACGCACACTTGGTGACCAACTTCCCCGCGGACGCCCGTCAGGTAAGTCATCATTGTTCTTGTGCTGAAACCTAGATCAGACTTAATAGCGGACTCAATAACCCGGTAGCGCATGGCGGATGTTATTACCATCAAGCCAAGCTCAAGCTAGAGATCTATTTCATCACTGTTAACTTTGTCGACAATGATGGCACACATGCCTGCTGCGCGCCCGTCTCCCTCCGCGGAGCGCCCCACGTACGCACACCTATATGCAGACACTTGTCGATCAAGTAGATCGTTCCTTTCAGGCCACAACAGATCAACCGATGGCGTCCTTGCGCTCATGATCCGGTTCAACATCTCAAAGCTGACTTATCTGTGACAGTCCATAAGTTACACGTGGGGACGGAACCGCGGAGGTGACCTTGGTAACCACAATTTTGCGTTACCGCAGCTGAAGCTTGTTGAATCCTGAAAAAGGGCCACCAAGGAAGGGTTTATCGTATGATCCATATCATCGCTATAATTGAGGACATCAGACCTGGCAGATCTGATAACATGTACGTGCAGCATCTCGGTCCATGATTGAGTGGCCAAGAACCCTGAATAACTAGAAAGTTTGGCCCATGCAAGGGTCACAAAGAAGTCTGGTGACGAGAGTATTGTGCTGTGGTGTGTCAGGTTTAGCTAGCGTCGACCGTACTTGTCATAGTGCATTCATATCAGCATTAATGATAAGAGACGCCGCCACACACCAAGAAAGTTGACGTTTGTTAAGTCCACGGAAATCAGGGAGCCGCTGCTGAACGATGTTGGACAGCTGAATCGTAAATAAGATGATATTCCCTTTGCGCACTAAAAATATTTGTCGTGATGATCCGTCTGGGAGATATGTTGCCTACTGACGGTAGGAAAGTGCTATCCATCTTGCAAGGCACATGAAATCCAAGCGTGAGGAAATTTCACGAGATAAAATTCACAGATATCATATACACTTTTCAAAACGACAAGCTTTCAATTTACATGGCGATATAGCCATATTTCCTCGCACCAGACTAAGCAGTGCCTTTCGCGTAAGTGCCAGTCAGACATGACGTATTGGAAAACTCACAGAAACCAGAACGATGTTATCTTCACCGATCATAGCCGCCTCCCAATCGTAAAGTGAATCACTCGGCATCACTTCAACAGTCGCAACACGGCCAGGAAGATACGTGACGACTTCTTCAACAAATGCAGAACACCGCGAATTCAGTGGCTGGGGCATTCCTAAGCGCGTCCACGGAAGTTTCGGTTCCGTTGTTTGTTCATTCCGAACATCCCTCCTCGCTGCATACTTGTTGAAATCATACACTCTTGCGGTATTTCCTTTTTTCCATGGCAGAAGTTGAATAAACTTCATTCCGTAGACGTAGCAAACCCAGCTATCGGACGGGCTGCGAAGGAGCATATAAGAGCCATTTGGGCCCCACTGCGTCCATGGGACAATGCGTTTTTGTGTATTGCGAGACAATTCAACCTGAGCCATGATGGTGGACAAGGCGACGATTAGTACAGTACACTCTTCGTTGGAATTGCCTGCGGGGGAGACCCGCATAGTGATGGTGAAGATGCGGTCACTGCGAGCGAAAAAAAAGGGAGTTTGGACAGTTTGAGGCGGGGACCATCCTGGAGTCGGATCAGATCGAATTAACATATCTAGAACGTCGGCCTTCATCTTTGGATACTCCAGGCCGCAAATGTAGCTGACATCCTTATATTCCTCCATCTCTTCCCTGAAACTGTCGATACTGAGGATGTCCAAACGAGGCATTTCGTCACTTTCCGCGGCAACGACACCAACCAAAAGTAAGTCTTCTGTGACAAAAGAAAAAGATTGAAGGTCTGTGTCTCGAATGAACTTCGAACAGTTCTCATTAATCAACTTGCAGCAGCACGCGTGGAAGACGTACGAGCTTCTGCTGACCCGATTTCCAGTCCCAGACAACTAGCTGAGAGTTGGAATCATCTCCATGTTCTTGACACAGTATTGCAATCCGGGAACCGCAAACTTGGATAAGGAAGGTGAGCTCCTCATGCATGTCTGATAGCAGGTGCGTCACGAAGGACATGGTAGCCATTGGATGATGCTCGCCGGTCATTAAGGTTCTTAGGTGTACGTTGCATGTCCGGTTCGGGCTGTGCCATTTAGTATCAGACATGCTTCTCAAAAACAGATGGATCAAAACGTACACGGCACCTACAATTTCCAAAGCGACAACCAAGTCCTGAGATGTATCGATGGTAAAATCTCGGATCTCAAATCCAAAATCATTGATAGTCCATTCCCGCTCGGGAATGTCTTTAATTTTGCAGGGAAGTTGCACGCAAACAAGCCCTGACCGTGACCGCATGGCCTGGCACAATACTCCCCCGGACAGTTCCCAAGAAAGACCACCCTGCATATTTATGATTTGGGAGTCTGGAAAAGCTAAGTTGTTCCAAGCCTGCTGGTATTGTCGACAGGCACGAAGGCGGCCAGCAGTATCAAGATTACAGTGGCGTCCATTCTCGAACCGTCCGAAAAACAACTCGACTTTGTAGAGAAGTTGCGCATTGGTGGTGATAACTGAACGAAATAATTGGCATACCTGGAATCCAGCGTGAGTAGCGGTTTGAGTAGTATACAATATGTGCATATACGGTACATACTTGCTTGCATCTTAGGAGAGATACTATATCGAGTTCATCGAAAACTATAGCGATCAACTCGTTCGGGAGACTAAATGCTGCCTCTGCATTTCCCTGCTGGTCAGTGTCCATGACCTAGGCTGAGTTAACCCTTTGCCACTGAGGTGGAGTTGGTAGCACTATGTAATTGAACGAGAATTTTTGTGAGGCGGTTCTTGAATGGGCGAAGAAACAAAACATTTGTGCCACTCACCGCTGACCAGTGCCAAACTATGCTGGAAAGATCTTGAAAAATCACCTTGTTATCTTGCTTCGCAAATAATGTTGGGATCAGTTGGATGATGGATCTCACTAAGAACACAACTCGAACACAGCTATGACATAATCACATGAACCTTCTCACTCCCCTGATGCAGACGCGTCCACCAAGGCACTCCCTCGTCCTTTTTACAGGGACCACGTCAACTTATGGGCCTGGAGGATTGAGATCCAGGTGGTGGTGGTGTTGAAGTCCGATGAAAGCAGTGAGGTACCAGGACCGACTCGTGTTACAGATGCTCGGACTAGGTACGAGCGCAATGAGTCGTTATTTCAGGCGAGCCTTTGGTCTCAAATCAATATGTTCATATCTACTACTTTAGCCGTACTTAAAAGAACGCCTTCGTCGTCCCAGCATCTTTGTCATCTTCCAGACACTGAGATGCGAGCATTACATTTCCGTTCCTTTGGATAACGAGCCAATAATGATAGGACTCTTCCTCCCCCTCGCGTGTGCTCGCCTGTTACAACTTTAGGCACGTATTCTGAGTCCCCCATCAGCTCTCCTCAAATCCACTGACCATCCCTTCGTCTCGTCCACAGTTGCCTTTAAATTCTCGATCCTAAGATTCAGCGCCTCAAGCGCATCCAAACCCATAGGCAACCGCTTCGGTATCTTTCCTCCCTGTACGACCTCATACACAGTCCGCGTGAACTTGTCCGCATCTCCTTCTAAAACCACACCCTTTAGCATCCGACGCACCACGGAACTGGGAAAGGATTCGTCGGTGTATGCTGGGTGCTGCGGTAACACCGTTGCCCCTTCGACTCCTTTTGTGTAGAAACCTCCGGGTTCAATGATGCAGACCTGTTTTCTTGTTGTGAGTACAAAAATTATTGGTAGAGCGAACAACGTGCATTTATGTTCCAGGAAGCCGGTAGCTCTTTTGCGAGACCATCTGAGAACCCCTCCAGCGCTGTGCATTAAATCAACCACCAACACTTTCCAATTTTCTCGCATCAGAATTCTTACCATGTTTGCTGCAAATCCATCAGCATCATCTCAAAGAATATTAAATTCAAATCGCACTCACGATGCAGCATAATAACTCAACCCAGGAAGCGCATGAAACCCAGCAACCGAACTAACTTGAAGGATTATCCCCCCCTTTCCCACTTCATTCACCTCCCTAAAAAACTTCACAGCAGCACGAGTAACGTTCGTTGCGCCCCAAAAATTTGTCTCGAAAAGCTCACGCGCTTTATCATCCGGCGTGCCTTCGATTTCGCTGATAATTCCATATCCGGCATTGTTGAACACTACGTCCAGCCGTCCGAACGCCGAACGCGTGCGCGCGAATGCTTCGTCGATATCTTCTTGCTTCGTGACATCGACTTTGAGTACGAGGAGCTTGTCCGATGAGTATCGGGCTTCGAGATCGGTTAGGACTTGTGGCTTGCGGAGGGTTGCCACTACGATGTCGCCTTGGCTGAGTGCGTACTCTGTCATAGATCTTCCGAATCCTGAGGACGATCCCGTTACTGTGTGTGGTGTTTAGTACCAGTGAAGTTGCTAGTGAGCAGAGGAAACACTTGCTGAACCAAACTTTGGGAGAGGTCATTGTGACTTGTTGACGATGTAATGATCCCCTGCTCTGGCTGTGGCTTTTATGCGTCCCATCGTTCATCAGGGACTTGAGCATTAGTCAAGTTTATTAATGCGTCCGACAGATAGCCGACAGAACATCCCTTTGCGCGGTTGAACGTACACATCATTTTGACACATATAATCGATACTTGGTAATCACCGTGATCTGCCCAATTGATTGCTTACTATACTCCGCAAAGTCTCGGGATACACATGACTAACGCTTTTCGGAGTTGGGTTTAAGTTCATTACGTTCTGAGCCATTGAATCGCGAGGATTCACACTCAGGCCGAACATGAAGCTTTGAAACTTGAAGCAGGAGCACTCCTCTCAGCAGCATTACCGGTCTCAGGTCGCACGTGTCAAAAATCAGTGGAGTCATCGACCCTACCAAAGCGGACAACTTTCAGAGCCGTGCACCGGCCCTGTTATTGGTCGTCTCAGATGTGGACACTTTCAAGCAAAACGTCTCATCCCTTTTATGAGACTATCCCAAGACAAAACCATAGCTAGAGTGGTGGCTTCGTGATAGCCATGCTCAGATGCTATTTCCTCCTTTTCAGAAGATGAAGACGGGTCAGATCTATTCCAGGCAATGCCAAGTTATATTCCACAGTTGGCAAGCGCTACAACTCGATGGAGAGGTTGCTTGCTTGCACTCCAGATACTGAGATGTGAGCATTACATTTTCCTTTGGATAACGAGCCAATATAGGACCTCCGACTAGTACACATTCTCGTTCTAGCTCTTTCTCCCCTCGCGTGTGCTCGACTGTTACAACTTTAGGTACGTATTCTGAGTCCCCCCTCAGCTCTCCTTAAATCCACTGACCATCCCTTCGTCTCGTCCACAGTTGCCCTTAAATCCTCAATCCTAAGATTCAGCACCTCAAGAGCATCCAAACCCATAGGCAACCGCTTCGGTATCTTTCCTCCCTGTACGACCTCATACACAGTCCGCGCGAACTTGTCCGCGTCTCCTTCCCAAAGTACACCCTTTAGCATCTGACGCAGCACGGAACTCGGAAAGGACTCGTTGGCGTATGCTGGATGCTGCGGTGACACGGTTGCCTCTCCAATTACGTTTGTGTGAAATGCCCCAGGTTCAATGATGCAGATCTGTTTTTCTTGTTGTGAGTACAAGTTTATTGTTAGAGAGAACAACGTGCATTTATGTTCCAGGAAGCTGGCAGCTCCTTCGCAAGACCATCTGAGAACCCCTCCAGCGCTGTGCATCAAATCAATCATCAGCACTTTCCATTTTCCTCGCATCGAGATTCCTACCATGTTTGCTGCAAACCCATCAGCATCTTAAAGAACATCAAATTCATACCGCACTCACGACGCAGCATAATAACTCAACCCAGGGACCGCATTAAACCCGCCAACCGAACTAACTTGAAGGAGTATCCCCCCCTTGCCTAGTTCATTCACCTCCCTAAAAAACTTCACAGCAGCACGACTAACGTTTGTCGCGCCCCAAAAATTTGTCTCGAAAAGCTCACGTGCTTTATCATCCGGCGTGCCTTCGATTTCGCTGATAAGTGCATATCCGGCATTGTTGAACACTACGTCCAGCCGTCCGAACGCCGAACGCGTGCGCGCGAACGCTTCGTCGATATCTTCTTGCTTCGTGACATCGACTTTGAGTACGAGGAGTTTGTCTGCTGAGTATCGAGCTGCGAGGTCGGAGAGGACTTGTGGTTTGCGGAGGGTTGCTACTACGATGTCGCCTTGGCTGAGTACGTACTCTGTCATAGACCTTCCGAGTCCCGAGGACGACCCCGTTACTGTGTGTGTTGCTTGATATTGGTGAAGTTGCTAGTGAGTAGAGGAAACACTTACTAAACCAAACTTTGGGAGAGGCCATTGTAATTCGTTGACGATGTAATGATTCCCTTCCCTGGCTACTATGGCTTTTATGCCGTCTTATCATTCACCAGGAACATCAGTTAAATGATCCGTTCATAATGTAAACGCGTCCCACTGAGGCTGACAGATCAACATCCCTTTGTGCCGTTGAACGTACGTCATTTCGGCACGTTCAAAAAACAGTCAGTACTTTGTAATCACCACGTACGCAACTTACTAGCTGTGCTCGTGTCTCAGATGAAGCTGACAATTGCTAGCTCTATAACTGGGTTAGCAGGTCGCAGACTGAATTATTAAGCAAATGAGTGACGCAATGGTACAGGGTGATTTAAATCATTTGATGCAGGAGCGGAGCATGTAGGTGCAGAGGTCCTCGATCAGGCCTAGGATTCAGCAACTCGGTACAAGACAGCATTGGCAAGAGCCAAGAAATTTCTCAGAGTATTTAACTTCGTTGACGAGTACTCGGACCGAGTCGTTAAAGGGCTGATATTTTGTCGTTTATGCGACGAAACCAGTACCCGCATGTACATCGCATGTTTAGACGACCCATGCTACATCGAGCTTGTCCCATGCATTCCGCCGGAACTATTTGTCCACGACGTAGAGTTGCATTACCCCTTGACAGCGGTTGTGGAACGTTTTTTTGAGCTGCACCTGGGAATTGCGTAGGCGTTGATCCTGGCCTTGGTTTCGGGAAGGTCGGGATGTAGCTTCGCGAGGAAGAAACGAGCAGTCTTATAAAGCCACTCCTGAGACCCTACATCTGAGCATCACGTTGCGGGGGTAGAAGAGTTATATCGATATGTCGTGATTTGGACCGTTTCAAGTTGGTACGAGGATCACGCTGTTGGTCTTGCTTGACTTCACCGAGCTGAGCCAGAGCAGTTGAGAGGGGTACCAACAAACAGCACCTGGACGCACCTGCATGCTAGACATCACTCCATTGAGGCTTTGTAATTATATTCAAAAACTCAATGGACGACGCGTTCGGTGCTGCTTCAGATTCCGTTAACTAAGTACATTCATACTTGGTAAAACCAGTCGAAGCATTAGTGCAACCAAATTCACGGATCACAAACACCCCAATATTGAAAGAGCGATCGACCTACCGATGTTGGTACCATTATAGCACATGACGCCCAAGATAACTCGGAAATTTTCTGCAACCTTCGCAGGCACGATGTGTGTCGTTCTGTGCGAGAACAAACGTGAGAACATCCGTAGGATAAGGGGAGTGACTAATGATTGAACTCGTTGGTTGAGGGCTGATAATAGATAATGAAGATGACACCAAACTCACGCGGCCGTACAACATTACTTGCATCCCTGGATTATGACTAGTATGATCGAAGAGGTGAGGACAGTGTATCCACAGCAGCTGCGCACACTGCATGGATGATCCTATACGAAAGCGGCATGGAGCTTGAAGCTTGAGCCATAGCAATGATGCAGTACTATAGAGTGATGTAGTCCAAGCTGTAGACTCCTTTCAAGTAGAAAATATCTGTGTCGTAATGTCGGTGCCGAACCGCAATCGAGGCGAGGCGTGTCTACAGGAATACAGCATTCATGGAGGTACAAGGCACACAGCCATGCCACGTCTGGAAACAAGTGAGGGAGCTGAAACCGATTCAGGACTGCAAGTCTGTCACCACGCGGTGCAAGTGACACCATATCACAGCTCCGAGTTGACCGTCGCTGCCTACTAGAAGACAGCCCAAGGTCGATATAAACCGGCAGAAGGCGACGATGAAAAGACTCCGTGATGCGGTGGGGGCTAAACCTAGAGTAAATGATGAAGTGAATTTATGTGACTTTGTAATTTGAATCAGTGAAATCTGGCCACGTGCACCAAGTGGGCGTTCAAGCGGAGTTGCAAGATTGATAGCGCCTGCCGCAGCGCAGCTCTGGTCCTCCCGCCCTCCCGTTCACCACCTACCAAATTACATCTTTTTTTCTTCTGCTTTTTTTTTTGAACTAATATTTCAGTAGATGGTACTCCAGCTGCACCCTCCTTCTTTTCAGCATCTCCCACTAACTTCTCGTGCCTGAAATTATATGCTCTCCTGAGACCTGCGCCTGCTGCCCTCTCACTTGCATCAAGTGTTTTTACTCCTTATAACTAATGGAACTGTTGAACACCTCGTACCGTCTACATGACACATTGTGCATGATCTGCACCCATGTCTCGTGCTCGACACCACACTCATGTGAACTCCCCAGTGCTCCTCCGCGGCCTGTCTCTATATATCATGAGACTCGTGATCTAAATTATTTCAGGTTATGTAAATTTTATGTATTTGTAGATTTCTTCGTACGACTTGAGCGGACAAAATTTAAGAATTTACTGATAAGACCAGTATTACTACGTACTGCCCAACACACGCACGCTGCTTTAGGATCACCACCGGTTCAAAATTCCGCCCGAAGGCCCAGAATGACCCCTATACTTAGACTTTGAACGTTCTCGCGGGGCAGCTTGAGCTAGACCACATGGGTAGGAGGAAACTCTGTTGCCGATAGGACATTAAGCGGAAAGAATTTAGTATTGAGTTTCAGACGACGCCAGACGATGTCGACGAAGTTCCAACTGGCAATAAACGCGTAAAGTATGACAAAAATAGCTACCGTGTATGTTAATTAAGGTTTAAGCCACTTAATGTGAGTTCCGAGTCGAGTCAACAACATAAGAGAACTTGGTATAATAATATCATCGATACGACGCCTGGCCCTTGGCTTCTGACAAGATTTCCTCGCCTAGTCATTAAGAAATCATTCTCTTGCAGGCTGAGCAACCTGATCACTCCCTGAGGATTGGTACACGTGGTTCCAGTCTGCGTTGTGGCGGTTGTAACATAACTGTACAATTAAACGCTGAGTCAAACATTGGAACCAAATCTAACGTAACGTAAGTCTTCTAGGCTTATTCCTTTGCACTAGCCCCACTCTCGGTTTCGCTGATAATCGATAAGAGCACTGGCAACTCAATTTTCAGAACAGCGATGGCCTAGAATGAGCCTACTATCGTGAATACCTAGCATCCGATCACGGATTTCTCCAGATTGAGCATGTTGTAGGTGCGCCACTAACCCAAGAAGAAGATTGCATCAACATCGCGGTATTCTCCCCTTTCGTTCAAGTTCCGTTTTGAATTTACGGAATCGATGGCCATGGGGCTCCACAGAATGCCCACTGCCGGCTTTACACAACCCGACCATCTGTCCAACTTTGTAAATACCTCGCTGGCGACGAGGACCACCATTCAATATGTCTGCATCCAGCATAGAACAGACTTTACTCGCTCAATTGACACAGCAGGGTTTTCACATAAGATCCTTTCGGCAACGAAGACTAGGCGCTCATCCGGTGCACATTTTATCGACATTGTCATTGTAATCGCACCACTCACAAAGTACTCGTTCAGGTTTTTGAAATCTCACTAGCAGGCGGTCAAACCGTCTTGATGTGGTTGAGACCCACATCTTCTGACATTGAATGGAGTCAACGGCTCTTTGAGAGCGAGACAGCTCTCCTCCGCTGGTTTTCCGCACACTCCGCGTTACCCGCGCCACGTCTTGTGCACGTCCTGCCAAATAGCGCTAAAATCGCTCGCAATGCTTTCGTCACGCAGGGTTTCACAGGTGATCCCATCAAAAACTTATACCCGACGTTGTCTTCACGCGCAAAGGTTTGTCTTTGTATGGTTCATTGTGTTATCCGGTCGCTTGAAAATGTTCAAAAGGAGCAACTGGTGCGGTCATATGCGGATTTCGCACTGAAGTTGTTCGACATCAATGTCCCACAAACGATCGGCTCTATCTCTGTCGCGAGTTCATCGGATGAACTCATCGTAATACCGCGGATTTACAATGCTAATCACGCCCATACCTCTGAAGTTTTTCCCACTTTGCAAAAATACCTCGAATACCTCTCCACATTGAAGACAAGGCGCGCATTCACTTCAGACGCCGGGGATGAGAATAGATTCCGAGCACAAGCATCCATATCACAATTAATTGCGCACCTGCGGGGGCACTTGACTCAACTCGATGAACGGTGTGTTCGTCACATGGTACTGGCACACGACGGACTGGGAGACATGAATCTGATGGTTGATTCCTCCGGCAACATCACTGGTATCTTGGACTGGTGGATGAATTCGACATTGCCTGCTATACTCGCTGCAGAGTATCCCCCCTGGCTCAGATACGATGGAATCAACGACCCTCGATTTGCTGCTCCGAAGAAATCGTGGCTAGAAACACCGGAAGAAAGCGCAAGACTACGAAGAATATACCAGGGGGTACGACTCGCCTTTCATCCTGATGGTTATTTGCTCATATGGCTACCGCGGCAGGCTGTGAAACACAATGACGTTTACTATACAGCACTAATGCAAGGCACTCAATTACGAGCAGCTGTAGGTTGGGTATTTGACATCGAAGATGACCCGTGCTTTGCAAGAATGAAACAGTGGACGCTGAGCGCTTTTGGTCCCCCAATTGGAAACCCCCCAAATGATAGTCAGTGCATTATTACATAGCTGCTGAGTCTTCTATCAGCTGCGCATGGCCCGGACGTATTTCAGATAGTTCTTGTCCTATATTTTCATGTCTTTGATGTGTATATTGCTTTTCTTGTTTAAAGTTTGATGCGGGCGTTCAGCGAAACTCTGTACGCAACCTTTTACTCACACGCAATGATAATGCGAATAAGCCGTCAAGATGTTGATAACGAATCGACGATCTAACGACCTAGACAGGAACATGTGATACTGCTCTCCGTAATAAATTAAACTGAGCAATCGCCCATTCTAATGGTGGTGAGCATCATGGTGTTCCACGCCCTGGAAATCAAGTACATAGACTGCAAAATTTAAGCACAGATTACACAAGAAACAGCCAAATACTTACCAGAGCCGCATTCAGGGCAACGGCGGTTTTTCTCCTTCTTAACAGTAAACCAATGCAACTCATGGCTTTCAGCTGGCGAACCAGTGCATCCAACAACACGAGACGTGTCCTGGAATAAATTCAGCAAGACGCCACGATACATCGCTACGACGCAAAACATACCAGTGAAAAGACTTTAATCGGGTCTTCAAGGGTGCCCACGCGACTCGAGTCAAGAGGCTCCAAGTCAAACGCTTCGACACCATGCATCTCCCCAAGAAGCTGGAAACGCTCCAGACCAGTCGCTTGTTGCTCGTCGGAAGGAATTTCACCAGCTTTGGCACCCTCTCCGAAGAGTGAAGGAGGGGCGGGGCCCGAGAAACGGGGAGTGGTGGTGGAAAGAGCGCGGAAAGCGGTGGAAGGGGTTGACCTGCGCGTGCTACGCACGACAGGGCGGACGGCACGAAGGGCAGCGTTGAACATGATGTGCTATGAAGTTGAGGCCTGGAGCGAGTTGGGAGTGACTTGGAAAGTGTCTGTCACGTGTGACGCCGTGACACGCCCCCGTCTACCTCCGACGACTTTGCAAGTTTTTTTTTGCTGCAGAATACTCAGAACATTGACACATTGTGCTCAGATATCCTTCTTCTTCTGATTATATATCTGACGAAACGTTCAACTTTATGTCTTGGAGTTCTCAGGTTGCAGAGCGGTGGTTAAGTATCATTGACTGTATTGGACCTGGCAGCACCGATGCTCCCATGACATTACAGATGCGGAAAACCGCAAAAAGTTCAACGTTGAACGTTAACTCGCATCTCAGAAATGTCCGAAGCAGGACCCGTCAGCATTAGGCTCAGAACCGTCCTCGATTGCACACATGGAGCACCTCAACATGCCACCCCGGCGGCCACGCACATCGACAGTCTTCTCTAGATTTAAAAGCACCGCTGCGGACATTCTGTCGCACGTGTCTGCCATTTACTCGGTATCAAGACATTTGTATACATAACCATCCGGCTGGCTCGGATTGCCAGCATTAATATTGAATCTCATAATGGGCGTCGCGGCGAGTGTCGTAACCTCGGCATCGATGACATTGCATTTCTCACCAATATCCTTCGCTGAAATCCCACCATGTACCTGGACGAGCTACAGTGCGAGTTACGGACACGTCGTGATGTGTATCTGTACATACCCTTCTCCGCACCCTGCACAGGCTACATTACAGCCACAAGAGCATCTCTACTTGTGCTCTCGAGCATGAAGAACGACGTGCAATATTCATATTGCCGAGACAGCTTCTGACCCGAAAATGTGGATGTTCGCTGACGAAGCTGCGAAAGATGAAGGACACTGATTAATGATTTGTCGATTCAGAAGTTCGAACACTGGAACGAGGTTTGCTTCATTTACAGCTTTGTATGTACTGTTTCTTCTCTGTGACCTTATACAGTGATATAATAATTGTACTTCGCAAACATAATTGTGAGAAAGTCGATTGGTAATTGGGCGCGGAAACATAAGAAAATGACTTCTTTGACCTTCGTAGACTTCACTTCCTTGACTTTGGTTTTGCTATTGCTTCCTGTCAAGTTTTTTATGTATGTATAAGGATCTCCCACAGTCCCCGCTGCGGCCGGCAGTTTCACCTGAATTACCCAGCCTAATGAGCCATTCACTGGGAAAACAACAAAATACCCGATAGGGTTGTAGTGGCGCATGCACAATAAATTTGCTATCATATCACCAGGAAATGACAGATGTGTGAATACCCATCGATTAAAGGCGAGATCAAATCGAGGCGGGCGAGGGTTATTGATAGGCAATGCGGGCTCGCACCTTACCTGATGTAGGCATCATATCTGAATATTACCTGTGTGGTCTACTTTGCCATCTGGATATTAGAGGGAGGTGAGGCTGGTTTGCTTCTGAATGATAGATAAAAAGAAGTGTGATTAATTTATGGATACAGTTGAGTTTGTTTTATGGTACTTCCTAGGCTCCGTATTCCCTATGGCGGGCCATCTTATGTAGATGAATCCCTTCCCTCCTTCCCGCTCAGCACATAATGTTCGCTAGCAATCAACATGGGTCCCAGTGTTGAACGGTGCGATGGTGAATCCAGGTGAAAGCGCTGGAGGATTGGATCAGGATATTCAACGAACATATGGCAGAAGCTTATCGTGCCGGGCTAAAACCAGTGCCTTGCCCTCGCCACTATTTGACGATGTAACATGGAGTAATCAATTCTGCATGCACCCATCAGCATATCAGATCGAATTCCAGTAAGCTCAGCCCACCTGCCCTTGAATAACGGAAATCATGCACCTGCAGTTCTACACAGCAGTTCGACCCGGTTGTGTGACTATAAAGAGCAATTTCGATCAAATAGCAGCGCTAGTTCGTACTGCATACCCATGAAGAAAATGGCAGTCCAGATTGCAGCCTTGATAGCCACAGACTTCGAAGTGCGCTTTCCCTAAACAGGTGCCAATCATAAAAAAAACACTGATACGCAGCTCGGTTGGTGAAGAATCCCGGGCCATCGAAGAAGTTGGGACCATGGCCTGAGAGTTGAGTCATGGTTAGTGAGAAATGCGCGCCGGGTTAGCTAAAGAAAACTAGGACAGATGGGCGACTTGATAAGCAGTTACGAGGTTGCTGGCAGTGGTACATGATGGTTCTAATGTCCTAATTGAAGGTTTGCGTCCATTCGTGGTGTTAGAATGCTTGAATTTCGTCCATGTTGGGTTTGAGTTTTACGCCTGGCGTCGGGAGTCAGATTATAGTGGAGTTAACATCTCATTTCCGCAGCGAGTGCAACAAATTCTGCCTGACTTCGATGGTTGATGTGACTTCGACACCTGTGGCTACGTCTGACTTTTTTAAGTCAAATTCGGTCCCGTAGGTTGTTTCCATAAAAGGCAGGCGTTTACGAACGAATGATGCGCTAGAATTTGTTTCATGCCGAGAATGCAAAATGAACTGACAAGATGCCGTCTTACAAACTTCTACATATACCAGTAACATACAGCGAGCCAGAGACCAGTGGTGACGCCATCTCCCTCCTTTTCCTTCACGCTCACGCGCGATTGAACTCGCGTCCCCGCTCCTCATGTCTTCCATCTCACCAGGGTCCACTACGTTCGACATCCTGCGGGCTTACAGCCACTGTCCTCCGCCTCCTTCAAGTTCATCTCCGGACGCGACAGGACCCACCGATAGACCCTCAAGAGATCTTCACTTGTCTCTCCAGGACACAGGTTCCAGATATTCCACTATTTCATACAGTCCAACTTCAATTCTATTTACTGGGGACAAAGGCTTGTCGAGTGAGACCAACGAATCGCCCTTTCGATGGAATTTACCCTCCCCCGTGGAATCTGTAGGGGGCGAGCCACTGCCTGATGGCGGAAAGGGGCAGGTATCCGAACCCACAGCACACATCTGGCAGGGCTGGAGAGTCGTCCTATTCGGCTCATGTGAGTGCATCTCAGTTTACTTGTCCCTTACCCGTGCTAAACTTGATGGTCGTAGGGTTCAACGTTTTATTATTGTTGATTCCTGTTTCTGTGAGTGACCGCCTTCACGCATCCTGTTGGGTTCACTGATTATCGCGCTACTATTCTAAGTGGACACTGAGCTTCGTGCTCGAGAGGCACCACAAGGTTATATTCATATGTAAGCTTCGCCAAATTCTTCTTGAAGCATGAAACGACTCTTTCAACAGTTAGCATCCTGTCCATGATCCCTCTTGTAAAGGTATGTTACACACTCTTCCGTTGGCCGACTGAATCGAGCGTTCCTTTCTTAGCTTCACGATCTTTCAACTCGTGAGCTGGCCCTTCGTATCGGAGGCACAAAGGCTGGTTTGCTTAATGCGAGTATGGTAAGTCATATTCTATTAACGATTGGATACTCCTCAACCTCTACGTATGCAGAGTAACACGTGAGTTTAAGCTCCTTGGCTATTGATAGCTGTTTGACGCGCATCTCACAAGTGTCGAGATGGTCATTGCGGTAAGCGCTGGACTTGTATGCGTGAGAATCTGCTGATCTGTTTTAGATCACCGCCCTCAGGAAGTGTGAACTAAGAGTCGTACAATCTTCCCGTAAGTTCAACGAACATATTTGAGAATTTAATCTGATATTCGCAGTAATTGGTTCGATTTTGAGCAAGCTACGTATGTCGTGCATCTCTCCCTCATCTAATAACGATCCTCATATTTTTAGTCCTTGTTCTAGGAATGTGCTTCTTTGCAGGCGGGCTTCGCTTCTCCGAGCAAGGGTTCGGCCAGAGTGAGGTCACATATATGATAAAAATACCGAGATAGCTAATAGATCTTCCAGCTGCTACACAGATACATTCATCACTTCTGAGTATCAGTGTTGGGGCTCTGCTCCTCCCTGCTGCGTATCATTTTGCAATCAGTGGCGGAAAGGATTCTGGCTCCTTTGAGCAGAAGGATGATATTCTGAAGATGAGCTATGGCGTAAGATTTGCTTTGACTTTGCTGAAACTCCCTCTGATCAAATTGTCGTAGGTCTCAATCATACTCATGTTTAGTAAGTCCTGGGTTCATGTGTCCTTCGAGAACCACTTACGATGCATGCGCACAGTTTATGTCGCCTATCTTCTCTTCCAGTTCTGGTCTCACAAGCATCTCTATCAAGATTCCAAACTCAAGAGTAGCAAGCTATCGGTCAAGATACCAGTTCATTCGCGTTATCTAACCGAAATGCTATCTTCATCCACGACCCTGAACGACAAACCTAGTATGCATGATATTCGGAGTTTGACTTCTCGACGCCGTGTTTCAGCGCTGCCCAAAATGCCTTATAAGAACTCGCCGTTGAATTCTGCCTCTGAGATCACGTTGACAGGGAGCAAGGAGCATCTTCCGGAGACCATCAAGCAAGGGGTTACACAGGAGTCTACCAATCGGTCGTCCGAGGGAGTGTCACGGCAAACTACGCAAAGCGAGCACGATCATGTAGATGGCAGCACTGTTGCCCCCTTAAATCCGCCTTGGAGTACATCACCAATGGCATCCGCCGTTGATACCGATCCTATCCGATGTGCTTCACCAGAGCCTATGACTGCCTCTGAAGGTGCGGATCTGCACAGGTCACCATCAGCAACGAATAGTTTCAGAGAGCCCCAGCTTAGCTGGATGGTCACCCTTCTGTTATTGACATTGGTTACTATTGTAAGTGATGAATCAGTTCGAATGGGTACCTGTCAGTGACTCCTCTAGACGGTGACTATCACTGCTGAAGATCTCGTGGAATCCATGGACGGAATCTCAACGACAATTAGCAAGCAATGGGTCGGTCTTGTCTTACTTCCTGCAGTCAGCTCTATCGCAGGTATGTATAAGATACTCCTGATTTCGGGGCACTTTGACACATTGGTTATGCAGAATGCGTTACTGCAGTCAATACTTCTGTGAAGGACCAGCTGGATCTGAGCGTGAGCATCGCTGTCGGATCGTCGATAGTAAGTCTCCTTCACTGTTTCTTGTATGACGATGCTCATGTTAGCATAAGCAAACCACTCTCTTGGTTATTCCGTAAGTGCTCGTCATATTCAACATGCTCTGATACTGAATCCTGGGATAAGGTTTATGATCACCCTTGGATGGATCATGGGCAGGCCACTGGCTTTGCTATTCGACCCGTTTGAGTCTGTGGTAGGTGCTGTTCCAATACATAAGTCCAACTGTAGCTAAGCAGATATATAGGTTCTCTACGTTGCAGGTATGCTTCGACCTTTCTATGAAATACGCACGCTCTAATCATCTTCGTGCAGTGCAAACCATGAGTATCGTGGTTGCGGACGGGAAATCAAATTGGTTAGAGGGTATCATCTTGATCTGTGAGGAGGTTCAGTAATACCCGTGGGCTATCGTACTCAATATTCCCGCAGGCTTGTACGTTATCATAGCCGTTTCCTTCTGGTTCTACCCTGGTGAGGTCAACAGTCATGTGACGCCTTCAGATACTGATGCATCCTCCACAGTTTCCTCGAGCCTCCCAAGCGAACTTGCTGTTTGCATGTAACGACGACAGATCTTTAGAACATTTCCTATCTTGCGTCCCGGGGTTGTATTTGCCCTGTAGAGTAGAACACCCATTCATTCAACTACCTTCGTTTCACTTCCACATTCTTTACGGAATTGTCATTCATTTACTCCACATCCTACTTCACACACACTGTACGACATATGAACTATCTTCGACAGTAGAAAATTTAATTGATGTACTTTATTTACCACTTGAATATGATTATGCGCGTCTTACTATCCTACTATATATACGCGAGCGCTAGTAAGCGCTTGCGCTGAAGCTACTTTTGCACTGCATAGTTGTTTGAACTCCGAAATGTGCATGCGGCAAAGCCATGCATCTTTGTTGCAGGCCGTAGGCGTCGTACCCTAGAACCGTAGAACGTCAGGAACAAAACTACCAGCATGTCTGTCTCGGACGTCAACCAAGATTTTGGGCCAGAAACATCAATGCCACGTCTACCAGATGAACCCAAATCTCTTCCGTCCAAGTACTTCTTGGGGCATACCGTTTCATTAACATGTGTAGCTCTTTTTCCGGATAGCAAAATGATTGTTACTGGGTCCTATGACCGTAGGATTCGCCTTTGGGATGTAGGAAGTGGTCAAGCATCAGGGGAACCCCTTCGAGGACACAAGGTTACGGTCAGTGCGGTTGCCGTTTCGCCCAATGGGACGATGTTCGTGAGCGGAGGCGGGGACGGCAGGATTTTGATATGGAACGCAACGACGCGTAATTTGGCAACAGCACCCATTCAAGCACACTCGAACAGGATCAACTCCATTTCCTTCTCTCCCGACAGTGCTACCATCGCCTCCATAGCAGGCACAATAATCAAGATATGGGATGTGGGCACCGCGAAGCTGATCATGGATATCAAGTCCATAACCCACGAACGCCAAGTTGCGTTCTCTCCTGAAGGTAGCAGAATTGCTTCTGTATCCCACATAGCTCCAGATCACCAAATGTTGCGAATTTGGGATGTGAAGACGGGAAAACCAGCAGCAGTCAGCCCTATCGCTGGCCATACGGGTGGGCTGTTGTCTGTGGCATGGTTCCCCAATGGACAGCGTCTGGTCACTGCATCGCTCGATAGAACGATCCGCGTCTGGATCTCGGAGACTGGTTGTCAAGAAGGACATTCACTTGGTGGCGATGCGGCCTGGATGGCTGACTACGTCGCTGTCTCTTCTGACGGGAAGCTCATTGCTGCTCTTTGCGGAGATCACTCTATACGACTTTGGAATGCTATTACCCTTGATCAGATTCAACTCGTGCTCCAGCATGCTGAACCAGTGCTCTGCATGGCTATTTCAGCTAATATCCGTTTTATCGTTGGTGGCTGTGGCGACAATAAAGTGTGTCTATGGGACATCGACAGTATCACGCAGCATAAACACAACTCAAGGCCATTGTCGACTTTTGGGCCGGAGAACCAAGAAGACGTGAGCAAGCTACCTCTTCATTTATTTGCTGAATACAAACCACCAGCTAGTCGGCACCCGACTCGTCACTACCGGATCACTCTCCAATGAACCTCATGTACCCAGAGGTACAGACCAGCCCTGAACAAACTGTGTCGCAGGCTGTAATCACATCCCATGGACCACTCCCTCTGGAGGTAGGATTCAATCAGGCTTCTTTCTCTGCACGCTCGCTAACAGTAGCTTCTCCAGCCTCCTACGACAGCCAAGGAAGATACAGATCCTGTAGCTTCTCCCCCGGAACACAGCCATTTCCGAAAGTGGTGGAGACAGGCCCTCAATTTCTGGAATGCTGGAAAGCATTTGTCGTCTCAAGTGAATATTTACCTTTTTGAGACCAAACACGATATTGACAGATTGTATATTTAGCACAGAATTGCTGAAATCGAGCCGTGCTCCGACGAGATGAAAAATATAAGTACGAACCAAGGTCAAAGTCCCGCTCAGGATATTCTGGACGAGTTCAATCGCTATGTCATGAACGAAATTCCAATTCATCTGATCTATCTTCCGACAATGGAACTCGTCGGACGGAATTTCGTGAAGAATCATTTCCAGGATCGCATCAAGGAGATTACTGAAGATTTGGTAGTCGAAGCTCAAGCACGCTTCGTGCCACCGTTGACGAGAGAAAAAGTGGTCCCGACTCTTGTCCGGCGCAAAGTCGAATATGGTATTCTCTCCCATCGGTGGCTAGATTCAGGAGAACCTTCATACCAAGATATGATGGAGAGAAAGCTGTCTGGCAGCTCGGGCCCTTCGAATGTCGGATATTTGTTGTCCAACATAACGTCTCGGCCGAAGGACGGTCGTCATACATTGCACACCTCGCACAGCGAGAACAAAGTGCAGAGCCCTGGCTACAAGAAATTGCAAAAGTGTTGCGAAGAGGCCAGACGTCTTGACCTACACTTTCTGTGGTCAGATACATGCTGCATTGACAAGAATAGCAGTGCGGAGCTTGACGAGTCGATCCGGTCAATGTTTCGGTGGTACCGGAATTCGTCCATCTGCATCGCGTATCTCGGGGGGACAACTGTCATTGAAGATTTGAGATTGGAAGAGTGGTTCATGAGAGGATGGACTTTACAAGAACTCCTGGCGCCCAGGAAGATAAAATTCTTCAACAAGGATTGGCAGCGACTGACCGATCAAGACGACGACAAGGAAGAGGATACCCCTCTCATGACGGTCCTGCAAGAAGTTACTGGAATTCCTGAAACAGAACTCATCGATTTCGAGCCCGCTCCTCGCTATATTGATAAGCAGATGACCTGGGCTGCGCAACGAATAACTACGCGGGCAGAAGACGTTGCTTATTCGCTCATGGGAATCTTTGACGTCAGCCTGCAAATCGCATACGGAGAAGGTGGAGAGCGCGCATTTGGGAGGCTCATTGAAGCCATCATGCAAGCTGGCGGGTATTCATCGGTGCTCAACTGGGCAGGAGAGCCGGCCAAACATCATGCATCATTTGCTCTTCCCGCATCGCCATTGAGCTTTGTGGGACATCCCGACATCGTCTCGATAGGTCGACTTGACATGATGTTGACCAGCAGGGGATTGCGTATTCCGTTGGTCATTGTACCACTTGAAATGACTAAACCCGAATTTGATGGCCACCCCATCATAAATCCCAAATTTTACTGCCCACACCATGGAATTGGTGAGGTCAAGATCGACTCCAGAGGTTACAGGTTCAAACCAACATTCAGACAGTATGCACTAGGCATATTCCACTATATCCCTGCAGAAGAATCGGAAAACCCAGGTCTTCCTAAACAAGTGGCAGCTTATCTCCTGGAAAGAAGTGAGGTGAATGCAGAGGAAGATATACCGGTTGGACTGTCACGACAGTATCGCTCTTTCGAGGATGGGTGGAGAAGGGTACCCACTGGATTCATCTATGTGGAACTTCCCGGTGTACCTGACTTTGCTTCTTTGTGGTACGTTGATCGCACCTGTCTGGAAACTGTTTACTTGTAGGAGCTTTTACGACCATGCAAGCATTATATCTAGCTTGAGCTTAGCTGTATGTACGTGGTACTGTTCTGTGCCTGAACCCCTTTCATTCGCGAAAAACTCGGACTTTCATAATTACTACCTATTTCATGCTGTGTTGGCAGGCTGTCTTGCACTGCAGTGTTGGGGTACGCCGTAGGGTCGACCCGACTCGACCGTTCTCTAAACTCCCGAATAGGAACTTTTATTGACCCACAAACACCTTTTGGGGATTAATAATATTGACCCGTTGGAAAGTTTCGGCTTGGCAAATACCCTTCCTCATGATTAAATCATTCGATCGACCGTGTTCAAAGGAGATTCGTGGTGATTTTTCGTCACGATTAATTGCCATTTTGATTGTCATTTTTGTCCATACAACTCATAGTCGGACTATGGCACCCTTCGCAACTCATCATGCATCAAGAGTTAAGCTTGCTGGCAGCTGGTGAGTCATGATGAAACGACTCAGTAACACCATGAATCAATGTTTTGCGAGAAAGACACTACATTCGGTCACATGCTTAATGAATCTAGTTCATGACACTAAGTTCACAGCCTTGCGCATTGCGCAGCGAACGCAGACAGACTAGTGCCTTCATGGTTCAAGGTAATCCCGGGGGCAGTGGGCAGGCATGCGGCACTTACAATGACCTTGGTCATTGGCGGCAGTTTGACAGTTCAAACTTAGTTCAACTTCAAGTTGTCCTTGAGGGTCATTCTCGACTAGAATCATGATAACTTTGCCCGAGGCTTCACTTTTGGCGTTGTTCCTAGAGACTTTGTTCTACGGTGCGTCACCGACCTCTGGGTGAAGTTACAACATTTAATTTCCTTCCCCACGTAGGCGTGTTCTTCACTTTTTACTGGTTGGCCCTGGTCATACTGCTTAAGAAACGTGGTATTCAACGGGACCTCCTTCTCCCGGTAGCAACCTTGCTGCTCTGCATTGCAACGGGTGTAAGTGTAATAATAACCTTTGGGAAAACAGCTCAACAGTGTCGTAGCATCTAATCATCAATTTCGTTCGAGCACTAGAGGCGTTCGTATTCAATGTGGATACAATCGGCGCGGATGCCTACTACTCCAACCTCGCTTCACCGTTAGGACTCGCAAAAACCGCACTTTACGTTACGCAGCCCACTGTCGCTGATAGTGTCCTTGTGAGTTTCTTCAATTGCCATATCGTTCTCCCTTGAATATGGCAGTAGGTTTGGCGATGCTATGTGCTCAACAATAGAAGCCTCTTGGTCGGCATTCCTGGTTGTATTGTGCTGTTGGCCAATGGAGGTAAGCATCTCGTCGAAATATATTATTCAGAGACCGCCTCATCTCACGACATTTCGCAGCGATTGGATACTACATTGTCTGGTCCCTTTCTCAAGCCATCGCAGGGTCGACTGCTCTCATCATCGTTCCTGGGTTAATCATAACTTTCTATACATTGACCATGCTTATCAATATCGCTTTCACTAGTACGTCTATTCTATGGCTAACCTGCAGGCTCACGACGAGTAGGATATGACAGCTTTGATTTCCTGGCGCATCTGGCGCAGTCGCCAGCCCATCTCAGGCAGCTCCGCCGAGCTTTTACCCGTGCTGATCGTCATCGTTGAAGGCGGCGCTATATATGCTACCAGTGTCCTTGCACTCCTTCTGGCATTCTTGACAGGATCAAACGGCGAATACCCCGCGATGGATATTGCCTCTCCTGTTGTGGTGAGTTTACTTGGCTCAAACGCAACTGCTTATAAGACTTTTCTTTAGGGAATCGTATTCTGCCTCATCATCCTGCAAGTACACTTTCATGTAGGTAACAACCCCCAACCCGACAGCCCACCAAAGCCCTTCACCATTCTCTTTGGAGAGCGAGGAGAGCAGAATGTGAGCCATAGCATGGAACCGATGATTGAGGAGACGGAAGTCATTCAGTCTGACGTGATGCGCAGCCGACGACTCTCAGGAGATGAATGTTAATTGTTTTCGAAGTTGAACCAATTTCTACTTTTCTGTGCGTTTACTAATATCCATATATTGTATTCTACTGCGAACCAGTCCATACCTGTCACCTCGCTGTACATCACGGACACAATCTGCAGCCGCAACATTAACCCCACTGATGCTACTAGTACGTGAACATTCTACCCGCGAAAGTTCGAACCCAAGTTTGAACTAGTTTACCGGAACTATGCCACTCCGACATATGACAGGCACCAATGACGCCACCGGTTGCTATCTTGTCCGGATGGCACGATTCAATTGTTGCTAACTTTGCGACTGGCGGCGTTCAAAGCCACGAAGCCGTTCTTCCGTATGCTCCCTTGCCAGACCACCGCTGGCCGGAATTCAACAGCAATCTGCAATTCTCAAATAGCCAGGCGCTCAGCGCTCAAGAACACGATGACCGTTGTGATTTCGAAAACTATTCAAACGGTTTCACTCAACCAGAGGCTCAAGGCTTCGTATCATATACATCTAATATATCAAGGACGCGGTTGATCCTGCGGAAGAAATTCGCATCGGCTCCATGTGCATGCTCCACCTGGCGGCCTGAGCTCCACATCCATTCCCAATCGCTCAAGCGCTCGCTACTCATGTGCGCTCGGCGGTCTCCTATTTGTGTGCGTTCTTCGCTTATCTCCGTGTCTCTAATCCTCCTTTTGCAATTTAGTATTGCCTGCCTCGCATCACTTTTTCTTTCAATACAGCGCGTTCGAGTTGGACCGTAAATCGCTAACAGTTTTCCCTGCGATCTGCTCATAGGACGACATTCAATGGATGTCAAGGGCTGACAGGCTTGAGAACGCCGTGCTTGATCTGCGCGCAGATTGGTTTGCACGGACAGCTATGCACCGCACTTTAGACGTATGACATCGCTGAGACACTCGAACGCTATTTTCAAGAGAAGAGGAAAAGATAAGACCGGACGGAATATCCCAAGGTGAGCGGAGCGTTTGTATTGACGTGTGTATAAGCAGACCTGCACAGAAATCCCTTCGAAAAGAATTAGCCGCGCAGCGGCAATCCCCTGTATTCCATAGTCTGTCCAAATCTGACAATCAAGGCGTGAACGACGTGGATATATTGAGTGCGGTGCAGATTGTAGATCAGAAAGGTAAAAGCTATCTCCTTTAGCCTGATCTGCATCGAGCAGATCGAAAATGATACGCGAGGACAGGATCATCATCTGCAAGACACAGCAAGGGTAGAGCTCGAGGCAACTATAGCTACTCTCTTTCTTTGTCACAGACAATCAAACCCCATTGATTTGGACTCACTTTCATTGAGTGAGACATGCTCTCCTCAGTCCAGAACTCCAAGTATTCCTTCAGTTTATGCTGTTTAGTCGTTGGTCACGCGCGTCACGGTTGTCTGGCATTGTGTGGCGTGATATATAAGAATAGGTTACATAATCACCCTTTCAGGGTGTTTGGCTGTAGGTTTTACTTCGAGCGCCCTATTCAATGGTTCAGGTATCACTTACATTATTGACACGGCAAGCAAGAAGTGGGCTCACCCTTTCTTTCCTCTTATGTGCAATGCACATACCCGTCGTCACCTACACCTCCGTTGACGACATAACAGCACTCGATACAAGTGCACATTTGAACGGTCTCGACAATGTTGTTTAAATTGCAGAAAAACAAAATGGCATGTTCCCGTTATAACCCGCGAGTTGTCCACACTCATACTTGCCTGCAAGCACCCGTAAGTATGCGGTCTGAGATCAGCTTGAAAATATGCTGAATATTTACTGTTCTGGGCACATGGCCCCCCGTTGGGGTTGATGTCTGCTTTAACGATGCCCACCAATACTACGGCAGACATGATCACAGTGGTGAGTGAGATGAACTTCATTGTAGCGCTCGAGGATGGGTCTTCAGTGACTGTGGATGATGTTCTTTGTTATTGGACTGAGATATTACCGCTTCGCTTTTATACACCAGCAGTAAAGGGCGGTCAGCCCAAAACATGTACCTGCTGTGCGTCCGACTAAGTAAACCAATGCGCCGTGGCAACACGATATCTCTAGACGTGGCTCTATGAGAACTCGCTAGTGTCAAGCTCGCGTCCAAATTTCATAGACGGATCATATGAAATGGACGCGAGCTTGACACTAGCGAGTTCTCATAGAGCCACGTGTAGCATCCGCTTTCCGCACTTGCATGGTTCAGTTTTCAGCTTTCCCGATGAACCCTTAATGAATGACTTTTTTTCTATTGTTCGGTGTGGCGTGATCCTATGCTGGACGTACGGTACGTGTAGAGTATTTGTAGTTTATCTAGTGACAAGCGGTGACTTCAGTCGTTGCTTTATTACAAAAGCAGACTTTTTACACTATATTTGCACGATCTTTCTCTTCGTTTACTCCTGAGAACATGCACAGCGTACCTCTGATGGTTTTTGACACAGGACAATGCAGTAATAAAACAACCACATGCTTGGAAGGAGGCGGCAGGTATTCTGAATGGGTGAGGATAGGTTTGCGAATAATAGTAGCGAACGCCTGTTGAGCGTGAAAGCGAAAAAATATTGAGAAATGTCGATGTCAAACCCATGATATTATTCTAATGAATAGTCGCCACGACTTACTTTCCCAGCTATGCCAATAGCGCACGATTGCCGTCACCAAGAGGTTCTACTAGTTCCTGTGAAAATAGCATGAGCAAGGTACGACGCCGAACAGTAGGTAACAGGAAGACAGCGAACATCACCCCCGTATAGATTGGAAATGTGGGTGGGAGTGCCATCGTCGGTCACTGCAGAACCAATATATTTGCCCCAACAGTGAAGAGTTGTAATACATTAATGTCGACGAGATCTACGCATGCTCGATTTTCGATAAGTCCTTGGTTTGGTACCCTCAAGTGCCACTTTGCCACTTTTGCGCAAACTGGGCCGGCAGCCTTCCTGATACCGTACACGGCTAGCCATCCATTTGGTGAATATATATATAATGTCAAAAATAGCCAATGTCTATTTAAGATCTCACGCACGTTATTCATATAGTTTTCGGGCAACGACCACACTACAAATTGTGTATATTCAGATGAGTCTGGGTGACCAACAAGGTCACACTGTGTCACAGTATGTGTGACATATGGGTTGCCGACCATATGCCATGATGTACTGTGCTCTCCAATCCAACACGAACTGCTCGACGTCATGATGGCGTCAACTCACAACCGGTGACCCAGAAAATCTCGTGACCGAGCAAGCACCGTAAGTAGACTCGTGACCAGTCCGTCTATGAGGCAGGCGGCCGTCTTTTGCTGATGACGGTGCTCCGGCTTTCCATAATTAAGTGGGTCTAGCCTGGTCTCCCAGATTCAATTAGACTAGGATGGTTCATGGTGCCACTCTAAATCTCAGACCATCGATCCGTACATATCAGTTTTCTCTTTCAGTATGGCGACTGACTCGTTTCCACAACGCTTACCTACGCTGCATCGGCTTGGGGTCACTGATCCTTCCAATGTCTCCTCATCCGAGGTAGCCACCGAGTGGCTCAACGCTTTCTCAGTTGCAATAACTCAAAGTGATACCGCAGCTGTTGTCGACCTGTTTCTCGAGGACGGCTTCTGGAAGGACGTGATCGCACTGACGTGGGATTTCAGGACATTCGAAGGAAGGAAGGACATCAAGAAACTCTTGGATGCTCGTCTCATTGCTACGGGACTTAATGAACTGCATCTCCTGCAGGAGCCCTTGAATGAACCTGGTCTGCAAAAAGTTTATCATGATTTAGTCTGGTTGCGGTTTTGTTTTTGTTTTACCACCAAGCATGGCAAGGGTACTGCAGTCGTTCATCTCGTTCCCCTTCCAGATTCAAAGTGGAAGGCCTACACTCTGTTGACCTGTCTTGATTCGTTGACCGATTTCCCTCAAAAGGTGCGCAATCACATTCCTTCGAGAGCACTTAATACTTACTGACTCTACGGAAGCTCGGTCCCTTCAGAAACTGGGAGACTGATCATGGCAGTTGGGAAGAGAAGCGGCGCCAAGAGACTGAGTTCTCGAACAATAACCCAACGGTGATTGTTATCGGTGCGGGGCACAGTGGTCTGGAGACCGCAGCAGGCTTAAAGTACATTGGTGTACCCACGCTTGTCATTGATAAGAAGCCGAGGGTTGGGGATAGCGTTCGTCCCGTGACAATTTTGGTATTCAAATATAGCTAAGGGCTCGAGGGCGGTTTCATAGTGGAGAGATCGTTACAAGGCTCTTTGTCTGCATGATACTATCTGTTCGTGCCTTTTCTTCTACGGAAAGGGATCGACTGACAAACTTGCAGGGTACAACCAAACGCCTTACCTGAAGTGAGTGTTTTGTCAGAACTCCTTTCACTCTTTTGTAATCCGGTTTGCAGACTTCCACCAACATGGCCAGTCTACACCCCAGCCGCAAAAGTACAATATTACCCACATGATGAAAATTCACTGATTCCAGCTATTGCAGCTGGCAGACTGGTTGGAAGCATATGCGAGTTTCCTTGAGCTCGACGTTTGGACGGCCTCGACGATCACCAAGACATCTTGGAACGATAGTACGAAAACATGGTCCGTCGAAGTCGATCGCGGCGGTAAAGGTACTAGGATTCTGACCGTTAAGCACCTCGTTTTTGCCACTGGATCTGGCGGTCGCCCGAATGTTCCCGACATCCCTGGGAAGGTATGTAACGGTCGAACTGATCGAAACGCGACTCATGGACGCAGGCAAGCTTCAAAGGGTCTGCTGTGCACTCGTCAGAGTTCAAATCGGCGGCTGATCATATCGGTAAAAAAGCAATCGTAGTCGGCTGTTGCAATTCTGGTCGGTCTGTCATATCTTTCGTATCGAACGAGGTCTAAATATTTCATCAGCACATGATATTGCTCAAGATTTCTGTAGTCACGGTGTCGACATCATAATGTGTGTTCTTCCATTCAAGTTATGTCATCTTCATATCTTACGGAATCCTAGGTATCAACGATCGTCGACGTTCGTGATCTCGACGAAATCAGTGGCAGCAATGCTAGGCGGTAATTGTTCCCGTCGTTGTCGGTAGCTTGGCTTGACTTTCCTTGCCTAGATATCTATAATGACGACTTCCCCACTGAGCTGGCTGATACTTACAATACCTCGCTGCCTTGGGCAGTTGTTAGGCGACTGCAACAACGTATGGTTCCTATGGTCGCTGAAACCACAGACAAGTATGTCGGACGATTCGGATTCGAAGCTCACTTCCAGATGCATTAATCACAATCGCAGGGCCATTCTAGATGGATTGGCTAAGGTTGGCTTTAAGACCAATCTTGGCCTACATGGAGCAGGTAATGCGTCCCTTTACCTGGAGCGTGGTGGTGGCTACTACATTGGTGGGTGTACCTATGCACAACAAAGATGTCTCTCAACAGTTTCCAGACACCGGAGCAAGTAAATCTATTATCGACGGGAATATCAAAATCAAGAACGGTTCTGCAATTGAGTCCTTCACGGAAAACGGCCTTCGATTTGCTGATGGCACCGAGCTACAGGCAGATATAATAGTATTTGCTACGGGGTATGGTGATATTTCACTTTGACGAGCAGGACTCATAATTGCTTACAGTTACGGCGATCCCCGTGACTCCATGCGCGAGGTCTGTGGAGATGCAATCGCATCAAAAATCACCAGGGTCTGGGGTCTAGACGAAGAAGGACAAACTGCGGGAGCGTGGAGGTATTGCGGGCATGATGGTCTGTGGTTCGCAAATGGTATTTTACGTCGTTCTTGCTATGGGCGCGTCAGTTTCATTTCGATGAACAGGTGATTTGGCTCTATCGCGCTTCCACAGCCTCCATTTGGCCATGCGTGAGTGCCTTCCTTGTGGTATACAGAGCGTTGCTGATGATCGAAAATGTAGAAATCAAAGCAATAGAAGAAGGTATTTTGAATAAGGCAGATATAGTTATTTGATGACGTTTCCAAGATCTGCTCATGATTAGGACTGGAACAGCTGTACAATGTACGAGTACTTGTTGCGTGAATTAAAGGTTGTATGTACAATGAATTCAAGGGGATTTTTACTATGTAATGTATCACTGACATTATTGACACGGCAAGCAAGAAGCGGGCTCACCCTTTCTTTCCTCTTATGTGCAACTAAACCACTCGTCGGGACTTCATAATGGCCTAGTATACCTCCATCGACGACAGCACAGCACTTGATACAATTTCAAGTGTCAACGTTATAACCCGCGAGTCGTCCGCACTCATACTTTTCTGCAAGCACCCGTAAGTAGTATGCGGTCTGAGATCAACTCGAAAATAGTATGTGCTGAACTTCTATTCACCAGTCTGGACAATGTCATGGCCCTCCGTTGGGGTCTTGTGGCATGTGCTTTAACGATGCCCATCAATACTGCGGCAGACATAATCATAGTGGTGAGCGAGATGAACTTCGCACTTCTTCGTCGTTGAGACGAGGAACGTGCGTGACGCGCCTTATTGCTCGTACTACCTAATTCTCGGTTTGCGAAATTCTCTCAGTGCACTCTAGAGGCAGCAGCGATAATGACAGCAAGTTTAATTCCCCCGACTTCTTTCTCAGCATTTTCGACCGAAGGCATGGCCCGCACTCATGATGCTGTCGCGCATGCAGGCCTCGCTCCGAAGTTGGAGTCTGAAGAGACTAAGCCCTGCAAGATCATGGAAACATCAAAACAGTACTGCCGATTGGACTGATCAAATGGGTAATGAATAGAGTAACGGGAGGCATGTGATGCATTCGGTATGAACAAACGATCCCGTACGCTCGAACACATCTTCTACCCCAATGTCACTCGCAATGTGTCTATGTACTAATACATCCTTCTTTGCGTTAACTTTCAACCTTCCAGCTGTATTCAGGTTTCAAAAATAACCCACTGGTAAAAACTTGTCAGTCGTGCTCCACTGCATGATCGCCAGGACCTCCTCACCATCACGAACATTATCCACACTATCAGACTCCAGGTTGTTCTCCGCAGCGCTGACCGCTAAGATCTGCGAGAAGGCAACTGACAAGAGTAGAACATAGAAACTGAGTTTGCTGATGTTAAGCACGGTCATGTTGATGATATTCTTCGCTGAGGTATGGTGTTTAAGATGTGTCGTCTTAAGATGAGATTGGGAGTTGCGTCCTTTAAATACCAGTTCGTGAGTATCATCATGCATCACGCTCGAGCATTATTCAATTGACTTGATCATCAAATCGGAGTGTGTTAGTCTTGATCAAAAAAAATAATTTCTAGCTGTGGTTGGTATCACCTCGTAATGCTTTGATGGAATTCGGCGCTCCGATTGCACGCACAGCAAGTGACTGGAGTTGACTTACTACGACTGTACTAGTACGTCGCATCAAGCATTGAACGGTACTAGAAGCCCACAGCAAGTTTCATGTAATGGTTACGGTGCTCCAGCTTTTCGGGTTCAAACCATGCGGATACATTCCCCGGCGAGATACGATAGCTATAAGTAACACCATTTCTCTCTGCTTCCACCGCGGAAAATACTAATCTTCGCAAAGCGTTCTGTACCGTTCAGGCTGTTCTGCTTGGGGCCATCAGAAGTTTTGACGTAACGATGCTCGCCGATCAAGGTGGTACGGAATAGCTTGGGTGCATAGCGCTCATGTGCAAATTAGAAAATGAGCACACCATTTGATGCTCACATACTAGAATCATTTAAATCTTGAATTTATTCGTACGCGATCGTTGGTGGATTATTTATTCAGGCGTACAAAGACAGAGGCAAATTAGCTATCCCTTCCGATGCAATCAGCACCCCATAGAAGTCGGCACTTTCACAAAATAGCCACTTGGACACAAAATGCATGGAATGGATATTTCATATTCATTACGAGGTTGAACGTTAACAACCACGATGAAGGCAGAATTGAGTGAGATAGTCGAAACTGAAAATGCGGAAGTGCCACTGTCGGGATGTGTTGATATTGCACACACCCGAGTGGGACTTATCCGCATTCGCAAGTACACGAGTAAGATGGCTGATGGCAAGTATGATGATACAGGATTGTAACCAAATGTTTCGTCTCGATGACAAAAATTCGAGGAAAATCAAGTTACGCAGTGGAACGCTGGATCATGTAGACGGCTAAATGTTCAATTATGCTATCAGCGAATTTCATAGAGTGGTAAAACACTGACCTGGTGCAGTGTCCTTGTGAGCCTGCCACCATTCTATATCGCAGCCACCGCTTGGTTCATCCTCCGAACATCCCAACTCGAAAACAAGGACGTCGTCCATCACACAAGAAAGTTTTCTGTGCCAGTTCAAGCTGTCTTGCCCTAGCACAATGTTATCAAGTTTCGCGACCCGTGGCGGTCGTACGTTAAATGATAACGTTGAAATATCAACTGGTACAGTGGCATTGAGGCGATATAAAGCAAGCGTAGTTGGTCGGTCCATAGGCGGAACGGCGACGTGCAATTCGCAATTTTCCATGCCCCAGTCAATCGCCCTGAATTGAAATATTGTTGAAACCTTTTATTCCATCAGTCTATAGAACACAGAAAAAAGGAAGATAAACTGACAGATTGTGTAACGTGGACTTTGCGGTCATCAGGAGAGATTGTGCCGGCACGTGTCGTGCGCATCGCAAGATAGTCATTGAAAACATGACTTGGCGCAGAATGATCCACCAAGCTGACAGACATGGGGAAACTTGTGAACTCTCTCGGAATAGGAGGCGACGTCCGTGCGATCTCGTCGAACCGCATATATTGAGAAGGACGACGAAGAAGGTGAACATTCTTTCGAGTAATAAGTTTGTCTGAAAATACTGAAGAGTCTTGGAGAAAGGCAGGGGTATAGACCAGTAACAGGTTAAGGAACGTGCAGAAGATTACGATGACAAGAGGCCAATGGAGCACAGACTGCACAGTTCGTGAAGTTTCATGCAGCTTTGCTTTGTGGTCGTCATCACTCTCAGAGTCAATGACTTCTTGTGGTGTCAGACTCAATGGCCTGTAAGACCTGGAGCGTGAGGAAAAGAACATGACGGGGAGAATAACTTCGACTTGAATTGATCATCATAGCAAGGGTAATTTGAAGAGCACTGGACGATCCGGATTCCGATCAGCCTGAACGGCACTTGCTGAGTTATTACATAATTATCACACAATTATAATCATAGTACTATTGAGGTGTTCCAGCTCACACTGCCATGAGCTGTAAAGATTAAGATGGCTCGAACCCTAGGCAAGTGCTCGAGCTGTTCTAAGTTTTACAGTTGAGAAAACTTGAGTGTTTTATCTTTCAGGTTCAGGATGGATGAAGATCACATTCCTCACAATTGCAGTACTAGTAAGTTCATCAGAAGACCACATGGTGCATCCCGAATGCAGTTCAAAGCCCATAACTTCTTTCTATCTACGGTTCTACCGCTACGGACAGCCCTGGGCGTATCAGCTCACGCAGCCATCAGGCCTGCGGTAATACAATCATTCCTCCGAGCCTTGATGATACCATGCCAGTAAGATGCATCAAAATGCCTCATGATTCTACTGGTAAAGGACAGACCTAAGATGGGTGGCCGGTGCGCCGTAACTGCGAGATCCGCCCAGCATATCGGAATGATCTTGGGCCAACTCGGCTAACCCTGGCCAATGGCAGTGCTAATCAAACTCATCAGCAGGATTTCTGGACAAATTTGATGATCAAGAATGCATTGCGTGTCGAGCGGTATTAGCGATTTCCGAAGGACTAAGTTGGACTCGGGGGTTCGGGATTCTTAAGAAGTATGCCTGTCGTGGACGTGATGGACTGGCATCAGCGGGAAAACTGAAGTATTTATCTTTGAGGTATGTCATTCAGATGTTTGCCGCTCTTTTTCCTTATTACCTCAATCGACTAGAGTCCTTCAAGCAATCTCTGATCAAAAAGTGATCAAGAGACTCGAGGCGGTATCGGGGGTGTGTGGAAATGGCTTGTTCAATTGCTATCAGCGTCTTCTGGGTCCAAAATATCGCAGGCGCTTCTCCTCGAGGCCGTCGCAATCGAGTTGTTAGCGACAACTCAACTTACTAGTAGGTCCTATTGACAAATTTTCAAATACTTATCATGATCGCTATACATAGAACAGCACTGGGCGATACTTTGGGCCACTTTTGGATGGAGACACAAAAACTCTGACCTGACGATGCGCAGTATTTTGACTTGGCCCGTGGAAGCAGGCACCCTTCATGCGACACCTACTATGTCCGCTACTTTTTCATGTATACTGCAGTGAGGTCTTTGGCAGACTCGCTGACTATTCTCGCAACGCTTCTAAAACTGCCATTGACGTCGTGTTTGGAACTTATCTTTGCTTCGCCCTCGTCATCCTCAACAATATTAATGAAATTGCTCACGACATCCAAGTCATCCTCTATCATCCACAGCACACTTTTTACGGGCATGTGTGATTTGCTTTAGCACTCGCTTCAGATCATTGTATTGAAGTGGCCCGCGCACTATTTGTCAGTTTTGCACGTCCCAAATTCTTGTCATGGGGGACAATAAACTGCGGCCATGTCGTTTATTTTTGGTTTCATGGCCCCTGAGGCCTGATGCATGATGGCCCTCGGTGATCATCTATTACGGCGTGCTTCACCAATATCGAACACTTCATAGCGGTATTACACTTGCTGTGTGTTGAGACTAGAACACCTGAAGACTCGACGATCAACAGACAACTTTCAATAGCATTCCCATAGCAAATGAATGGATATCGATAGAATATAGCAGTAAATTAACGAAAGTGAGATATCGATGTTACATAGCGAGAGACTGTGGGGATAAAGGATAAGCACTGGCAATACAAATGGGACGAGAGGAAACCAATAACCAAGCATAAGATATTATACACATTCACCTTCTCACCACCGGCGTGCCCCCTTTTTGGGAGTTACACGAGTGGATTTTCTCGGTGGAGCGTGGGCTGCAGTACTAGCAGCTTCTTCCACATCCTCGTCGTCCTCTAGATGCTCCTCCTCCACGATCATCCCTGCCGCTGCTCCCTGCAACATTGCCGCCACTGGTGATGAAGCACCTCCCCGCCCACGCCCTTTTGCAGCTCTGGTGCGTGTAGTGGGGCCATTCGACTCCGGTACCCGCCTTGACTTTTTGGGGATCCCATTCTCGACGTCCATATCCGGCAGAGGGCTTTGTGGGTCCAACTTGCGCTTCCCGTTTCGCACGCCATTCGCAATTTCTTGTGCATGTTGAACCATCTGCCAGCTCGGCTCCATGAGTCCTTGATCGTTCTCAGCAGCTTGGGCGAGTACTTGCGCGCGCTGCTGGAGGGGCGCACGGGTGGATTGTTGGCGCAGGTGAAGTTTGTCGAGACCCTCAGTTACAGTAGGTTGGCTTGAGCCATCGGTCATCTCTGTGTCTTCAGAGTCGTGCGAGGAGACGCAGGAAGCGCCGTCTTGGATAGATGTGACGGAAGAGTCAGTGATAGGGCGAGGTTGAAGATGGGCTAGTGTTGGAACGTCGGCAAGCCATGGGTGGGTGCAGGCTGTGCTGAGAGACATACGATCCCTAGGGTCATGCTCAAGCAACCTCTCAATGAAGTTTCTCGCTATTCGACCGTACACCCGCAAATCAGTATGTATGTTGCAAAAACTGGCGGGAATAGCGTACCAAGCGGAGAAACCTCTACTTTATCTAAAATACTCCATTGAATTGTGCGTTCTGCGATCCTGACCTTGATATCGCGCTGGTTCTCATCTTCGATGAAGGGGCTTGACAATGTAAACCTGTGCAAACATCTCCAGTTCAGCAAACAAGGGCATGACGTACGCAGGTCTCATGCTTACATGCAGAATACGATCACCCCAACACTCCAACTGTCAACAAGGTGATCGTAGCCTTCCTGGTTTTGCTGGGTCACAACTTCGGGGGCGAGATAAGCAGGTGTACCGCACATAGTCTGTGAAACATAGACCCATCAGTGATATGTTAGAAAATCAAAAGTGGGATTGCTGACTCTGAGGAAAGTAACGCTATCGACAACCTTGGCGAGACCAAAGTCGGCGACTTTGACAGTGGGGGGATTTTCCGTAGTTAGCAGCACGTTCTAAATGGCCAACATTCATAATGGAATCGACTCCTTCAAGAGAAATTCATTACCTCGGGCTTCAGGTCACGGTGCGCAATCCCTTTGCTATGAATGTACTTTGAACAGGCGACAAGTCAGAGGATTTACGGTCTCATACGGCGAGCTGACTTACTGCAAGGGCATCACAAACTTGCGCGATTATGTGGACAGCCAGTGGCTCCTCTGAAAATAAACTTGAGAATTATCAAGCATCGACAAACCGAATAACATACTGAGACCGCCCTCTCTTAATATGTAATCAAGTAAATCTCCGCCATCGACAAATTCGAGGACGAGATCTATGCAATTGATCAGCTTAGATTAGTAGGGTACACTGACATACGCACTGATACTATTATCTTCGAAAAAGGCTTCCTTCATCTGACAGATATTTCGATGATGGAGCCGTTCCAGAATACTAATCTCTCGCGCAAACGCCATTTCATTGTTGTTGGCAGTAGCACGCTTGACCTTATGGTCTTGTATAACCTTGATAGCATACCACTGGCCCGTCGCACGCGACACGGCCTTCATGACAGTTGCAAATGATCCCTTGCCGATCTCATGGCTGATGTCATACTGAGCATGAAGGCCACCGCGTGGCGAACCGGCAGCGGTGTGCCGATAAATGAATCCTTAAAAATGCATTGATGAGCGAACATCAACACGAATGCAAATGACTAACGATAGTCTTCAAGATCCCCAGGTGAGGGATGAGGAGAGCCGAAAGCAATCTCATTGCCTTCCTTCAGTACTGCTGTTTTGTCCCTTCCAATCTTAACACCGTTGATCTGCAAATTTTATCATCAAACGGTGGTCATTATGCTACGTTACCGACGCGTACCCAAGTGCCATTGCTGGAGGTGTCGAGAACAGTCACTGCGGAATTTTTGTCCTCCCTTCCGTCCCAGGTGATTTTGCAGTGCTTATTACCTACACCACGACGCGTCAATATACAGTATCGAAAGCGCTAGAGCGCCACCAAGTACACACTAGACACTCACTGACTTTTCCCCCAGGGAGAATGATATCGTTTTCCAGGGCCCTTCCCACTGAAGCTGCGGGCTGAACTTTCCAAAGATCTAGGCGGCGAAGCAGGTTGCTGCATGGCTGAAGGTAGCCCCACAGATGGCTATTGGTGTTCGCAGAATTCGGTTGAGACGCGTGTTGCGTCGACTGCGTTGCTTGCTGCGTCTCCTCGATCATAGAATCATCGAAGGGCATCGTTTCGTTAGGGATCTCTACGGGTGGTTGATTCATGGTGTCTAGTGAGACTGTTTGTTCTTCAAATTACGTGCTGAGTGAGGGGTGTTTGAGAAGGTAGGTTCGAAAAGCGAGTTTATATAGGCTGAATTTCCTGTGTGAGTGGTAGCGTTGACGAATTGCTTCAGTCGTCTACGCACCCACAGCAACAAAGGGCTACAAGCGATGAAAACCAACAAAGTCCTCAAATTAGAAGTGGAAAACCAAGGAAACTTGCATAAGCGGACGCGCTTTGATAATGCTTTGGCCGTCGTCGACGCTGGAAGGAGAAAGATAGGAAAAGATAATTCCACGGAACCGGGTTTTTTTGACCAAGGTCAAGCGCAAACTATCTGACGGTGGCTTTCAAGCGGGTGTAGTATTAATGACCCCAGTTTAACTCAGACGACGCGACAAAAGCATAACACGTGCCCCGTTCATTACGCGACTAAAAGCGGTGTCTGAATTTTCAATTGAATTCTAGCCAAACTGGGAGCTCGCACCGCCCTCTTTTTATCTTAGACTTCGAGTCTAGGCCGAACAACTAATCTCAAGAAACAAATTAGTGTTTCTTCGTTATCGTAAATAAGTGGTGGGGCTACAGTCATATGGCTAATGCGACAAAACCGCGATCGAGGGCATCAACGAAAGGTAAATAGCACGAGGGCCCAGATCAAACGCTAAAGATCGAAAGTGTCGCGCAAAGATTTAAAACATCACCGGCACCCCCAAAGCAGAGCATGTCAAATCGCATCCTCCGAGTCCCACCTTGAAACCTTCTGCAGTGGTGCATAATAATACTTCTTGAATTTCTTCGTCTCGTTCCTTTTCTGCTTTGGCATAAGCTCCTCCAGTAGCTCCGCACGCTCACGGTCTTCGTCCCTTTCAGAGACATAAAACCACCTTGCCTGCTTTTCCCCGTCCGTCCCACTACTCTGAACTTTTTCGAACATCCCGCATCGCTCGCGGCCCGCTTCAAGCATGACTGGAATGAGGTCAAGCCATTCTTTTTTACTGTGCTTCGTCTTGAGATGGGGGTGCGTTTGGGTAATGGCAGTGTGAAGAGCAAGTGGGTCCATAGACGAGGCACGCGATGTGGCGAGAGCCTCTACAAGCATGCCTATAAGCTCAACTTGCTCTGGATCAAGGGGTGCTGGCGTGGTAGAGGAATTTTCGACCGGCTCGATCTCAATGGTGGAGGTCGTGGTAATAGTGTTAATGGGGGCAGGCATCGGAAGCGAAAGTTTGAGAGGCTCGTGAGTTGCCTCGTTCGTACAGGAAGAGGGGCACGTGGTTGAGACTGCGTTTAACGCATGTTCTGAGGCTAGTAGTAATGGTGCCTCGGACTCGGAAGTAGAAATGTCACGTGGCGTGACGTTCAAAGAATGGATGTTTTGTTGCTTGGCATCAGACTACACAACATGCGCATACATGTTCAATCGCAAGGAAACGGTTGAGATACCGAAATAACGAACTCACGTGATCTGAATTGCAATCATCGTTGAGGACTATATTATCATCGATTAAGGCACAATCGTCTGGGTGCGACAGTGCTAGTGACATCGGAGAAGTAGGTGGAGATGACGGAGGAAGGGGCGAAAGACTACGATAGTCCTCGATATCATTGCTGTCGCTGGCTGTAAGGAACGGAGAGCTAGAAGGATCGTCTTTTACTCCGCTCGTCGATTGCCTGCGGACAAAGTTACGGAATTCCAACAAAGGGGACTTCGCGTCCCGAGTAATGCTTTTCACAGGGGTTGAATGCCCCCTGTGGGGGCGTATTGGACTGGACGTAAACGACTTGGTGTTGTACATTCGAGGTATGACTGGACTGTTCTGCCAGCGACCACGTTCGGAAGACGTAGCAAAGTATGTCCGGCGTGAATGAATATCCATGCTTTCGGGGTCGTACCCAAGGTCTTCCTGGACATCACGTGCCGGAGAACGCGGGCCAAGCCAAGCGAGTAAGTCATCGCTATGACAAGGCTCAGAATCCGCCATCTCATCTTCACTATCAAGATAACTTCCGTACTTGTCGGACGCATGCTGGTGGGTCATATACTTGGAAGTGCGACCTCGATGATAGAAGGGCGTTGGTGAACCCAGGATATCATCAAACTCTGAGTGAGATTCTTCACATGAACTTTGAAATTGTGAATGCGAGTATGAATAACGAGTGGCGATATTATTTGGAGGAGAAGAGTATATCGGCGTCGAAAGCGGTGAGGATGAGGGTAACGGAGATGTCACGGGTGACGGAGAGTCTAGATCATTGTCATCCGGCTCGAATAACGATGACGTGTTTATAGAGGTTGAGGAACTTTTCCTCCGAAGCCTCGCTGGAAGGTTTGGAGGAGGAGAGACCGACCACATATATGTGGAGGACATGGCAGTAAACAGTCAAGAGTATATGAGTCACGTGGAGACGCGTTCGTATATGGTCAACGCGTTTTTCGGCGGAGCTAGAAAACGCGTCGCGTTTACGGCCCGACGATACAGTTTATTTTCCCAGCATGATTTCGTTATCATCCCAAACCCAACTATCACCATCATGCATCATGACTCATAATAAACACTAAACACACAGGTCCTCACAGATGGGCCTGTCACTTGACCAGCCCGACACCCTGATTGCGCTGTGTTCACTTCCGTAGCTCAAGATGTCTCCAAGTCAGGCGGTTGGGATCACAACGTGGATCGATCTTTACTATCTCCAGCCTGGACCGACTCACGGCGTTCCATTGATGTGCATGGAGGTATCAAAAGACGTGTCCGCCCATTAAGCCCTCCACGCACAGCAAGGGCATTTGGTACGCTCAGCACCTGACTACTCTACCGTAAGGACGTCACTGTCGATGACCAACACTAAGAGACAATCGGACAGCGAGTAAAGTGGATGAGCGTATAGGATTCGAGGGATACAGATCAGATGGTGTCTAGTAGCGTACGTGTCTCTATATATACCAGTCAAAAGTATACGTGTCCAATCGGCGAAGGTATGCGTCATATGTAAGCATCCAGCTTTATACATCTATGAGCTAGATCACTTTCCGAACAATGGCTGGTCAGCATGTATTCTGTTTCACAATACTATTATGCGCAGCCCTTTCGACCACTTGCCCATGTCTGCTGTTATCTAGGACTTATAGACGTATGACTTGCCTGATTTAAGTTATGCTCGGAGGATGAATATTTGCTTCTAGAATGTGTCACTCGAAAACTAATTTATATAAACAAGTCAACTATTATATAAACACTGTAAGGCGGTCGTAAGTGGAAAAACGAGAGGATAAAGGCGTTGCAGCCAATGATGTAACATCGGTGCCGCGAATAAAGGGAATGCTTTATCCCTTTTTGCTGGCAACGAGCCTAATAACAATAAAGAATGCAAGGTAAGTAGTGATATACTAACGAGCGTGAGTCGGTAGGGTTGACCCGGTCCTTAAACAGCGACGACGTATCTATCATTTAGCAGCACTGATGATAGAGTCGAGGAGTATGTTATCGTAATCACCACCAGCTTCCCACATCGCGAAACCGTGCAGTCCAGCGTTCTTGATATACTTGCCCTTGGCAGCAAACGACTCAGCGTTGTCAAAGGAGATCATAACTTGTGATGACTCATTGTACACATACGGCTGTCAAAGCAATGAAATGAGCACTCCTCCTTCAGGGTGGAAAAACATATTTACCGTCTGACTGCAGGTGTCATATCTATAGTAGATGCCATTAGCGGGCTTGCCTTCTTTGGTGAGGAAACCGTTGTCAATGAGGCCCCAGAAGTTGAAAGTGCCACCTGAGCCCTCGTAAACACCGCAGGCATCAACAGAACCGGTGTTATCCCATGTATCACCCAAGGGCTGGTTCGAGGCGTTAAAGGAGGGATATGCAGCCAGTTGCTTCCCCGATTTACCACTGGCAGGTGCGAAGGCGTCAGAGGGTGCGACGCTGAACGAGTGACCATAGGTAGGAACGCCGAGCACGATCTGGCTGGCTGGCATCCCTGCGTCCGTCCAAGCCTTGACTGCAAAAACAGCAGAGCCCTGTTGTTTCGCAGACGCAGCGCAGGAGTCGTTCAACGGGGAGTTTGGGCCCACATTAGGGAGCCAAGAGCCCCAGACGTCGTAGTTCATCACAGCGATGTAATCGAGTACCTTCGCAAACCCACTGACGTCAGTAGAAGGATTTCCGGTAGCGTCATCGAAGGGTGCGAGAGACACGGCAGCGGAGATGGTGAGTTTTTTTGCTACTGGATTTTTGCGAAGCTCTTGGAGGAATGAGAGGAAATTCGCCGTGTCGTTAGCGCTAACGACATTGCAGCCAATTCCCTGATGGTTTGGGTACTCCCAGCTATTGGAAAAAAGGTTCAGCGCGTGGTGTTTGTGTCACAATAATTGACCTACTCGAACTGGACACCATCGAGGTTGTAATGTGAAACAAATTCTGTCACAGTCTTGACAAATGCCGTCCGGTTTTTGGCGGTGGCAAGGTTGGAAGAGAACCAAATACTCCCAGTCCAGCCTCCGATAGCAATATGGGCCTCAACGCCCTACGCGTGGGTTAGACATTAATTGTAGGAGCGTAAATTCTTATTTTCTCACATGTGCATGGGCCTCGGAGACGAACTGAGGGAGCAGCTCACCATCAGAGCCTGCCAGGGTCAGACTGGTGACAGACTGAGTGGTCTCACTAAGAGAAATAAACATGATTGCGTTAATCACCTCATCAAAGTCTATTGTGAGACAGGTAGCTTACGCAAATGAGTAGTACAGTGTGTTGTACTTCTCCCAGACGATTGAAGAGAGCGGAAATCCATCAGTAGCGTGCCATCCGGCGTACCAAGCTGCTGCGACGGGTTTGGTAGAACGGGCGGCATTGGAATGGGCGGCAACGGAACGGGCGGCATTGGAGTGAGCGGTGAACGGGCTGGCGCTTACAGCAGACAAGGCAAAAAGTGGTAAAATGAGGGTGGATAGCATGGCGAGAGACTTGAGAGACTGAGGTGGAATTGTAATCGTGGCGACATCTTATAGCGTTTCCGCCATATGAGTGAAACCAGGTTCAGAGGTTGTTGCGTTGGGAGCCAAACGGTCCATATATGTGGTTGCAAATATGAAGACTGGCATCAATTGCGATCTTGCGGTACGTGTGACTCTGTACCACGGAAGCGGTCCTCGGCTATTGCAATTTGGTTTCCCGGTATTGTCGAGAAACGTACGGCCGTTCGACCACAATATGCGGCGATCTATGAGGTTCCAGAAAACAGCAACTTCATAGCGTAAAACATATGACAATACTCTACGCAGAATTACCAGCGGATCGGTCCAAATTCCATCTCATAGCATTTGCCTAAGGAACAGCATCAGCATCTGTTAGTATGCACTCGGTTCACCCACCGACTCGGAATGACGGCGACTGATATTTGTACGTGTTTGACAAGATCGGCTAAAACAAAACAAAACATCAAGGATCCCCTAGTGCCAGCCAGGAGCAGCTGATGCCATGCTTGCGTTCAGTACATCAAAGGCAACGGGATATGTGACCATGTGCTTTTGAAGGAGGGATCACTGAAGAAATGCTGAATTCAAAACACAAGAATGAAGGAACGTACTCTGCTTATGGAGACTAATTTAAATTCACATGGCAGGCTGCAGTGTGCACTATGCAGGCTTATGCAGGACGTGGCAAAAAAATCACTGTTTATCGTGTACAGCGGAGATAAGTCCCCGACACGACGGTCGTGCGCATCATAGTGACGTCGGCACTTCACCGAATAGTGCCACGAGGACGACTGCCGAAAGTAATGGTAACAGTCGGGAAGATCGGACTGAAGCTGTCATACAGACAGATAGACAGTAGGTAATACTTATTGAATCGGAGGCTGTTCGGAGCAAAGCCTCACGTAGTAATCGAAGAGGAGCAGAGGGGACTAGTCCGTCCTAAAGGACAGCGTTGCAGGATCCTGGACTGGTCGCGGAACGGGATAGAGGTGCGCGTGAGTGTGCTGCAAACAGAATATTCCGATCCCAGCCCTCCAGGCCCATTCAGCATCCGCGCTTGTTGTTATTCAGCGTCACAGGCACGTTCGGGTGGTGTCCTCGCTGCATGCAGTTGGGGGAAAGAACAGTCTTAAGCTGTCATTGAGGCTATTTTCACCACCATATAAATCATCGTGTCTGTAGTCTGTAGATGAAGTAAATAATACAATCGCACCACGAAAACGACTTCAAGTTGTATGCCCCATACTAAGTTGACTAGAATCAGGCAGCCAGCTACCCTCACGTCAGAGCATTGTAAGAAAAATCACGACTAATTGCTGCTGGTTAATGAATAATAAGGTGAAGGAGTTGTACAATGCACACATGAGTTAATGCGAAGTAACACGTCAAGTCACTTTCAGGAGCCGTGAGAGTGTCGCGCACGGGCCAGGCCAAAAAGATATATAAACCTTGCACGCAAATAATGAATTCCTTAGAACATACTCAGCTAGGATCTATTTTATAGAAACTAACTCGAGTCTCGCATGTTTACACATGCCACATTCTTCAAATCCACTCGATGACATCCGCGCTCTCTCGTTCGACAGAGAACATAGCTTCACGTTTACGTGGGGTTTCGAGGACGTTTGGTTCTGTCCTTCGTGCGACTGCTTGCAGTTTAGCGAAACGGAGCCAGCGAGTCGAGCGTCTGTCTGATGGATTTCTATTTGTATCGTACCAATTTTCTGTACACATCATGGAATGCATCTGGCCAACTTCAATCAACTGTCTGAGATATAAGAACATTCAAAAATTTAAGCTCGCCCTATAGGAAGTCTTCTATTCTGAGACAGGCAGTTTGTAGTGGGGACATAACTGCAAATGGCAATTCTCTGAAGTTCAAACGAAAATAACATCAAAATATAGCTGATGTCACATTGCAAGTACAACTTGTTCAGCCTTGAATGTAATGCTTTGCTTTTGCGAAGCACATACAACAACGGGCATGCGAGTGTGAACGCCTGGAAGCTCATCGATACCATAACACTATGAGCATTGAGGTGAAATTCACGCTGAGAATATGGTGAACATATACACCACCCGAGCACATAAGGGAGAGAGACCATGATGTCATATTTTGCATGTCAAAAGTCGCAGACAATGTAAATGGAGAGGAAGCAAAACATGCACATCGAGAATTATATCGCGTACGACGCCTAATCCCACCCGCTAGTAGTGGTGGGTTCTGCTCCCCATCCACCTGAAGCAGGCTCCGCTGACCAATCGGTGGTAGGTGCAGCATCTGCTGCCCAGTCGAGAGCACCTGAAACATATTTGTAAATGTAGGTATCATCCCGGCACGGCACCTGTACTCACCACCGTCTTGGGCGACAAGAGCAGGGTTGATCGAGCCTGGCTGAGGAGCGGATGGAGCATCCCACTCTGACAGGCCGCCCTGGGCCTCTGGCTCGGCAGCGGCAAGCTTAGCCTGTGCTTCCTCCTGTTGTTGCCTCTCCACTTCTTCAGGGTCGCGGTAGAAGAACATGTCAACCATCACATTCCACCCATCAGGAGTGCGAGGGATCGTCCCACGGAGCCTCAACACCTCCCGTGCGAGCAACCACCAAATCAAACCAATCGAATGACGAGTCTTGTTGTTCGTGGGGATGGCAACGTCAACGAACTTGAGAGGTGCATCCGTGTCGCAAAGAGCAATGACGGGGATGTTAACATACGATGCCTCGCGAATCGCCTGGTGGTCAACGCGAGGATCGGTGACGATAATGAGACGGGGCTCTTTGAAAGAGCGGGTGATGTAGTTCGTGAAGGAACCAGGGGTGAAACGGCCGGCAATGGCTTGTGCGCCAGTGTTGGCAGCAAATTTGAGCACTGCACGGTGTCCGTAGGGGCGAGCAGAGATGACACAGACGTCGTTGGGGTTCTCGACAGCGGCGATCACTCGTGCGGCAAAGACAAGCTTCTCCCAAGTCTTGCCAATGTTGAGAATGTGAATGCCTGTGCGCACAAGAATTCAAGACAGCGTAAATGTAATTTGTGCATGAGAGGCGTGAACATGATTTTGAGGGCGGACTAACCGTCAACGCGGCGCTTCCAAACATAAGGCTCCATCTGCTTATCGCAGTTTTTTGTGCCGATGTGACATTGCGCTGCCAGGAGGAGTTGAATTTCCTCGTCAGTTGCGCTCAGGACGGAAGGAAGTTTTGACGACATGATGGGCCTGGACACAGTAGTAGAGATCAGTATAATGTTCGTCGTTTGAGATGATTTCCTATATAGCCCGTATATTCCACCAATACATCCATCCACCTTCTACATAGTCAATCCACCCGATCCGCCAATGAAAACTGCGCAAATTGGAATGATGAGATGTTCAAACATACCGTAAGCGTAGTTTTGTGCTGGACGTCGGCTTGCTACGACGTTTGGCTGAGGGGTTTCGATTCCTTTGAGCTCGCTATGCTCTCCTCGACAGTGTTTGGAGGTAGTATGTTTGGACAGTCCGCTCGGTAACTACCGCATTATTCCCACGCTGTGTTATTGGTCACTTGTTGAATCCTGTTGCTGCTTTTCCACGAACTATGTTTCATCGTTTTCAACGTCAAGTCTAGTCTTATGGTGGTCAACTCGGACGTAAAAGGGTACTCCTCGAGCCTACGAGGACCTTGACGAACACTGTACCTTCAAGATCCGGAGTTGGAGTTTTACAACCGACACGCGTCAATCATTCTGAAGTGTTGTAGCCCATGTAAGCCGAGTAATCAGGGACACAATTTTAGTGTCCACGTCAGGAGTCACAACCGACTGGTCAGGACCCATCATTCCTGTCACTTTGCGAGAGAACCCTTATAAGATGAGGTGAGTACTATCACCTCCGTTACCCTCGCCAATCATGCACAGGTTCAACGAAAAAGGTTTTCTCTTAGGAGGTTAGCAATATATCCGGATGAAGGTCAACTCGCGTTGGTTTTGGTCTGGCTCCAGTTGGCCACTTTCCCACTGGAAGCGGACAGTCTTAAAGTTGCCGCAGTCCGGTTCAGGTCCGGTTTGACTTGAACTCGAACCTAGCTAGGCATGCAGTTCTGGACCCGGACTTAGACTATCGGTTCAGATGGACCGGTTCTATGCAGGTTGTGTCCAGGTTGTAACTTCGAAATTACTATTTTGAATTATGCTTCTGCACTTCCCGCGTTGCATCATCCATCAAGCTTAAGCGCCTGTTCTGTGCAAGCCCATTTCGTCCTTTGACGCCTCCGCTCCTTCTCGTAAGTGTCCTTGACAGTTTGGATGTTACTCAAGTTCTTCGGGAGAACTTGAAGGCGAGCAAGCCGTTTCGTGTCTGTGAGCCTAGCATCAGAAAGGCGCATTCACACCGTAAGGAAGACCCTCGAATAGGCAAAAAGTAGAATGCGATACAACTCATTGGGTGGCGAATAGCATCAAACCTAAGAAATTTATAGTGAACATGCAATTGTCCTATTGAAGGAGGCAACGCAACATAACGTCGAAGATGGAGAAGTGATCAGGGGTAAGGCAATTTTTTGTGTAGGTGAATAACTATATTCTATTGCAGGCATCTTGGAGTGAATTGTCAACATTGGCCGCACACTGGTCCATCATGTGAGAGAGAGACAAATTCACCAGGTGCCAGCGTATTGGTACTTCATATACAACTGTATGTTACCAAATCTCTAACCGAGAGGCTTTTAGCTCGTAACATACATTCGTTTGTCTTATGATTGATTATCGATTATGGTTGGAACAGGTTCACGATCCCGAACCCGAACAATGGACGTCCGACCGAGCCATAGTTCGGTTCGATCTGCAGAACCGAACTGCGGCAACCTAAGATATGGTATATCTAATCTAAGTACTTATGTTCCGAAGATGACTTGGAGTGATTGCAATCTGGCGCCAGTCTCTTGATGAGTAAACCTCACTTGGTACACAGAGTCCATATTCTGGGTAACCATTTATGCTGGCATGTTGAACTTTGTCATTAAGAGGTAGTCTAGTGTTACTGTAGTTCTATGTTTCTGACTCACCGGATGAACGTACTCCAAGTTGTGACTGGAGGCTGGCCAGCCGCAAGGCTCACACGACCTAGTGACAGTGTGAGCTCCACACCAATAGGCGATGGGGTCACACTGAGTCTTGGCAGCAACGCCAGCAATCCGGGTTATTACCTGCCTGTGGCTGTACAATTTGAATCTATATAGTACCCTTCCACGACACTCCTTCAAGTTTCTCGGTTTCAACACCATGGCACTCTATGCACGCCACCCCCGATTTACGGTCGCCCTTCTCATATTAATTTTCATTTCGTTGGTCATGTTTGCGAGTGACTCGGCATCTTTTAGCTCAGTCCGCTCCATGGCCTTCAACAAATCTAGGGACGACGCGCTTGCAGAGGTCCTTGCGCTGGAAGAGACGCATTATGAAGAAATCGTGCAGCGACGAAAGCAGCTCATTAAAAAATGGGGACCAACACCGGATAAGGTTGACCCGTGAGTTCGCAAATATCTCATGGGACTCTGACGACACCCAATTGATATTCGCTCCTTGACAGGTTCCCCTCGCATGGCGAGTTTTACACGCTCTGTGAGTAATTCCGCTCATAGAATCACGTGGCAGTGCCGCAGTGGAGCTAGGGCTCACATGGGTGTGTTCGCAGGGGACTTCTTTCTGCCGTCATTCAGATGCCCTCACCGCGTCGAGCGTATTGGGATTATGGGCGATGGAGGTAAATGGGTCTGTGGACTAGAACGCATAGCTCCCAAACGCGAATGCAATATCTATTCTTTCGGTGCGATGATTTTTCGTTCATTGGATCATAATGATTACTGATTACTGATTAGGGGTTAATGGCGAGTCGTCTTTCGAAGCGGATCTTATGAAAGCAGCGCCTGGTTGTCAGATTTATGGCTATGATTTCAGCGTCAGTTCCGTAAGTTTGTTCTCTCAGCATTAGTCTACTTGAATTGACGTACCCGTCCTGCAGTTTGGTCCCGAGATTGAACAAGATAGGGATTTGAAATCACGCTCTCACTTTTTCTCGTACGCACTCGGGCCTGAAGACAAGCACAGCGCAGCCGACGATCCAAAAACGTTTACTCTTCGTACTCTCATGGACCGGAATGGACACGATTTCATTGATATCCTCAAAGTTGACATCGAGGGCAATGAATTTGATTCATTGTCAACGTTCATCGACTCTTTCCATGGTGAACCGCTCCCATTTGGCCAACTCCAGCTTGAAGTGCACGTGTACCCAGGCAGTGCTTGGAACGACTTCCCGAAGTTCCTCGGGTGGTGGGAAAAGCTGGAAGCTGCTGGCTTGAGGCCGTTCTTCTCTGAGCCAAATCTTGTCTATGTAAACCTTGTCAGAGGCGTTCGGCCAGACCTTATAGAGGTGTGTATTGTTATGTCGATATTAGTGTATCGGTACTGACGTGCTTTCAGTATTCTTTCATTAATATTCGCGGTGATCATGAGCTAGTGTCCAACCGGCCCCCATCTCCGCGATCCGGCTAAAAAGTCTGCAGGTCGGACGGATTCTTTATTTATCAAAATCGGACATGTTGCATCGCTCCTTTATACTGTATTAAAGATTTATTGCTCCTGATCATGGACAATATCAATTACTCGATTTTTCCCTTACTGCAGGTGCCTTAGCTTCAAACGGATCCAGAGACCACTCGTTTATTACTACTATGTATGTCAAATGAAGCCATCAAGTCCAAGATTTACCTCGCAGTAACGTTAGTGCTGGTGCCTTGCTGATATACCCCTAAGCAAATGCCTTGATTTAGTGGAATCCATGATGCGACTAAATTAACAATCGACAAGTTTAGTGACGGAATCCCAGTTCCGAGTCAGGGACCGCGTTCGCCTTGCGGAACGAAATACATATAAAATAGGCCAACTTCCGGCCTTGTGACTTAGTCAGACGATCCCCTTTCTCGTATTTAATTGTGATGAGTCTGAACCGCTTTCTTCTGAACGCCTTCCAAGTCAGACGGGCTCCCACTCTTCAACGCACTTTCCACTCCACGACTCTAGCCACCATGCCTCGCACCGCTGCGACAGAGAGCTTCAAGGTGAGGCAATGTACCTTCTTATTAGTAAGATGAAATCTAACTCGAGATATCATAGTTTAACCACACCATGATTCGTATCAAGGACCCGAAGTTGTCCTTACCTTTCTACATGGATGTAAGCTTTCCTGTTATGGTAGTGCAGCCGGATTGACTAAAGTACTACTTGTCGAGACCCTCGGCATGGACCTCGTTTCTGGTGAGATGGACTTCGAATCCTCGTGTCGATGAGTATACCACGGAATATATGCAACAGAGCAAAACATGGGTGACTTCACCCTTTACTTCCTTGCCTTTAATTACGACGGGATCGCCTCGCTCCCAGCTGAGCAGAAGGCTAAAGCTCGTTTCAACCGCGAGGGTAAGTTGCCTCCTATCAGGCGTCATCTCTGATAAGCTCACATGCACATATGTATCAGGCATCCTTGAGCTCACTCACAACCACGGCACCGAGTCCGACCCAAACTTCCAAGGCTACGCTAATGGCAATTCCGAACCTGGTAGGGGTTTTGGCCACATCGCTATTACCGTGAACAATATCGAGGAGGCATGTGCACGTTTTGAAAGCCTCGGGGTTCCCTTCAAGAAGCGTCTCACCGATGGTAAGATGAGGCACATTGCCTTCATCTTGGATCCCGATGGGTGTGTTTTTCTATTGATGTCCTTGACATCGTTTCGCTCACTATGATGCCTTAGCTACTGGGTGGAGGTTGTTCCTCAGTCCTTGAGCTTGTAGAGAATGTTGGACGAATTAAAGCAGTAGTCAAGTTGATAAAATTCAAGTTGTATCCTTAGCACTCATCTCGAAAGTATGTGTCTACAGACTTCCAAATCACGCCTTGGAGTTGCACGCTATCGGCGATCGATAAGTCTCCAGAGCCAACTCATCACAGCGCGGTGTTGGACTCCATCTCCGCTGGGCGGATTAAGGAGTTTCGAACCTGAAATTTGAAGGCTCACGACTACACCCCTGACAGTACCTAGTAGATTCCAGAATCATCATCGATCATGCTCCCTCGACAAGGCCTATCATCATCTGAGGAACGTGAATATCAGAACACGGGATGCTAGTAAAGAATCCTGCGAATGCATCTTCTAAGCTGCATCAATCATTGCCTCCCTTGGCTCCAATTTGGTCAGAAACTCGACTCATTGTCGCCAAGGCTCGCTGGCAGAATTCTGGTTGGATAGGGTTGGATGCATGTTACTGTCGGTAGGAGGATCATAGCGACCAAGGTCCAAGATGTCATTTGCCACGGGACTCCGTCCGATACCTCACTGTTGAAGTGACTGAGCCAGCCTGGCAGCGTCCACTTGAACGAAGTGGTCAGGTAGCATGTCTGTCTTGTAAGCGAGCACCTGCCACCACGATCATAATGCAAAATCTAGGATACTCGCGCATGCCTACCAAGGGCCGCACGTAATGTCTTTCCTGCAATTTGTGGGCCGAAGGTCCTCTGCACCAGTGTCGACGGGCGTGGCAGAGATTGCTGATGCTAAAGGACGGCGAGGACAGTTGCAGAGGAGAAACACATTGTTTGTGAGTCGTGTAATGAGATCAGATAGTTCTGAAGGAAGACGACCATGTGCTGAATCAAGAGGTACCCGCTCGGGAAAATGTACAGGAGGCAACTACTGCAAAACCAATCTGCCTCGGGAGCTTCAACCAAATAAACACATTCGAATGAAGCTGTTGGAAATGGAAGCAGCCGCGGTGATAGAACAACTTGAAGACAAAGTACACGTGGGTAAACTGTCACACTCAATTGTGTGACCGCCTTATTTGGAGCATGTCACACCAAGTAATACATGTATGATGTCGGCATGGTTTTTTATTAACGTGGTGCTAGAATCATAGTACTATGTAAAAGCCATAACATTTCGATGCGCCCCAACCGCGTGCATGATGGGCTCTGTTCTTTGGACGCTCCTTGCGTCAACCCTGGCTGTTGCACATGTCTTTGACCTCTCTGAGCTACAGTGGACGCTCAAGAACCAGAATGGCTCTATTGTCGTGCCCGGCTCCTTACCCTCACAGGCTCACCTTGATCTTTTCGAGGCTGGTATCATTGATGACCCATTGCTTGGTATCAACGGTGTGTTGTGCAACGTATCAATCAATTATTCTATCGTTCATTCGTCACAGAGTTCACAGAAAGATGGGTCATCAACGACAACTGGACTTACACCGCGGACTTGACTCCATTCACTCAAACTTACCAGAGTAACACGTCCGGAAAGACACTCCTTGTTTTCTATGGAATCGACACCATTGCTAACATTGTCTGTGGTTATGTTCACGTATAAATTTATTTGTGCATTAACACCGATGACCTAGACGTTGGCCGGCCACCCCGTGGCTTGGGTCAACAACCAGTTCCGGCGTTACACCTATGACATCTCAGACTACTTGAGTTCTTCTCCTGGAGAGAACAACCTGACGATAGCGCTCGAGAGCGCGTGGTATTACGGACTGAATGTAACAATGCGACCAGATGCTGAATACTTTCCCAATACTCCAATTGTGTCCACTTCGGATAATGTATGCGCGCAGTTTGTCTCTCAAACACCTCTGATATTTGATCGATTCAGTTTGAGTATCCTAATGTTCGTGCGTGGATCCGCAAGATCAACGACGACTTCGGCTGGGATTGGGTGTGCTTCATTACTTTTTTCAATGTATGCAACTTTCTAAATATCAATAGGGTCCAGCTTTTGTTCCCAGTGGCGTCTACAAACCGGCCTACCTTGTGACGCTCTCTGAGTCTGAACTTCGAGATGCAGCTTCGAATGCTACGTCATGCCCTGTGACGAGCAGTTCTATCCTTTTGGATGAAACTTCTCTCGATATTTACAAGTACGGCCAAAATCCATCTGTTGCCCCTGATCAATCCGCAGACTGGATTATCAACGTTACATTTGCCATTCGCTCAATCAAATCGTTTGAGAAGCCGACTATCACTCTGTCTATCCCAGAACTCAAGCTCACATCGGAGCCGTTGAATCCTGGACCTATTCCTGCCAACGCCGATGAGAACATATACCTGTGTGTCAACTGGTCTATTCCAGACAATACTCCTGAAAGATGGTATCCGATTGATCTTGGTAACCCCAAGCTCTACAACCTAACTGTCACTTTGGACCCATCTCCCGGTCAGGGCGATTGGCCAAGCGCTGAATCGATCACTCAGACCATCACTACTGGCTTCCGCACCATTCAACTATTGCAAACTCCTTATTCCGAAGAGGAGATTACATCGCGAGGTATTACCCCTGGTGACCAATGGCATTTCGCTATCAACGGAAAGGCATTCTACAGCAAAGGCACGAACATAATCCCTTTCGATCCCTTCTACTCGCGCATCAAACCTGAGGCAGTTCGTTGGGTCCTGGAGAGTGCTGTCAAGAGTGGCCAAAACATGGTATTGCAAATTTTATAGTCATGGAAAGACTAGTTGAAGATGATTTACTCCCTAGCTTCGTGTTTGGGGTGGCGGTATTTATCAGCCATCCGATGCTGCAACTGATGGAGGGTTGTATAGCTTCTACAGTCTTTGCGATGAGCTCGGGATACTTGTGTGGTCGGAGCTCATTTTCTCCGATTCACTATTCCCCATTAACGACTTCTTGCTGGAGTCCATCGAGCCTGAAGTGCGTCAGAATGTCCGAAGGGTTAACAGGCACCCAAGTAATGTACAATGGGCCGGTGGCAACGAAATTGAGGGTATCGTGATGGCAGCCAACGCCTCCCTTGCTAATGGCACGCATTACCTGGATGAGGTCCGCAATCTACTGTGGAAAGAAAACTGGCTGACTGATTTTCGCCCCACAGTTCGTTTACATGTTCCAAGATTACCTACATGATATCGTGCTTTCCGAGACGAACTCTATTCCGTACACCGACTGTTCGACAACTCGCGGTGTTCTAAGTCTCGATCCATATGTACTTCGTTTTGCAAATGGCACCCCAGGATATATCTATGGGAATACTGGTGTGTTCTTAGTTAGTCTTGATCCGGTGGCTTCCTAATACCTTCATCACAGAACGATATAACTATAATGCCTCGGAGGCCTTCGATCTGACGACGTACCCTGTTGGTCGGTAAGTCCAAGCACCAATTTTTTTACACCGTCGGACTAAAGAGAGGACTGTAGGTTTGTCAATGAATTTGGGTGGGCACCTGTCATTGATGAAAGGAGCCACACTAATGCTGTTACAGTTTCCACTCCATGCCCTCGTTCTACAGCTGGAAGGAGGTCCTCGAAAATCCCGAAGACTACGCATTCAATTCCTCTGTCGTGATGTCCCGTGACCACCATCCTCCTGCTGGCAATCTCTCGTGGCCGAACCCCAATGCGCCTCAAGGCCAGTATCAAATGACCGCTGCTGTCGAACTCTGGTTTCCCACTCCTGGAACTTCGGACTCAAACCAGACCTTTGCTCAATGGTGTTGGAGCACTCAGCTTTTCCAGTCCATGAATATGGTTGCCGAGATCGCATGGTACAGACGTGGTGCGGGTTTGGGCGAGAACAACCTCGGAAGCTTGGTTTGGCAACTCAACGACATCTGGCAGGGTGTCAGCTGGTCAGCTATTGAATACTCTGGAAGATGGAAAGTTCTTCAGTACGGTTTGGCGACTGTCTACTCCCCTGTCATCATCAATCCCTTCTGGTTCCCAGGGAATGAGTCGCTTACCATATTAGCTACGTCTGACCGCTGGGAGACGGTCAACGGTACCGCGCAATTGACATGGTATGACTGGAGTGGAAATGCGATCAGCTCTACGACCACGCCATTCTCTATCCCGACTCTGAACAACTCACTCATTTACGAGGGAACCGGCCTCCATGCTATCCTGCCCCATGGTTACAATGCCGAGGACGTCTGGCTCCTGATGAACGTGACAGCTACCGTGGATAACAAACTTGTGACCAGCGAGTCCTACGTATGTCCTTTCTGTTTCCGGTATGAATAAGTGTGATAAGTAATTTGTCCATTAGTTCACTCCGGTGTCGCTCGCCTACTCCAACCTCGTCGACCCACAAATCACTGTAATCGCAGGCGAAAACTATACGTTCACATTATCTGCCAAGGGTGGCGTAGGTGCTTGGACATGGCTTGATCACCCTTCGGGGACGGTTGGGTACTTCCTCGATCCTATGACTGGGCTTCCTTCAAATGGTTACTACCTCATTCCTGGTATCGATCACACTGGTACGCCTGATTGCCCGATATCGTTGTCGCATAGCTCATTGCAATTCGTCAGTCCAATTTATATCCAGCGTGGAGCTTGCGACTGTCCAAAGTCCTGATCCCGCTGACTTCGTAGTGAGGTCGTTGTGGAATAACACTCATATTTAAGGCGTAGTCCGGAAATCATGTACTTTGCAAAATACCAGGTTATTCACGATGAAGCGTATGTCCGAATGAATGTTATTTACCCTCGGTAGTGCAGAGATGAACTGGTATAAAAATTGTACAGACCATTAATACTCATAACAAGGGCGTGCAGGTAATATATACGTGGTTTAAATGCAAATGCAGTACAGTGATGCAGCTGAGTAATGAAAAGGAGATAGAAATCACAATAAAAGGTCAACATCGAGATAACAATGAAGTTATTAAATGAAGCGTCTGTTCGTCAATACCCTCGTGGCCTTCTAGAGCTGTCACGATGGCGGACGATTTATCGGATAGTTTCTTGAGAGCTAAACATGCAACAGCGTTCTCAAGCCGTAAGGAAAGCGAATCGAGGTGCATCATGATCTCAAGATCAGATGTTTTCTCGTTCATCGGGGGAAGAAGCAAGTTCGGATCACCATACATCACCGAAGGCTCCAAAACGTCTTCGTCGGAGAGAGGCTCCGATGGAAGGTCAGACACATACTCCTTCTGTTCGAGGCGAGGACGAAAGATACGGCCCGAAGTCAGGGCTTCGATACGCAGACATAGCATAGCTAAGTCTCTAACTTGAGCAATGCTCAGCTGGACTCGGGCTGTGGATGTGGATGTGCTCAAATGCGACCCAGATGCATCTAAATCCTGACGGCCTAAGAGGGCTGCTGGGTAGACGAGGGAAACCATCTCCGGAATCTCCAGCCCCTTCAATTTCACTTCCCCGGCAGGGACGAGAGCTATCTGCATTTGCCGGATCGCTTCGATAGCTTGTGTTGGCTGAAACTCTGAATACTCTGTGTCCTGACCATTCTCGAAGATCTTGGCATTCATCTCACGAACGACGTCGGCGCTGCACATAATTTGCCCACCCAGTGCGATCCCGCTGATACGAGCGGCCCGAATGACCATGGGCCCAAAGTAGTCCATCCGACCAGTGATAGGATCTGGTTCGCACACCGGAGTACCGCAGTGAACCCCCATGCGGACTGAGAGTCCACGTGCAAGAAGCTGTCCATGCTCATCATACACCTCTTTACCTTCGGGGCACTCTAATATCTCCAGCGGCCAGGGTTCGTGGAGAAGTTTCAGTTGAACGATGAGGCACCACCACATCGCGGCAAGGGTAGTCGGAAAGGAGCACATGAATGCATCGCCTTCCGTCTTGACAACGTAACCACCACAAGTTCGAAGATGTCGTCGCAAAAGGTTATTGTGAATACGCATTGCTGTGGGCATGCCTGCATTTGCTTCCCATAATTGTGTTGAATTTCGAATGTCGGTGAATACCAAGCAGAGATGCCCAGTGGGCGGTGAAACCTCTCCTTCTAAGCGAGCAATGGTGCGATCAACGATATCTGCTTTCTTCCCTGCCCTCTTTTTATTGATAGAGCTGTAAATATCTGGATCCACGAGCGAGTCTGTTATGGGCTGTCGAGAGCGGAAGAGGTCGGAGACGCATATCACCATGATCATGGTGTTTCCGTCCGCGCCATAGCTTATGGCGAAGTCACGTAGCTTCTGTGCCGCAATCATTGGGTCAGCTTCCGATCGAGCAATGTCGACTGCGGTCTGGTAGGATATATACTGCCACAATCCACGGTTGCCGATGATCACGAACTCATCGAGCTCGGTTAGCTGGCGAACGTGGATGTCGGGTCGCGCATTGACAACTGGAAAGTCGTGGTAATATCCAAAAGCTCGAGACGTATTAACCTCGTTATGGATGAGTCCCGTCGGCGATATCCAACCCTCTGCAAGCCGGATGCGCCTTGCCTCATCCCGGTCATAAGGGTCGTGATTCTTGGAAATGAGATGTGCATTCCCTTGGCTCGAGATGACAGCAAGGGAATGCCCGACGTTAGCAACATACAACGTTCGGCCGACCACGTAAACAACAATCCCAGAGGCCCCTTGTCGCAGGTAAGAAGAATCTGGTCCAGAAGGACCGGTGGTAGATGCGCTGACTTGGGACATCTTACGAGATGGCTGCGAGTAGAGCCTGTCGTGGAGCTGTCTGTTTAGCTTCAGGAACGTGCGCCTCAATGCGTCTGATACGCCATCCCTTCGCTCCCCCTTCTGGTCTTTTTTCAACTGAAGAAGCTGTTCGGTGAAGACAGAAGCGAAATTGTCGTGCAGATATTTCGAAAGAGTATTGTTTCCGGGAAGAGCTTTAGTACGCCCAAACATTGCGAACAATGCCTCATCCTTCTTCCCTCCGAACTCGGGCAGGACGAGATCGAGCGTGGTTAGGTACCCATCCCTCCCAATGGTGTCGGCAATGCCATATGACATTCCGTTGACTTCCGTCTGAGAAGTACGAACACGTCGTTCATCAGAGTCTTCAGGAATATTGGGAAGAAAAGTGGTCATGACATCCATCAACCCGAGAACACGAAGCTGAGATAGTCGAGAGAAGTCGGAAAGCACCCTTCCATGTTCATCCACCACGCGTTTGCCACCGTTGTTCTGCTTGAGATCCAATTTCTTATTCCCTGACAGGTTAAGGTACTTCAAGTTACAATTGAAATTCCTACCGGCGCCGTAAGCAAACCAGTCATCTACGTTCAAACGATCAAAACATACCAGTTCCAATCAAATTCCCAATTGTGAATGTTGTACCTCAACAGGTTACTGCCGGCATCAATAATGGTCAGACTGGGAATTTTGCCCAGTTCAGCGGGGAGCGTCTGGAATTTGTTCCCATTCAAAAATAACACCGACAATCTGGTCATTTTCACCAGGTCTTCAGTGGGGATACTCGTTAACTGGTTGCCACTAAGGTACAGTTCCTCTAGCTGCTGAAGATTGCGGAGGAAGGCAGACGGTAGTTCTTGAATTTCGTTGAAGGACAAATTGAGGACACGGAGCTCCTTGAGGATGGTGAGCGGAGGGATCGCTTCTTCCGTCAGACGGTTCTCTCCGATTGAGAGTCGCTCGAGAGAGTAAGCGAGGGGGGGGAGTGCCCGACCAGGTGCGTTGTGTATTGACATGGTGTATGTAGCATTTGAGGGCTTTCTTGGAGTGTGACCGGCTGATGATGATGAGGGGATCTCGAGAGTTATTCCAGATGGCGCCGGTGCAACCAAGTTATCTCCAGGAGGATCATGCCAACTAGCAAGCAGATTGGAGGTAACGTTGATATGGATTAACGATGCGCAATTCCAGAGGGATACAGGTAGCTCCGTCAAGCTGTTGTTATGAGCATCGAGGGTTTCTAGGCGCTGAAGGAGGCCGATAGTAGAGGGTAAAGAGACGAGTTTGTTGTCGCAACAGGAAAGGTGTATGAGATGGGAGAGATCGCCGAGGGTGTCTGGGAGCGTGCGGAGTTCATTGTGGTCAAGTTTCAGAGTTTGAAGAGCAGGGAGCTGAGAGAAATCGAATGTATCGAGAGAGGAAAGTTTAGCGTAGGAGACATCGAGTAGTGTGAGAGTGTGCGATATTTGCGGTGGAGAGCTAGGAGCGAATTTGAGGAATGTGATATCGTTGTGGGAGGCGTCCAGAACTGACAGACTGGGACCAATGGACAGATGAAGGGCGTGAACAGAATTATGATCAGCATAGAGAATTTGGAGTTTGGGTAGGGTGTAGGCGATGGAAATGTCGGATATGTTATTTCTTCGACAGTCAAGTAACTGTAGGTTGACAAGATTCCTGCATTCTTCGGGTAACTTGATCACCTGATTCCCAATCAAAATCAGGCGCTCGAGAGTAGTGAGGCGACCAATTTCCTCAGGAAGTTCAGTGATCATGTTGAAAGACATATCGAGCTCAACAAGACAGGGCAGCTGACAGATGACGCTAGGCACATTCACGAACTTGTTGTTTGAGATGTTTAGGAAGTTCAGAAACTTGAGGCGGGGAAAATACCAGGGCAGTTGCTCTATCCTGTTATTCTGAAGTCTCAAGCTTGAGAGCTCAGGTATGCGGTCGAGACCAGCATCGTCCAAGTCCACGATGCGATTACATGATAGGTCGAGTCGATGTAGGCTGGTGGAATGCCGAACACTCTGAGGCACTTTCTTCATTGCCATGCTGCACAATTTGAGATCGCGGAGGGTCGTGCAGGACTGTATAAAATCCAGGGGTATCTCGACCATTGGATTACGTGAGAGATTGAGGTACACGATCGAGCTAGCGTTTTGATGGAGGACGATGGGTATGGTGGGTAGACTACAGCCTGTCAGGTCGACCAGGTCGAATGCATCAAATGTAAGCTCCTCAGCCTGAAAGCATGGGGTCAAGTCAGATCATAATATTTTCCCTGGACAACTTACTGCTGGGCCAAGGAGTTGACTTTTATAAACGAATTTCATAAGGAAAGTCATGTCTTCTGCACCGAGAAAAGTAAGACTGTCCGCTTGGTCGTATCCAGCCTGCTCCAATCGGCGAATGACGATGGCAGCTGGCCTCTCGGTAGGCGCCAATACACGCTCTGACAACAGTGAGAAACAGAAGCAAGCGTACAGTGATAAGACGTACCTCGTCCCCTCTCCTTGAGGTACAGTTTATGTGTCTCGCGCTCCTTGTGCGCAAATAGCTTCTGGTTAAGTGACGGGGTGAGCTCCGCAACGGTGGAGTGTATCGAGATTGGGGCAACGTGATATGATCCGTCCGCGCGATATATTCTAACGCGGACGCGGTCGTTGCTGCGAGAGGGCAATTTACGCGGGTGATTGCTTTTCCGACGGGATTTGCGTTTCGAACTAAGTCCGGAGCTATTGAAAGACGATGTGGCATCTCTCGTGCTCTCTTCAGAGCTTGAGTCGCCCCCTACATCTGCCTCCTCCTCACCGTCCTTCTCAACAGCCCAGCTTTCTGGAGCGGTCCACAAAGGTGTTTCATAGACAACTCCAAACACGTCCAGCTCCTCTGGTCCAACTAAAGGAGGCAAACTCTTCGGAGACAGCTTTCGAAAGTCGATGCAAGCTTTTCGTTTGCTGGCAGGAGAAGTGGAAGAAAACGGATTGCTGAACACGAAGGAAGTGGAGAGTGTGGGTGATGGGGGTTGCTGGAAGCTACTTCCGGAAGTACTGGCAATGCTTGGATCAATTATACTTGATGGAGAAACATTGGATGGTGCGATATTCTGCCCAGAAAGGGAAGTATTGACGATACCCTCCATGTGTGCAAGGGACTCAAGGTCGATCGTCATCAATTCATCACCCTTTGCGGGGGACAATGGAGGACTTGGTGCATTGGGAAGTGGTCGTGCCTTTTGCTGTCGCCCTTTCTCTTTCTTGTCTTTCTTGAGTACTGGCAAGGGAGATGGAACGAAGGGGTTCATGAAAGTTTCTGTTGAAGCGGAAGCATAGGAAGAAATTGAGGCCATCTGGGATGACGAGCCTGTGTCTGAGGAGAGCCTTCCCCGGCTGCGCTTCTTGAGGATGTCGGTTAACTTCTTCATTTTTCCTCTAGAACTTCCCTGCTCACGTAAGGAGAAGTCGGAAAGCGGGTGACCACAGAAGTCTGAGAGAATTTGTGAATCGGCTCCTCCACGGTTTGTGTAAAGGATGTTGCTGGAACTTCCTTGCCGAGAAGAGGTAAGGGACGAGAACGATGCTTTGCTCAAACCCAGAGAACGTTTGATAAGGCTGGGTGAAGTAAGCTAGAAAGAAAGGAATATTTAATTTTGTTTACCAAGACATCAAAGACAAGCCTTGGAAGATACGGTGCGCCTGACGCACGCGGTGGATCACGAGGGGGCAAAAAGACTCACAGGCTCTTCACTAAGAAAGGGGGCGATCTCTGGATGGTCCCCAGATTCTGGTTTCAGAAAGTCTGAGGGTACAAAACGTTGATGCGAGAATTGAATTGTGGCATCCTGCTCCAGAGAAGATGATGGTTCGGAAAGAATCAACTCTGTGTCAGACCCATAGTCATTCGAAGGACGGTTAATGACATCCATGAGCGAATTGTTAGTGGCTTCTGGCCAGACAGTCTATTTGGTGATTCCCAGCTGGAGGATGCGTGCTGGTAAACCTAGCGTCGACCTGAGACTCAGAGTGCGTCGCTAGAAAGATAAAAGAGAACAGAGATGAAGATCAGAAAGGAACTGCAAACAAATTTCTCACCGAAAAGCGTAACGAGACTAATTACAGGACTCCCAGCTCAGGACGGGCTGGATCCCAGGACTTTCAAACTACCCAACAGCCTTGCACAGGCGTCTGCCCGAGAACGATATTAATATTATTCCGTTCCCCATAATCCTTCCTTTTTGGGTTCTGTACAACACCCGTCGGAGTAACTGCCGGATTTTTCCGGTACGGAGGTTAATTATCCATAAATGGTATGTTACCCCGGTTTCGGTCCAGGCCGACGGGGCTTGGCTTTGAGAGAGTGATGCATCGCAACTCAAGAATAACTACGACCTGCTGGCTCAACCACTGCTGCGGGTTTCATCACGACCATGTCCTCCACACCGATAACTTCATCCTCGGCGTCGTCTGCGACGTCCTCCGTCACTGCTTCTGGCTCAAGCACTACCCTTCAATTACCCTCAAGCCTTAAAGTAAGCGGTTTATTCTAGATTTTACTGCTCAGCCTTAGTTTATTCACCCAGATCGTCGGAATAATACTCGCAGTAGCGAGTGGCTTGTTGATTGGCTCTAGTTTTGTCTTCAAGAAGAAGGGTCTATTGCGCTCGCAGGCCGGGCATGCAGCAGGCGAAGGTGTCGCGTACCTCAAATCTGTAAGAGTCATCCCCGCCACCCCTCAGTCTGATATTGATATTTGCTATCAAAGCCACTATGGTGGACAGGCATGACAAGTGAGTTTTCGTGTCCTTCTACTTGTGCTGTGCATAACAAGCAAACCCCCAGTGATGATATGTGGAGAGTTGTGTAATTTTGTTGGTATGTAACTTGAACTCTAACTCTATTTTATGCTGATCCTGCAAAGCATATGCATTTGTTGAAGCACTTGTTGTGGTGCGTGTGAAACACCTCATTCCCTATCATATCTTCACCATGAATTGTCACAGACTCCTATGGGCGCACTATCTGTTGTAATATGTGCCATTCTATCTTCAATTTTTCTCAACGAGAAACTCACCTTTTTCGGATGGCTGGGTTGTGCCCTCTGTATTGTAAGTGTCACCGATTCCTTGTCTTCTCGTGTACCAACGTCTGCCAGATTGGTTCCACTATCATTGCTCTCAACGGTGAGTATTACACCAAACGAGTACCATATACCAAAGTTTATTTATTTCTGGTGCACAAGGCCCACAAGAGCAAACACCTGGTGAAATAGAGGCATTTCAGAAACTCTTCTTGGCACCAGGTTTCCTCGCTTACATATCTGCCCTGATTACCATTGCCCTCTCTATTATCTTTTACTTTGGACCCAAGTCAGTCACGTTTAATATGCTCTCGTTTCCCTTCATTTATCCTTTCCTTTTTAGATATGGCAAGAACAACATGCTCTGGTATATATCTGTGTGCAGCACTATCGGCGGCATCAGTGTGAGTGTCACGACCGGGCTCGGTGCAGCCATAGTCATGTCCGTTATGGGAGTCAATCAGGCAAGTTGTTGTAATTATCATAATGTCGCATTATTTCATGGTACCACAGTTCAAGCACTGGTTTATATACTTTTTAATGGTTTTCGTGGTGATTACACTATGTGTGTCATCAATATATCTTCATTTCGCTGTACTAACGCAAGGCAGTGACGGAAATTTATTACTTGAATATTGCACTTGCGCTATTCAATACTGGTGAGTGAAATAATAATTATACGTGTGCTCGGACTCAAGTGTTACACTTGGCAGCTATGGGTAAAGTTTGTTTTCCCGTTAACACCGACTGCTCGACTGATTTGATCTAAACTATCACAGTAACGCCCACGTACTACGTTTTATGTACGTGACCCGCGCCCAATCGCGTCACTGATTGACACTAACTACTTCAAACAGTTTCGTTTTGCTCAATGGTCACAACCATCGTGCGCGCCGCTACAATTATCAATACCACCTGATTACTCACCCGTCGTTACAGGTCCTCTTCCAAGGGCTCAGTTCCTCTGTCTCGCAAATCCTCACCCTTGTCCTGGCCTTCCTCACAATATGCGTCGGCATCACGATCCTCCAAATGTCCAAGATTGACCCTGCGCAGTTGAAGCTTGATCGCCGGTCCACCATGCTCCTTCAAGCCTCTCGCGCATCCACGGAAGACGCCGAGGAGAAGGGTATTGCCGGTATGGAAAACTCCGGCATCGAAGCGTTGCGTGGCACGTTCGGCACTATGAGCAGCATCATCCGCGCCCGTTCAGCACGGACGATGAGCCAATCAAGCAGGCACGCAAGCTCCTCTCTTCGAGCGCGTCCAGATGGTCTACCTTCCACACCTGCGAATAACGCATATGATGGGTTGACACGTCATCAGCTATATGATGCCCCTGTGCCGCGGCTGTCCGAGACAGATCGTGCGTCGACGGTTTCATCTGGATCAACACCATACAGCCCGCGGAGAACAGCCATCAAATTCGGATCGCAAGATCTCGTACATTCGTACCGCCCGCCAGGTAGTGGAGATGCAGATGCCACGCATGAGCACAGGAACGCCGTGCACACTATACCGTCGAATTCATCATTCCGGTATCCCCCAATACCAAGCACTGACACTTCGTTAACGCTTGGTAGTTCGCAGTCACTAGTTGTACCACCGCGTGCAAATGATGAGCCACCAGCACCCACCGTGTCGACAATGTACCACAATCCAATCAAAAGTGATCCATTCGAAAGCCCGACAACTCCCGCGATGACCGCATTCCCCCCGTCGTCTGACATGCTGTTAAATAACTCCCCGCAAAACTACCGAAGCCAGGAGGATGCGCGCCCCACGGAACGCACACGACGTAGCTCTTCAACGGGACATCTGCGGCGATATCCAAAAGGTGTAGATGACGAAGAAGAGAGCAGAAGCTTGTGGGAGCGGGAGTCGCCTGTGCAGGATATGTCCGAGGAAGAGGAAGAGGGTTCATCACCTCCAGTCCAGGGAATCAGACTGGTGAAGCCTGGATCTAAGACATGGTTTTGATGTGTATGGTCAAAGATGGACTGCTTGCTATTAGGCAGCTTGGACTGATTGAGTTGTTGTATCTATTTGCATGTAGAGTTTTCTGTGCGCCACAAGCTTCTGAATGCCGGTAGAGGAATGAGATGGATTATATTGTGACACATTAGTTGCAAATCTCTGAATCCAGAGTATCGCCGATGGGGAATAACTTGAAGGACGAAAGCCGTATCATGCTATGGCCGTAACTTTCCTATATACATTCCACCATACTGCAATAAGCAAGTATAGCTAAGTCGGTACACTGAATCTTTTAAACTGTATTGTGATGCGGTTGAACAAAAATTTTGTTGGTCTGCTAGAGTTCGGGATTTTTGTAAACATTCATCCGACCACTAGCCATACTAGTCAGCTAACCAAACTCAACTTTGTCCAAATCATGTAAGCACCCAAAATTATTTCTTTTTGAGGTTTAACCTAGTAGTCCGTTATGTTGGATAAACCACCAACCCTAGTGGCGGATTCTTTCCCGTCTCGGAACATCGCTCGGGGTATTTTGGAACTGACATCACAGGGTAACTATGACATGGCAGAAGACAACAAGAAGACGTGGGTATACTTGTGGAACAAGGCAGATTAATCTACACAGCGCTATTGATAGCATTGACGAGGATATTGTTATAGTCTCCACCGGCCTGCCACATAGCATATCCGAGCAGCCCAGTGTTTTTGATGAACGTGCCTTTGGCCGTGAATGAATCCGCGTTGTCATAGGAAATCATGACCTCGGACGTTTCATTGTAAACGTAGGGCTGACAACAAGTCCATCAGAAACAAAAGCAGTTCCTTTTTCAGGGGTGTACGCACCGTTTGGCTGCATGAGTCAACCCGAGAGTAGATACCAGGGGCAGTCGTACCTTCCGAGTTGAGGAAGCCACCGTCGACCAGTCCCCAGAAGTCAAAGGTACCTCCAGATCCTGCGTAATTACCACAGGAATCCACGCTCCCAGTGTTATCCCATGCATCCCCTACGGGCTGATTAGCTGAATTAAAAGCGGGGTAAGCGGCTAGCGTCTTCGTGCCAGACACGAATGCATCAGAGGGGCTGACGCTATAAGAGTGTCCGTATGATGCAACACCCAGGACGATCTGATCAACGGGCATTTTTGCATTTGACCAAGCCTTCACTGCGGAATCAGCAGAGCCTTGTTGCTCAGACGAGGTCGCACAGGAATCCTCGAGTGGGGCGTTAGGGCCAACACCAGAGGACCACGAACCCCAAACATCATAGTCCATGATAGCAACGTAGTCAAGAACCTCTGCAAAGGCAGAGACATCAGTCGACGGATTGCCGCTGGAATCACGAAATGGCGTTAGAGATACTGCTGCCGAAATGGTGAGATTCGAGCAACTTTCTTCGCGAAGTTCTTGGAGAAAGGAAAGAAAGTTTGCGCTGTCATCAGAATTGACGATATTACAGCCAATGCCTTGCTTATCTGGATACTCCCAGCTAAATTAAAGTGGGTCAGGGATATGATATCGATGTGATGCAGCTGACATACATACTCGAAGTTGACACCATCTAGATCGTATTTTCCGACGAAATCTAGCACCGTGTCGACGAATGCAGTGCGATTTTCCGCTGTTGCGACGTTAGAAGAAAAGTAAATGCTGCCACCCCAACCTCCAATGGCAATATGGGCTTTAACACCCTGACAAGTCCCAATCATTGGCTCAGCGACCAAACATGGACACGAGTTGTCAATCTTACGTGTGCATGTGCTTCTGACACAAAGACAGGAAGCAACGCGCCATTCGACCCTTCTAGTGATATAGTATTCACATCTGAAGTGGTTGTTCTGAAGATTGTCGATCAACATCGTCATAGGTCTGTCACAGAATGGGAGCTTCCACCTACGCAAAAGAATAGTACACCGTGTTGTATTTGTCCCAGCTGATATTGGACACCGGGTATCCGTTAGTAGAATGCCAGCCAGCATACCACGCGCCAGCAACCTTGGATGCATAAGCGGAAGACAGGAGCGTAAGGGGGGCTGCGAGCCTCAGTAACTTGAACATTATGGTGTACAACAGTGAAAAGGCGGGGCTTCCGTACGCAGCGACGATGAACCCATTACTTATGTATACATGACTTAGCAATGGCAAGGATCCGAGTAAGTCACGGTGCAGAGTTGCACCCGAGAGAAGCCATCATAGTGACGAGCTTTTTTTTTCTCCGATTGGAGGAAAAAAAAATATTGCTCACAGGGACATGCAGCGACGACATGAAGTAACTTGTACATGTGGGTAAAAATCAACACTCGAATAACCGTAACGTCGAATACCTCTACTCACCAAACTCTAAACCACACTTCAAAGTTTTGGCAACGGCCCGGTTTGAACCGTAATTTCGCTTCGAGTAGTACGAGCTCTTGGCAAGCGATCTTCCATGACTCGTTGCAGCCTAGTCGCGGTCGGGATATTCGGTACAGTCGCCATCGTTAGAGCATCATTTCGACAAATCGACGTTAGTCTCCGAGTGTCGGACGGTTCGTATTACGAACTCGAGCACGTATTTTAGCACAGCCACATTATAGTCCAAGTCATAAATAGGGGAAGTAGCTGATGCGCCTTGGTAGCTGATTCGGGCCAAAGCTGCTACATTCAGTTTATCATTCCAGACAGCAATTCACGCGTAGGGTCCAGGCCCGTAGATCCGGGTGAATGATCATATGGTTGTCCTCAGAAAATGCTAGTGCGACCTCGACTCGCAGTGTTTCTAAATGGACGTTCTGATGCTATGCATCCCATCATAGTAACGAGATAAATAATTCTTGAGACTACCGGTGTCCGGTATAGTGAATATCCTGTGGATTTCCGAGCCGGAGCTCGTGTGCGAGTTAACATACATACTTGCTCTTATTAATGTTTCGGGGATAAAGCGTTTCAGCCTAAATACTGCCTCATGCAGTTTGGGTTCCGGTGACAGGGGCCAAGATTTTTGAATTCGTCACATCCCCAGGTGATCTTTCCTGAGCCCAGTTGTCGGCTACTTGGTAGCTGAAAATTATGCGGAAAGAGAGCTAAGCGGTTCACACCGGATGTCAGGTCAATCGCTCATGTTCGAGTCAGCCGTCGACGACGTACCAGACGAATATCACACCAGGAGCACACGTCCTTCAACGTAGCTACATGGTGGCTATGTGCGAGACAGTAAACCAAATAAGAGCCTTGACCGAATACATGAGGTATAATGGGATAAATCGGAACGAAAGCGACAAGAGCATAGCGACGACAACATGCGAATATGCAGATGACGAGCATACAATAACGGATTCACACACACACCATTACGGCGATGAGTAATGCGAACAGACGGCATAAAATATCCAAAGTAAATGACTCAAGAAGGAGATCAGAGGCCGATGACTATGGCCGTTTGTCCACAGATCGTTTTCGACCCGGCCTTATCACTTTTGGATTCCCTGCATTGCTTTCCGGTGGCGGAGAGCCGCTTCCTCGGGGATTCAGCGACCGGCGCTTCCTCATTCCCCGACGCGACTCTAGTGGATACTCGCATTTCAAATGCCTACGAGCGCACTGACTGAGAAACAAAGACACAAAAGTCAGCCAAATGTCGAAATAAATTGATGGTGGCGCGGATATCAGCGAACAGGAAAGTGGTGTTAATTAAGAAATCAATCGCACGAAACCGGCAAATCATTACCACGCCGATAAGGCGTGAAGAAGCAAGGGACACATAATAGTACATTCCTGAATGGGCAGAGGACCGTGATACTCACTTGCATGTCCTGTCCTTACTACCCGGGACGGGTGGGCCACACGCAATTTTCCGGCCTCGGCAGAATAAGCATGCAAGCGCTGGTTTCTTATCCATCGATCGTTTGGGGTGTGGTGACGGCGATATCCGTAATGCCCCCCTCGGGGACGGTGAACGTTGATAAGGGGATCCCGTCTTTCCGCCATGAGGGTGAGAAGAACTTTCGTTTGGGGAGTGGTAGTGCTGTTGGTTTGTATGTATGAAGGCTGGAGTTGATGATTCGACCTCGACAAACATATAAGACTGGCTAGGGACTGTCATTGGGGCTTCTGATGCATCACAATGCGAAGTGGACAGGAAAGTTGTGCTATGAGGGGAGCATGGAGAGGGAGATTCTGACATTGTATCCTGAGGCGAATAAGGTTGGAACTGTCGAGGAGGGACCGAATGAACGGGTGGCGGATATGGTAGGTGATCCATAGGCGGCTCGTCATCCAGTGTTGAGATGTTTGGCTTTATATCTTCAGTCTCATGAGCCATAGGACTCAGTGTCCCTATCGGGATGGCCTCCTCGTACGCACAAGCTGGTTGTCGAGAATGACGCAAGGGGGGAATCGATGATGGGAGGTCCGATGGATTTGAAAAGCCCCCAAAGGCCTTATAAAAGACAATGATGCTGTCAAAAATAGAGCACGCGTAACTCCACAGAAATGATTCACCTGTTGGATCAGACTCGATTCACGTTTGATGGGGTTCACGCCACTATGCCCTGCAAGAGCCATAGCAGAAACACGTGTACCAATGGGTGCTCGTGCAGAGGTTGAAGTGGATAACTGTCCGAGAGAATCGACTAGCGTGTATGATTTCGAAATCTGAAATGAGGATGGATTGGTATGAGGAGTATACTGGGCGGTAGTGATGCACGGTGAGGAATCGCCGCATTGTTGCATGTGTGTTTGGCCTTGCAAGCTCCAACCGCCTTGATCCGAATCTTCGGGGCACGGGATAAGAACAGGTTGACCATACATTTCAAAGAACTGGAGGTCTGATTCGTCCAAAGAATTGAAGTATGCACCTGATTGAAGTTCTTCAAAAGTAAATGCTCGTTTTACTTTGACCTGGTATCGAGTTGAGAGAACTATGATCGGAGACGACAAAAATACATACACTTATATCAAAACCTTCTGCATAACCGTTAGATTGGTTCGATGGCCTAGATGTCACATGAGATGATTGGTTGAGCGCGTCACAGGGTATAGGGTTTTGGGAGCTGGATGCGCTTGGTTGGGGATAATGCCAATATCGAGTGCCTTCAGGAGGCGTATGAGTGGAGACAGAAGACATGTAGACGGAGTGAAGGAAGCAAAATGGTTGTGGGGGAATGTTTTGTGTAAACGGAAGGTCAGTTGACGGCAGGGGATAAATCTCCAGTTTGAAGGCGGTGAGTGTCTTTTATATATATTAAGACTCACTGAAAAAGGTACATTGCGTATTTGGTAACATAAGAACTTTCGGGTTCATTTGCAGCCAGTTTATACTAAGCTAGGCTGAGTTTAGGAACCCACGCCTCTGGCAGGCTCGAAGTCAGACGACGAGAGATGTCAACGATTACAGCAACAGGTCTGAATCAGTTTCCGTAATTATTCTCGTAAGCAAAATGACCCACAATCGCGTTTCTCCATTTTTAAAGGATTTGATATCAATGAAAACACAACAGCTAGCTGCAGTCCTTTCATCGACCTAATCAAGCTCATTAAACACATCCATTTTTTTAAAAACATCGCACAAACCTTGGCTTGATAACGTGAGGAGTGAGCAGATCGCGAGAGATTCGATCGTATACTCTATCTTGGCAGCTTCCATTGTTTTCCCGCTTTGTCAGACTTGCGCTGACCATGACACGCCTTTACCTGCGGTCCGCTTAGCATTATTGTCACCGAAACTATATAGAACAACGAGGAAGTTACCCCCATCGGTAACAAAAATCGCACTTCAGTATGGTTACGCTCGCTGGATCTCTCCGACTCGCCCAGACACTCAGATCACAAGACTGCATACACCACTTGCCTGGCCTTTGCATAAATTCTACTCTCACAAAGACTGGGATGTAACTAGATCCTGAGTCTCCCTATCATTTCCAAATCGACCCTCATGACACAGAGTCTCGAGCATCAGGAAAGTCGATGGCTTCCGTCGTACGAGCAGCTTCTCCATAAGTGAGCACGCCAACATACGGCATCACACTATATTTGAGCGAATATTGGGCGGGAAGTACGTTGCTATCCGATTCATCAGCATGGGGTGCTCCATTATCGGATTCTGACTCACCTGAAAGATCCCGACAGGTCGCGAAGTTTGTACTTTTCTTTCTGTATAATGTCGATCGTGGCATCATCTTTTCTCCGTACAATGCGATCCCAGATAACTACGGTGTTGTTGACCTTCAGAAGTGCGTCAGACAATGTATGTTTAATCTCCCCCGCTCGTATGCATGAAGCAATTGAGATCATAATGGTAAATTGCTTACCCCTTGTGCATTTGTATACTCGGCCTCAAGGTACACGAATAACTGCTTCGTGTTCCAGTTAAAAAGTGGCGTCAAGTCTGGAACAACCCAAAATCAAATCACGTATAAGAAACCGCGATTGTGCGACAGAAAGTGGTGGATCCCCGGTGAGGCTCTTCCGCTGTCATCGCGATGAAAAATACGTACCGGCCGAAAGGTTAAATTTAACAAAACCAATTTCCTCATTTCTGAAAGGATAACGTCTCGTTTTGGAGTGAAACCTACGGAATGTCAAGGTAAGTCACTGACGTGAGAGACACGACGAAGGCAAGACTCAGGCTGACGCAAGAAATCGAGTCACTTACACCTTCAAAGAGACGATATCCAGACTACCCTTGGAATCCGCGTTGAAGAGGAAAGAGGAAAGAGCTACAGCTCCAAGCAAAACCATTACACACGTGGACCAAAGACCGGATATGCCATTCGCTCGAGCGTAAATGCTATGCATCCTGTAGTGCGCGCGCAAGAGAATGAAGAAGCTGGAATATGACAACTGTTTCAAGTAAAGGAACAAACGAGTAGCTGCCACGGCAGACAGACGTCACGTCTGAGCAAACACGTATGAATACCATAATTTCCATTTTTGGCTATTTGGTTTTATCATTCGAAGTCACGAATTATACAACATGTGCCTCCACAATTCACTTCATGTTGCTAACCTGAATCATTATACATTAATATCATGATAGTGCATGGTGCAAAGTGCGTTCGAAAACACGTTCCTGCAGTTTTTTTTGTCTTATGAAACGGTGAAGCGTATATAAGGATATGTATCATGCTGAGTGTCTACCACCGCTGTCAGACGCTATCTTACTCTAATCAATTTCAGGCCTCATTCTGATTGTGACTAGGATACAACCAGGCAGCAAGTCCCTACTAGAACCCAGGGTCTCGGCGTATTACAAGGTAATTAACGAGCGATGTTCGTATGAAGATGTTGCAGTGCATGACCTTGCCATTATTGGTGCAGCATCCTCGATCGATGCCTGGAGAACTCAACCAACCAGCGCTGTCACATGCTTCCAACATGGCTTCAATCATATCGCCTGCACCACACCGCCAGGACGTTTTGTCCCACTCAAGCATAGATCTTCCTACTTCTGGCCATGGGCGCTGTTATACTGCCACATATGCACGTCTTCGCCCTGCCTGGTATCGGATTTGGTCTGGTCTATCATTTATAATATAATCTGTTTATATCCTTCTAGTCTCTACTTGTTTGATTCAGAAGATGCGCCACCAGTCCAGACCCTTCACAACACCGTCTTTATGATGCCCACCGAACGTACGTATCATCACAGTCAATTTCTGCCTAGTCTCGGCGCCTGAAGCTGGACCAGTTAGGTGTCTAGAGCATGTCGTAAGTCACCAAACATCTTATCTGATGTCATGCTTGTCTTTTTCCTTTTCGACCGTACCATATGATCGTGGGGCAATACCATAGTGGCTGCATTTCCATGGGCACTTGATGTAGCCCTTCATTTCCGCATACAATTGCTGATTTGTGAGCACGTCATCATGTGGAATGCTCCAGGGTTATTCGGATCTTTCATAGATGGTGATAGCAGGTTTTTTTTATTAAGCTCGCAAGTTGACGTGCAGGTGGTGTTCCATGAAATGGAACAATGCTTCATTGTCCCATTGTTGGTCGGATCTTGGCCGTTAATATGTCCAGTCATATTATGAATTGTTCATCGCACAGAAGAGGCTGTCACGGTCGACCCTTCCTACCCCACTACAGATGGGATTATTCCCCATCATTTTTGTTTTCATTGCCCAGGTTCGGTATCCCCACGGCCTACAGGCTAGAAAGAACAAGGAACAGGCAGATAGTGGCGGCTCAATGTTCTTCTGATGATATCTCGTTAATGGCCGTCCGAATACTGGAATAATCCCCAAAAGATAAATTGACCATACATGGAAGATTTTCAGGGCCGTGAACATGTCTCCGGGTAGAAACGGGGGTGGCGTCGTTTGTTGTCTTGTCTGTCCCCAAAAAGCACTAGGAATATCGAACCGCAGTCCAGTATTAATGAGGGTGACTGACAAAAATGCAACCTGTATCCAATCTACGCGAGGCAAAGTCACCCTTGAATAAGTATGAAGCCCATAGGTACACATATCCTAATCATCCTAGCATCTGGACGCTAGTCGTCCTCCTGCTTGAGACTCGTGCTACTCGGCACCCATACCAGGTCTTCCTCATCTTTCTCACTTTCACCTGCTGTACCATCTTCATCACTACTGAGTGCCCAGTCTCCCTCGATCTTCCTATCCAACGTTGCGATCTTCGCACCACGAGAGCGAAGAAATGCGATCACCTCGCGTGCTCGCCTGTATCCCCTGGCGTCAGTTACTGGATCGCTATCTCCCCCATCATCTGCCAAGGAGGTGGGTGAATTTTCTTCAACCCAGCCAAACCTCTTTGCCAAGTGGATGCTCGCGATCACGCTCTTCTCCTCTCCGCTTGCTTCCAAGGTCGTCAGGAACTCAGCAAGAGCCTTCACAGCCTCTCCACGTGCCCGCAGTAAATGCCTCATAATTCTTCTTGATGAAGGCCTGCGACGGGACGCAATCCTGACAGGCGGCTCATCGGTGATCTGTGGTGGTAAGGAGTGTAGCGTCCCCGACGATGTGCCTGGAGTAGAGGAATTTGGCCGATTCTTGTCGATCCAAGGGTTCTCAGGAGGTACTAGAGGGGTTGTATATTGGGACAGTGCAGACAGAGAAAGCTCCCATCGCCTGGGAGCCCATACGCCGACGAGAACGCGCCATGCTGCAATCACACGCTTGAGACTTGATATTTATAGGTAAGCTAATAAGAATATGAAATCAGAATAGTTGGAACTTACTTCATGTAGATATCTGTAGATAAGTTTCCATTACTCCGTTAGTATAGCTCACATTTCCAGCGTTCTAAATATACGTGCCATTGATCAATCTATTGTGATAATATGCAAACGCCCAGACTGTGAATGCTGCCACAAGAGCACCAAAACCTGTGTACCAGAGCATCGCCCAGAGCGCCCAGAACGTGGCAGGGTAAATCATCATGCACGATAACAAGCCAAAAACGGCTTTGTTCTGCGCCTGGGTCTCCTCTTCATGCTCCACTAAACGAGCGCCAATTCGGCCCATGACATATACCGGTGTGTGAAGTAAAAGCGGGATGAGGAAGAAGGGAAGGCGAGTCAGGGCAACAAGCGTGTCGCGAATAAGGACAGAGAGGGTCAGCAAACGTGACGGCAGGGGAGTTGGGTGAGAGGGAGATAGCATTGGCGGAAGTGGAAGTGAGGACAAGACGGAGTTCGTAAGATTGGTAGACTGAAGAAGTGAGTAATACCCCAAAAGGTGACGTCGAACGGTCGAGAAGTTCGCAGTAGCGTCCGTTGTGGAAAATAGATCAACAAGACTACAACAGTACGTGAGCTGCCGATACCAACTGAATAGACGAAGCGTGAAATCGTACGTCTGTGAAATCGTGACGAATTCTTCGAGGTCGATCGAGCGCTCATCTTCCCAGAGAAGATCCCTGGCCATCCGAGCACTGTAAAGGGTATCCCTAATTAACACATAATGAGAGTCCGCACACACCGCAATGAAATAATATTGAAATACCAGTCAGGAGCATTGATGGTTGCCTCGACCAGCTCCCTCTCGATTGCACCTGTGAGGCGCTTGGCCGCTGCCCGTGGCGCCCCTTCTAAATCCGAAAAGAATTGTTCCTTATACTCATCCATCGAAACTGGTTCACCAAACCTAATGACATCAGCACACGTACTATATCTCCATGCCGACTAAATCTCACTTCACAATGACCTGTGCTGGATTTAGTGAAGTGCCTTTCGAAGAATCAGGGAACATACACTGCTTCGATACTTCGACTTATTCGTATACACGATGGCGGCGGGGATGATCCGGACCCCGGGCCCCTTCACCCCGTTTTCCGCGGCCCACTTAGTATATTCTAGGGCAGCCCAGGCAGCGCCATCTTTTACTTGCATGATCCTCGGCTCTGTGTATGACGTGCCCTCCGGGAAAAGCGCAACCGCATCACCCCGTGCGAGAGCTTCGATAGTTCCCCGGAATAGATCTTGGCGGTTCTTCGACTTCCGGTCTACAGGAATATTACCAGACGAGTGAAGTACCCAAGAAAGGACTGGGTTCGCAAAGAGTGATGCTAAAAGCAAAGCGTGACGCGTTAACGGGATTCAGAATTGTGAGCTTGATAAGGCTTAGCTCGCCTTTACTCCAGTAGTGTAGAACACGACGATGTGGGAAGCTGGACGCTATGAAAGATACGATAAGCACGCGCAGGAACTACGAGAAGAACTATAAGACTAACAAAGGATAGCAGGATCGATCATCATGTTATGGTGAGTGGCGGTGCTGTAAAAAGTGGGTCAGTATTGGTTCTAGACTCTCTTCAGGCGCGGGAGATGTTGATTCAACATATGTGGGGGTCAGTAGTCACAACTGTGGATTCGTTTACGTTCCTAGGTCCATCCAATTGATCCTTCCAACTTCTAAGCGCTTAGGTCCAATGCAAACACGGGCTCAAGTGTCCCAGTCGACAGGCAAGTAATGAAAAATACGAAACTTACACAATGATCGGTCCATCCAGCGGAACGTGCTCGCCTCCAATTACACGAACTTCTGTGAAAAACGACCAGAGAGACCAGTCCGCAATGCGGCGGATGATGAGGTGTAATACTTTCGAGTCGGACATCTTAATGAGTTGGCCGAAATATAGCAGTAATAAGGCGCGAATATATGTTGTGATATAGCAAGAATGGTTGATGGCAGCGTAGAGCAGAGCTCAGCGGGGAGAGACTACGAACACCGGCTGCAAAATGCTGCACGGCCTGAAAAGATGTAATAACGGCAACTTTTATGGAAACACGTGCGCTAACTTCCATTGCTCCCGCACTGTGACAAGACTGCCAGCTAAGTACTACCTGCAACTTCTCTTGCTCAGCTTGGTGTTGCAACTGTACGATTGCCATGTATGCATTGTTGGCTGTCAGTCTCTAAATGCCACCTAGTAGTGAGTCTCCCCTAGTTGGACCTTGTGGGAGAAAGACAGTTGTCCCCTAACCTTAAGTACCTGCACGCCGCATTACTTAATAGTACTCAGGACCATCATGATAGCCTGCCACGCATATTACTCTGCATCTGTCATAGTTGTACGAGAAAATCTCGTGGAGGATCTGCGCAGCGTACGTACAACCTTAGCTGTAAACCTCTCGGCGATACCCAACCTCAGTTAACCTGCTGAGTTGTCCCAAACGAGCTTCATGCGCACTGAAGGCGCCCCTGAGTACACCGCGGGAGCTGCCCTTACTGCACCTGGACATATAAGCGTGGTAGAATCGTGCGTCTGAACCGGTTTAGGGTTGCATAGTCTTCTGCAGTCGATATGAACATTACTCAATGACATCTCATTTCGCCATTTGAGCGCGCAGGACGAAATAAACTGTCAAGTAAGGTTTGTGTGCTGTTCCTTTCGGGAAGAGTGAACTACAGGAAAGCTGGCTGACACTTCTGACGTGAAGTATACTCATCATGGCGCGATAACTCAGCACTAATAGACAACGTCAGCGCCAACGGAGCAGCGAGAGAGATTCTATAACGAACTTCTTGGAAACTCTCGCAGTGCTTCTCGCCGAAACAAAAGACTCTGGAGATCACGAGGGGACAGGCGCAATAGTAGTGCAAAGAGCTGATCAGAAAAATGGGGAGTTAGCCGGACAGACGTCAGACGTGGTCCCATGAAGGCGGAAATGGGCGAAATATCTTCACATGAGCGGCTTCAGAGTCCAAGTGATTCGTACAATAATACACAATGGAAACTCAACTAGTACAACCAAACCATCCATGTGACTTCCAGAAACGCAATAAATCCATGGACGCCTTCATGAAGGACGTACCAGTAGTATGGCGGAGGAAAGAAATATACACATATACGAAAATAGGGGGGGCTAAAGAGGGAGGCTCAGATCGGCTATCAACAATATCTGGATCAACCCGAAATCGCAGATGTCAGATGCAAACGGTGGGATCCGAGGCAATCGCTTCCCCATGTCTATCAGCATGTTAAACTAGAGAGAGAAAGATACTCACGCTGTTCGAAATACACCACATGTGCAGGATTGATACCAGTCGATGCTGTGTAGAAGGCACGTCAAACACGAGAAGGCACGGACACAACGGAGTAAATATACGTATGGATGCACTGCCTTCCGGGTCTTCGGCGCCCACACATCTACGTACGTGACGCGGGGCCGCTAAACGTTATATCAGTGGAGATCTTTTAAAAGGCAGAGTATTTCGAACGTGGTTCGGTGAACTGCCAATATTCCGTAGCACTGATGACCATGTGAGTTCGTGATAATTATATAGAGAATTAGACTTCACTGATGCTTGTAGCCTAGCCTCGTAGGTATCATTGTGGGCACACCATCTAAGTATAGCATTAATTTGGTTCTAAACAAAACGTACATCACAGGACATACCGAATGAATGCACGCCTGTAGTAGCATGCGAGATTCGAGTAAGCGAGGCATGATCTCTGAGGGACACAAAAGAAGAGGGTACCTCGAAAAACATTATCCACTCCAATCAGAGTTTCCACGAGCTCAGCGAATGAATGATCTCCTGTCCTTGGCTGGCCTGGCGGTCATATTCAGTAAACATCGCGCGATAGGGGTACGAAATTTGTCACCAAATGTGAATAATCGCAGCGCAGCATCAGGGAAACTGTTCCTGATAGATAATGCTGCAATTGATGCAATGGCGCCCTGCTCCAGGACAATGACATAAGTAATATCACGAAGAAGCACGATTTACGCACTCCAAGCGAATGACCTGCAAGCATAATTAATTTGTGTATATCGAGAAAAGACAGCGTGGCTTGCCGGACACAGTCACATCATACTGCGGAACTTCTTTAAACTGCTCGCGTAAGACATTAAGTACGCGATCTCCAACGCTTCTAAAAGCATAAAGAAAGCCTGTATGCACGTGGGCATCTGTGTTCTCTGGAAGGCCTGGTCCACGTAGTGGGGAAAGCAGGAGAGACGTATCTACTTGCCGTCGCGTGTCAAAAATTGCCATCTTAGAATCTTGCGCCTGAAAATTCACCAATGATTGCGCTTGAAATCTCACGACTGCCCCTGAATGCAACCACAAGTTCTTTCCTCGTGTCATCGCGAGCGATGAAACCTTGGGTACTCGTAATTGGATTTATAAACTGCATGTCATTCAAGCTGATATCAGTACACGACCGACCACAGAATCATCTACTATATGCGCACCTGGGCAACCAGTGTGTTTCCCATCGGACGTGGGCACAGGACTTGATACGCGCCAGATGCATACTTTGTGTATCTCACAAGCTCATTGTACAATTCCTCGGGAATACCCTTCTCAGGATCATGCACCGTACCTGGGAAATGGGGCCACTTCCATGACGAGCGGAGAGGACGCGCTGTGTCGTCGGGCGGATTGCTGTACCAATCGTTACAATGGATGTGTGCAGCATGATCAAGAAACGTACTTGTGCATGATGGTTCAGGGTCAAGTTGAAGCAACCGTGTCTGAGTCTGAGATCGCTAGATCCGGCAAGCCATCGGCAGGATCGATTCTGCCAAAGTGCTGACAGTATGGAACTGCACCCGACATCTTTTGGCCACAATGTAAGCCTTGAAGTCATTCCGAGCAATCACTCCGGTATTTGATTTACCTACATGCGGGCGTGCCAGCAAGAGTCAAAATCATATTGGTCTATCGCACGCCTTTCGTTCCCCGAGCTCCGCGGCGGTTATTGATGTTTGATTACCGACTCCTGGGCAACGCCGCGACGCCAACAGTAGTACTAGTCTTAAGTTGTCGTGTTTTACTACAGAATCTTTGACATGTAACTATGCCAGAGAGGGAAGAAGACCGGGCTCAGTTACTGGAGGTGCCGGTGATCAATGTAATCATCCACTTGACACACAAGACTTGCGATCCTCGCAACTTCCAAACATGTGCATGATTGTGCTAGCTATGTCTACAGTGGGGCATCAAGTGCGTCAAATCATTACAATGCGTAAATGTACAGAATGAGTGTGATGTTTAGAATGTACGATGAATGTGAATCGTTTGCGAAATATAAGGAATGTTAACAAGGCGCCGGCGCCCAAATTTAATAAAATATAAAATGTATGCTGGTCTCGGACTCCTGAAAAGCCCAGCGACTCTATGATGTTTGAACATGATATGCGACAAGGCTCCGACATTTGCTCGGTCTTCAATAATGGGACGAGCGTCTCCCCGAGCTACGGTGCTTCGCCGGTCCGCCCCTTCCATTACCAGTACCAGGTGACATGAACCCTAGCAAGCGCTTAAACAGAGGCTGAGGCTTCTTCTGAGCTGGTGGCTATTTTTGCACGTGACAAATCACGATGCGAGCGCAAAACAAACGACGAGCATCAGCGTCGACACAATGATGCAGGCGGAGTGGTAAAGGCGCACCCCATAGTGATACTCCAAACGACCGCTAGGGGCGTGATGGTACGACTGCGCTGGCCGCGAAGGTGAGTGGTACATCGTCCGCTGGTGAGATCCGTGTCCGTGGGACTGCTCCGGGTAATAATAGGCCGGAGAAGTGTGATGCCTCACGGGCTGCGATTGCTTCTGCGGATAAGGATAGGGCTGGGTGCGTTCGTACTGGTGTGTGGGGGCTGCAGCTGGTGGATAGATGGCTTGTATAGTTTGCGAGCGTGATGGTGGCTTGCGTGCTGGGCTAGTACGAGAATGTGATGTGGTTTGTATGGTGGTACGACTGGAGTGGGGGTATGACCATACTTCAACAGGCTGCGAGTGAGAACCTAAACGCGAGCGAGAAGAGGTGTGCCTATATGGATCCTCTTGTCTCATAGGAGGTATATTGTAAGTTTTCGAGCGGCTGGGCGCGGGGCGCTGCCATCTTCCATTTAGCTCATCATCATAGAACGAGCGGTCGCGCAATGTGGGCGACATGACGAATGGATTGGAGTAGGAATGAGCTTGAGCAGTTGTCTGGGATACCCAGTTTGAAACCCGAGCTTGTTGAGCGAGATAATGATCCCATGCTGCGGGTGAATAATCGTATTCAGTCATGAGTCCTGATGAAGTGGCGAACAGATGCAAAAAGTGCTGTTGTTGATATATGTACAGATGGATGGCTCGGATATGATACGAGGTTCCTGGAATGTGGCGTTGGCAGATGGCTGTCACTATACGAAGACCAACTGGTGAGATTCTGGGGGCAAGGCGATATTATCAAGTAAATCGATCTTGACCAATCCTAAAGAGACCGTGGAGAAATGGCGGCCTGTTATAAATTGGCTCCAATATAATGAGCCGCCAGGCCACCGAAAATAACGCGGAGGAACAACGTTTCCTGTCCACGAGGAAGGCGCAATTCTTATTGTCATGCTTATGTAAACAACACTAAACCCCCAGCGGCCTGTGGCCAATTGACCGCGTAACTCAACTCCTGCTTTTTGTGGTTTATATTCACATACAGTGCATATCCATACCAATGGTCCGCAAGCACCAGGTAAAAGGCTAGTACTGCATGTACTACCAAGGTTGCTACGAGCATTTCATCCCTAATTCAATATGCACGATCCGATGTCCGACTTTCGACGCGTTGCCTAATCCAATTGCCACTGGAAGGTCGGTGGGCTCGCGCCTGCGTGATGAAGTTGCAGTGACAACCCCCGGAAAATAGCCGCAAGATGGACGATAATCCGGAGATGCGCGCGTTTTTGTAAAGATCATCGCAGTAGTACTAAGTACTGATACGGGAGATGATATCGATGGTATCAATTCCTATCGATTCATACCCATTTGACAACGACGATGCGCCCAGCATGTGGGTCTGGGAAATTTGGCGGTAGTCGTCCTCTACGAAACACTTGAGCTACGTGGCCATTTTTGAAAATCGCGACAGGCTTTCCCCTCGACAACGTCATCTCACCTCTTGTGCCTTCATCTGCAAACACCCTTATCTCCTTCGTGCGTGGTTTACCTCTATCAATTTCAATTTTCTATCTATCTCATCCCGGAACTTCGACCTTCTGACATACATTTTCAAACGGGACAAGTTGGCCAAGTTTATTATCTCCCGAATGATTGACCTGCAGCCATCCTTCCTTCCAACTCCGGACCGCTAAACGTTGCAAGATACTTTTTTTGATTGGTAAGAACGAGTTTGACATCGATGATGGAACCGCATCATGCCAGTATGGTAATATGGCTGATCGAAACATGTTACAGATCAAGTTGTTGAAACACTGCTCAATCGACACTGCCCCTCTGTTGCCCTTTTGGGTTTCTTTTGTTGGCTGATATGGCAAGTACATGGATATGCCTATTTTATCCACCTCCGAGTCACTAGCAAGAACCCTCCATCATTCTACTTACCAGGATCAGACTGATCGACCAGCAAAGGCCGCAGTTTAGCTTTGCCAAGCCCTATCCTACTTCTCACTGAACGCCTCTCCCAGAGCCTTGATGTCACTTGGTCCAGTTTTACAGCAACCGCCGAAGATGATCTCGTTCCATCCCCTCCTTTTGGCCTCTTTGACGAGGCTAGCCAGATCCTCTGCCCATCGATCATTCTCCTCGGGTTCTCGGAATGCTTGAGTAGACAAATCAAATCCGCCACCTCCGTTGGGATGCAAAACTAGAAACAGTTTCCTATTCCCATGCATCGCCCGTTCAAATTCTTGGAGTAACTCCGGGATATACTTGAGCGCTGTGCAATTGATTCCAATACCATGTGGTACTGGTAGATCGTTGTCGTGGCGTATCATAGCGATGGCCGCTTCGGTAGGGGTATAGCGATCCCCTCCAGGTTGCCGAGTGTCTGGATACTTGCCATTGGGAAACGTTGCGGTGATCCACCAAGGCTTGGGACTGATAGTCTCCTTCATATTGTCCATTGCTTGCCTGATCGCTTCCACCTCTCTCACCAGCGGCACCGTCTCAAACGCAATAAAGTCGACCTTGTCCCATGTCTCTTTATCAGACGTGAATACCCGAAGTCGATCCTCGTGAAAGCGTGTCAATGCCTTCACGGAGTTATTCTTTGCTTCAATGTCATCTCCGAATGAGGTCGTATTTTCCTCTGAGTCACTGTAGGCTCGCGGCCCATACGGAGGAGGGTAAATCCCACCAAAATCTTGCATAGGGGCAAGTACAGCGCCAAAGGGACCAAGGGAGAGTGCGATATGGATTTCCTTCGGACTGACATCAAGGTGTTCCTTACAAAATTGATGTCTGGCTTGGTCCGCTATGTGAACGGCATTACGCATAGACTCAGTAGCGATTTCATGAGAGTATCCTGCGCGCTCGAACGATTCAAATGCAGCCTGGTAGCTGTGGATGACTGGTGCACAACTTGCGACAAAAACACAGCGGAGACACTTACGTCGCTGTGAGGAGGACCCTTGATCCAGCCTCGAGGAACGCAAGATGAGCTTGTTGCAGGGTATTTGGTGCATCAAGGATGATCCGCGCTGACCACAATGGGGTGTGCGAGATTGGGAGATGGAAGTGATCCTCTAGAGTAGTGCCCTGTGACGAGAAATGAGCTTGTTAGTACAAAACAACTTGTATTGTAACTCACGAGTCCTCCATCAGACAATAGTATTGTGTTTTTGAGCATGTTGTGGGTGATAACTTGAAAAAAAGAAGAGATAGCCTTAGACTACGACCTGACACGAAGCGCCGCGATGTTTTCCGATGTCATCATATAACGTTATCGTCATCATAACGTCATCGCAACGTTTCGTCAGCGCACATCATCGACGCCTCGCTTCTGCCATGCACTGTGGGTTAAACCCATGCAGTGTAGACGTCTTATCTAGGTGCTAACAGAACACGTCGATAATGTGCGCTCACTAACCAAGTCATTAAAACTTTACGGACGTTGTAACAGAGCCCGGCAGGGAAATCGCTGTTTGATTCAAGCCATCATCGCCACAGATGCATCACACCAACAAGTACGCACTAACAGGCAACGTGCAAACAATGGACAGTAGAGGCACCAGGAAGTTGGAAGACATTTAAAAGGGAGGCCTGCCAGCGGTAGTACGTGAGCTACTGTGTGGGCGTCTTTCGGAAGATCTCAGACGCCCCGATGTACACAGCTCAGATATCATGGGCTGGAGCGCTCAGGCTGGCTGTCAAACTCACGGTACGCTTCACCACTGGATTTTCGGTTCATCGCGTGCGTGTTCAGCATGATCTCGCTGGATTTTACACTCACTAATTAGCAAGCCTGACAGTGACATGGAGTCACAATCTCGTCTTCTCACCCGGACCCGCTCACGAGTCAGCGTGACTTCAAATATTGGCTTGTCAATCGACCTTGTGAAGCACTGTCGAGCGGCCTTGCAGGAGTGTTCCGTTGATCGATCCAGATTTCTCTCCAACCTCGCAAGGTCCATGACCCTTCACGTCAGAAACGAGGCATATTGTCTGACGTAGATGAGGCCATATCATGTCGATCTCCATCTGGCTGCGCTAGCGCTTCGTTCCCTTAGCCATCGTGGTGTCTCTCAATGAACTTTCCGCCAAACTTTTCAGGAGCGAAGTATTTTGTTTGACTTGGATGAAACCATTAAAGCTCAGTCGAGCTACTGGCACTCCGTACACAGATTCGAGCAGCTGGGCATCCTGCCCGGCCTGGATGGGATCATCGATCTTAATCGAGCTGCGTGAAAACTCTGTTCTTCCGTCCATTTCTTCCGATCGGAGTCTCTCGGCAGCTTGACCATTAGCTTTCCTGGCCTGGACGAGTCCACCAGGCTCAACCGGGTTGCATTAGCGCTTCGTCCCTGGCGATCCTGAACGATACACATATCTCGATAACCTTGCAAGCAGCCTACAAACAATATTTTGGCAGTGGGGCGTTATGTCTGACTTGAATGAGGCCATCGAGCTCAATCGAGCTACACTGGTGTCCTGTCCCCCCGATCATCTTCGTCAATCCATATCTCTCAACGCCCTTGCCATGAGCCTTCATGACAAATTCCAACAGTAGGGCGTCTTGTCTGAGTGAGGCTAACAAACACCATCAAGCTGCACTGGCGCTCTGTACCCCTGGCCATCCTCGTTAATGCAACCACGACCCTTCCTGACCTGGATGACGCCATCGAGCTCAATCGGGCTGCACTGGCACTTGCCACCTAGTAATATTAACCGATTCTCGACAATCTTGCCAACAGAATCCAAACAGGATTCATATTGCGGGGCATGCTGTCTGACCTGATTGAGGCTGTCGAGCTTAATCGGGCTTCATCATCCCAGCCATTCCATCAAGCAAGTCAGATTTCGTCTCCGTATGATCTCAGATGCATTGGATGCATCTCCTGAAGACGAGTCCACAGCTGACCATGTAATGGGATTATGTTGTTTCCCGGTTGGTATCGACGACAACGACTGGACCAACTTCGGCTGCTTTCTGGAGGTGAGAGAACAGTGGAGGCAGGAGAAATCGAGAAAAGTCGAAAAGTCAGGCAACATGCGGATACGGTACAGCTGGGACGCCTCGGTCATCCTTCGTACCCATGACCCTGTTCACGTCGCGCTTGTTGTTCACATAGGTGTCTGGATTTACCACTCGCAGCGCCAAGGTCGTGTGTACTCACGTATGGAGTCCTTGTGTTGGCTATATGTATTTGACACAACGCAAATGTCCAAATTTAAAACATGTACAAGTGAACTGGCTTCATTAATCTACTAGGTTCATACCACGTCTGCGTTCATACATGCATGGTAAAACAAAAGGTGCCTGTAGTACTTTGTCGATGAAATGGTTGCGTTTAATTTATAAAACCTGGCACCGACTATTCATGCTAATCAAGATTAAGAGCCAGCGATGATCATACATAAATATCAACGTCCCATGAACTGATTCATGCTTTTCCTCGGTGTCTCTTCCTATTACCACCATCCACGCCCTCAGATCTGTTCAGCCTATCGAGCAAGGACGACGTTCTTGGTGTGGGATCTCTCGACTCCTCGCCCCGCTCGGCATGTGCTGCAGCGCCTTTAATGCTATAACCGCTCATAGGATGCTTGTCCGGCTCGGACGAATCATCCGCGCGTTTTTTTCCTGCTCCTCCACGTTTTCGCCAGGCCTTCTCCGCATCGCCTGGGATAGGCATCGTCATACGGCTCAGCAACGAAGGTGTCAGTTGTCGTTCCTCTGTCAATTCCGTCTTTGCTCGCTTGATCTGTGGTACTGTTTCTCCAGAGCTCAAGGATCGTTTGGGTAATGCGAGAGAACCAGAGTCGCGAATCTGTATTGCTGGTCGAGAGTTCGATACCGCGCCACTCGTGTTTGTATGCGAAGGTCTTGACATATCTGGTCTCTTCAATAGCGGACGTCCCATTTGAGGTCGAGCCGGGAGGTGAGCAGGGCGCTCATAAAACCCATCCCCGTCGACAGTTGTACTCGAACTTGCTTGCGACATTGACGTTTCGGTTAGTGACTGCTCAAACACAGAAAGAAACAATGGGCGTCAATGGAGAAAGCGGAAAGCGGCCCACTGCGAACCCTGATGAGTACTCGAATTTCATCGCTGTTGTTTCCTGGCCCCAACTGTTGCGCTTGTGCTTGAAATCTGCTTATGGATGTAGCCAAATTAAACGGAACTACCCAGTCTTCACGTTCTTTCCGCTGGAAACACGTTATTTTGCAAACTCGCATGAAAGACCCGACTTACATGTTTGCAAGCTAGAAGGAGGGAGCGCAATGTGTCCCACATAACTGAAGACTCGAGTTTTGTGTCGTGGAGAGCCTAAGTTAATCATTCAGTGGATTGACCATAAAATCATACGGACGACCTACCTCCAACAAATTTGGCGCTCCATCAACGACCTGTCGCCGAAGAAATGAAAATTGTTCATGACTGCAAATTTGAGGGCGAAGACGACTTTCTTCCTCGCATGCTTCAAGTGCCTCCACCAATCGGCCCGCAAGGATAAGTTGCTCCTCGGGAGAAAACCTTTGCAAGACAGGTTTCCCCATCAGATACGTACAATAAAATCGTAACAACACAACAGGAGAAGCAACTCGTTTTTGAATGGCGACGAAGTGCGCCAAAGATATGTAAAAATCAATGGTCTTGATAGATCCCAAGTCGTTCGATTTCACGCTAAGAGAAGACCTTGCCTTGTCGATAAGCACGTGAAGAAGGTCCATTCCGCGCGGAGAGCCTGGTATATAGCAAGGCATCATCAGAAGCAAGTCCTTTATGATAACTTCGACGTCGCGTGTCTCCAGCCTTCTGATAGCCTATCGACGAGTCAGCCTTGCAAAACGATAGAAAGATGCACCAAGTTACCGTCAGAAGTTGGGACACCAGGACGTTTTCTGTATCGGTACCCGGCGTTTTGGTGTATTTCCGAATGATGGCTTCAACTGCATCAACTTTCAAAAAGGCTATCACGAGTGAGCGTAAACGATCACGAATTTGCTGCTCTTCCTCGTCTATCGTGTATTCAGGAGGAATTATTTGATCGCATAAGACTCCTAGAGTGACGCCGGGATCCATGTCGAGATGGTCACAAAGGGCTGTTTTGACAATGGCAACCTCTTCTGGTTCGTCTACGGGGAATGGTCAGAAAAACTTGAAAAAAGCAAGACACATATACGCTCATAATCATTGTTGTAATTTGTGCGTGATATATTTTAAAGTTGCCTTACTTACCGCTTTGAAGAAGTTGCACAAGCACATCCGAATTGCGTTTAACCCACTTGTGTTCAACAGATGAAACGCTTGAGATTGCTCGATATCCTTCAATGCGAACCTGCGGTCGGGGTGTCATGAAAAGAGCACACGAAAACAAAGACACCGCACCCGCGAATCTTGATCCTCGCAAAGATCGTAGACTGCATTGATAGCGTCTTCTTCTAGGTCAGGAAAATTATTGAAAAAGTATCTTATATGATTTGCTGCATAGCACTTGAGCTCGGAATCTGAAGAATGAGCAATTTCTATGAGTTTCGTGAGGGCGTCACGCCGCTAATAAATTGATGTGAGGTTATTCGAGACAGTAAATGGCTGCAAATCTTACCAGTGCACTTCCTCCGTCTTGCTCTTTCTCAGCGTTCTCGACGAGTCGGTGTATTTCCGATTCCTGGTCGTCCATTTGCTCTTGAGTGTGAGCAGGAAGGGTATAACTCGCGGAGGCAACAACGAAGGATGTGGTTATTTCACTCCAAACGGGGAAAGATATTCCCATCAGCCAAATAGGCATTAGTGACTTCTAGTACACATGTTAAGCACGAGTTCAGGATATATGGACACACCTTGTCCTGCACCCTCCCTCTCTTCCTGACCTGTAACGACCCAACATGAACGTGCGCACCAACGACCAGATTCTTCATGATAGAGTTAATCTACCTCGCCTAGTAAAAAGGCTTGAGAAATCCGTGTCCCAGGATGATTGGTCTGATAGTTCACAGCGAGACACCTGGATCAAAGCCCAAGGCACTCTCCAGGTTCGTTCAGAATTATTCGTGGCAAATATAAGATTCCTAGAAGCTGATATTGTCTCAGCGAATCAGACACGCTCGCTTGCTCCTGAAGAATGTCGAGGTTGATGACCATGGGACTTCACCGTACGTGGAATTACTAAGGCAGGCCGTCCGTTTAGGCTCATATTTAATATGCTTCTGTAGAGCCTCAGAACATCGTTATCAACGCTTGCGTGCGACGCTCGATCAAGTCGAAGCGTTTGTAACGGAGGTTGAGCAGGTATGCAGCCCTCACCGTGACACATGTCCCTTTTCTCGGCTCATCTGCCAAACTAGAAAGCAGCCCCTCCACTCAAGAGACCAACACCAATACTGCCATCAATACGTGCGCCTATAACAAAGGCAGCTGACTACGCGACCATACCTGTAGAAGCGACGCTCATCCCTACAGAAGATACAACTCGAAGCGTGCCTAGTGCTGATGACCTCATACCATCTTCGCAGACAGAGTCTTTATCCTCAGAGCCCCTTGCGCCGCCAACTCTTCCTGCAGCATTATCTGTCACTTCCAATATCACTGCTACACCTGCCATACTTCAAAACTCTCGCGCACTACAGGAAGAGCTCTCAGAGCAACTCGCACTAATGGCAACGCAGCTTCGGCGCAATGCTACCCACTTTTCTGAGTCGCTAGTTAAAGACAAGAGCGTTGTCGAATCAATGCAGGAGAAGCTCGAGGGGAACTTCGACTTCATGAAGAAGGAACGAATACGGTTAAGGGACTTCAGGGGAAAAAGTGGAAGTACAACATGTCTAGTGATCACGAGTATACTTGTCGTGCTGGTCGCGTTCATGCTCATGGTTCTCGTTATTCGAGTAACATGACCAATTTTTACAGATCATATCTTTCTTATTCCACGCATCATAGTTTGTCACATATAATTACATATAATCACCAGTTGGTTGCCCTAACGAAGGTTCAACAGTCCAACCTGAGCTCTAGCTGGACTGTCCCAACGAATTATACTCACGATGAAACGTTTTGTCCCACAGAAGCAAGTCCGTCCAACTCATATACATGTTGCACCTGAGCTCCACTGAAACACTAGCTCCTTGATCACGTACTCCGAATCGCTCAAGCGTTCAATATCCGTATATTTCATTCATAACAATGACGATGCAAAGTTCCAAGCTCCATGATAGTGACTAGCTACTTCCAACTTCCTTCTCATAAAATCCAACCGTATGTAAGATACAATATAGAAGATGCACTGAGCAAGGACGAAAAGAGCGAATATTCGAAAGGAATGTGGTGATAGAATGAAGCGAGTGTGGTTAACCGGAGAGAGAATAAATTTCTGAAGGAATGTTGGTAATAGAATGAAACGAGTGTCGTTAGCTGTAGATAAAGGAATGTCGGTAATAGATTGTCATCAGCCATAGAGAGAAGTTGTGTCAAGAATTATATTCAACACTAGAGCACGGAAATAAGGAGTAACGTTAGTAACAGCGACAGATGCGGGGTAAGGGGGACATACATATTCAGATGCTGTCCTAGGTTGCGTTACTAGCAGGAACGATATATCCAGAAACTGACTTGATCATCTCTTGGAGACGGAATTCGTACTTTCCATGCTCAGCATGGGCCCTACTAGCAAGCAATGGTTTGCACCCCTTCTGATGCCGAGTCACAGAATCGGTCCTCGACCACAGCTTCTTGCAATAGGGGCATCGATAGGACGCAGCGAAGTGGACCCCTTCGATGTGACGGCTCAGAAATAGCATCGTCTCTGCGTCCGGGCAACCTTCGAATCGGCAGGGGCTCGGAGTAGTTCTCTTCGTTTCAACCCCATGCCAAAACCACAGGTGGTCTTCGATGCGGATCTTGTCCACCTCTATGAACAGACCACACGGCTGGTCGGTCCAATCGCATGAGCGTACGCAGGTGAACTGTGGCGAGTGGTAGTCAGAGACGTTTCCGGATGCACCGGGGTAGGTATCGTCCAGTTCCATAACCCCAAATCTCCTCGTTCGCAGGGGATCTCCGTTGGGATCATGGGTCCTGCGGCTACTGATGTCGATAGGCTTTGGGTCATGAACAGGCATGGTCATGATCGTGGCACTAGTATCTGCTAGCGTGTACGGACCAAACTTGCCCGGTCCGTTGTCATCGGAGGCGTTCTGGCGTCTGCGCTTGCACATTGATGGTGCAACGGACGAACTCAAATCATTCGCGGTCTGGCGGGTTTTACGCTTACGAGGCCTGGTAGATACTATCTTGTCGAGAGCAAAGGAAGCTGGCGCCACGTTTGAACCCCCACCAGATTCTGTCTGCAATGGAGCATATTGACCTGGGGGCAATGTCGCAATGGTGTAATATGCGTTGGATGGACCCGCAATGGTGGAAGGTTGCTGATAAGGGTAGGAGGGAGCAGGATGATATGCATGCTGGGCCAATGCGTGGCCTTGCGGCGGTGCTGGAACGATCGCAGAGGGTTGCGGATGATACGCACCAGGGGGTCCATTGACATCATATCCAGGATTGTATTCGTGCTGGGACCATACGGTGCCTTGGGGTGCGGCAGAGGGCTGCCTATATGTGTCGGGAGGCCCGTTCATGAAGTATCCAGGGTTGTATTCATGCTGGGACCAAGGATGGCCTTGCGGGGGCACTTGAGGGATGGCAGAGATCTGCGGAGGATAGTAGAGCCCCTGGTCGATGTGGGACAACTGGGGGAGACCTGCCACCGGGGCAGTGAAATTCTCCAATGTCGGAAACAACTCGAAGATCTGAGTATTTTGAACATTTCGTGAATCGGCCCCAGTCCTGGAGAAACAGATGAGCAATGACGAGGACTCAGTTGCGAGTGCACGTACCCTTGTTGCGTCGCTGGTAATTTATCATAGTTTGTCCTGTCGTTGGACGTGAGTTGCTTGGTCCTGGTAGGCTAATTAGATTGGCTTACCCATCAACGTGAGCATCGGCTGGGCCTGCCAGCGTGTCTTCATTAATTACACTATGCATTAATTCATCGCTCTCTTTAAACAATCTGTACGATCGTGAGTTTGAATAAATGATTTAGGTAGAAGCACATACACATTCAAGATGGCGCGCACTTCGGGGGACATCTCACCGCTTTGGCGAGTTGTGATCAACTTGGCCAAGTCTTCTTCGGACAACGGAACGAAGTCAGGATCGCCGGGGAGCGGTACGTGGTCATTTGACATAGGCATAAACTCGCTAAGAACATGATGAGATGAAGCACGTCCTCGAACTCGAAATAGAACACCAACCTATCGAATGGTGTGTGGTGGCACGAGGAACTAGATGCGCAAGGTAGTGTTAGCATATCAAGATATCTACCTGACGTCCGAGTAGACTTACATAGACATATAGATGAATTGAACAAGTGAATTGGCTAAGATGATGAGACACAGTTGGAAAGTAAAGACGAAGATGAGAGAAATAGAGCAGAGAACAACATCAGGTTTTATACCTCTCGACAGTCGGGGCAACGATAGACAAAGGACGACTGTGGTCGTGCATTAAGGCCACCGATTTGACATTATCCCCCGACAACACGTCGGGAAAAGGCAAGCGTCTGTGGACATATTCCTATAGGATATGCACCTGTGGAATTCACTGCTTTGTAGCGCCACGCGTGCATTAGTCCACAAGAACACAAAGATCACTGACCCTTAATAAAATTAGAATGTGACGATCAAGTGAGTACTGGTCCTTCTCCACTAGAGGGCGACATCACATGCGGAGAAGTATAACTCAGATGAGGTCCCAATTATAGGAAAACCGGGGTTCTCGCGAACTCAGAGCATTGTCGCGGCACGCTTGACCACAACCATAAACTTTGGCAGCAGGACCTGCTTGAGACAGTAGCAAGCGAGCTTGAGCATAAGAGGCAGGTTTATATATTATAGCGTAAAGTTGAGCAGTAGAGAAACGGCAGAGACAGAGGTGCGTCACGGGAGAATCACAAAGATCTGAAAGTTGTGATGCGTAGGGTCAGTTGCATTTTGTAAACGTGCAAAGACGCTTACCTTGTGTGTCCACTGCGTCGCGAACCAGCGTAGTCCTTACTTTTGATGCGGTAATTGTAAGGGGTGATATAAGGGAACCATCCAAAGCATCATACCGCAATACTTCTGAGATGGAAGCCATGGTTTCGACCTAGCGCTTACATGGAGATTCCACGAGCTAACTGGCGATAGAAAAGAGGTGACACAGCCCGTAATATTTCCACATGACGCAAGGTGAAGGAATCATTCTATGTGCTAGATGGGAGTCCGTCAACAATTATAATGTGAGGAAAATCATGATACATTACATATGTATCGGTTTGAGATAGCCACATCAACGATACACGCTTGCGATAAATTTTCAGGGCTGCACGCATCACGCGTGGGTTGTATTTGTATCAGATTTCGCCGTAACCCTCAGTTGTGCCAGACCAGGCTAGTGCGGCAGAGGCTGCAGAGTTCAGAAGAGGGCAAGCGTTGTTTTGGTCTGTTGTGCAAAGGCTTTGAGGACTTTCCTTATTCAGAAGCTTTCCACTTTGCAAAACTTGCCTATGCGATTCAAGAATTCGTCGGTCCGAAGTTGTAATCCTCTATCAGAAGGATTGGTCGTTATATCTCGACGATCGCTCTCCTGACCACAAAGAGTCCCCTGCAATCATGAAGGAGTTGGATGATGCGACAGGGATAGATGCACGGGCCCTGGTGGCCTTCCGTCCAGGTATGAGCGGCGCCCGAGAGAAACTACAACGGGCATCGAAGCGCGTCACCACTGTGCAAGAAGACGTTGCGTACTCATCATTTGACATCTTTGCCATCACCCTACCTATCGTTTACGGCGAGAGGAAGCAAGAAGCGCGCTCGGATGGCTCCTGCAGGAGGTCGTGGCCCGGCCAGGCGACATCAACATCACTGTCCTCGACTGGATCGGACAACCTTCCGAGTTCAATAGCTGTCTTCCAGCCCATATCGCCTCTTATAGCACTACTCCACGTACCCTTTCATCCTTGTCCGCAGATCATATTCACACACAAGTCTCTTCGCTGCGACAAACCATGCCTACAGATCTAGCATTGAAGTTTTATGACTAGTTTGAACAGCTGAGCTCCTCGCTTCGCAAACTGCAGACTTTTATTTCGTTCCATATCACGGAAATCAGGCGGAGGCGCGGTCTGGCCCAGGAGACTCTCATCACATATGGAGTCAAGGCAGACGGGCCCCATGGCCTGCTGATCACCACTGAAGAGACCCTAGTTCAGTTCTCGTGGGCAAAGCCCATTCGGCAGACGTTCTTACCTGTCCGTCCATGGGATCGGTATCTCCTCGGGGTACCTGACTTTGCAGAGCAGCGTGACTTCGCATATGACATGGAGAGCATGGAAGGTCGGACAGAGCCTGGGTCCCTGATGGATGAGTCTGACAAGTTACCCGGCGGTTCACCTGTTGAAGAGGAGCCGAGCTCACTGGCGTTGCAGTTGCAGTTTCACCCGAGACAGCCTTTCGACTAGCGCAGTAGCGTGTCGGAGAATACAATAGGGTCGCGTCAGACCATAACATCATTGCACAAGTCAAAAACATTGCTTCGGTTGATAATATGGATATCGGTACCGTAGAAATACTCTGGCTATATAGCAGACTCGTCTCTGACAAGTATTCACTTGTGTTTTGATGACGATACCTACATTGTTACAATATTAGTAGAATACACAGATACCCCATAGCCCATTCAAAGTAGACATTCATTAGGAACCATTTCCGTTTTACAAGCACCGTCATCTTGTAATTACATATAGTCACCAGTTGGTTGCCCTAACGAAGGTTCAACAGTCCAAGTCGCCATCATATTATTATGTCCGACGAAATCCAACACCTGTTACTAACAAATGTCATACGTGTAGTAATCGTAGCAAAACAAAACGTTAATCAGCAATGTCCCGATAGTCAATTAAGTCCTAGAAGGGTCCGAGAGATGAATGTAAGTGTCCTAAATGATGTATATAGTCTACGTTTAATGCGAAAGAATGTCGTCAATGCACTGGTTCAAAAAGTCTTTACGATACGTCAAGTCTGCGCGAGGGAAGCGAGCCGCCATAGCCTCACGAGCTGTCCTAAAGTGAAGTTGGTATTAGGGTGTAGTCAAGTATAGCAGGTCAACGCACTTCTTTGTCACAGCCATCAAGTCTTGTGTACTCAAAAAGTTCCGAAGTGCATTATACAGCTCGTCATCCGAGGGGTTGGGATTCATGTTGGGGCCGGTAAACGCAGTTGTAGCCATAGATAACGTAGATGTCCGTACTCCCCCGTTGAAATTCTGAGGAGGGACACCTAGGCTCTGAGCGGGAGACATGGAGCGGTTGAAGACTCCAGATGTCATTCGCGAGTCAGGCGGCGTCATGGCATACACGCTCCCATGTGGACCCGAATTGGTCGGAGTAAACATGTTGATCCTTTCCTGTGAGGGTCCTCTCCAGTTGGCCATCTGAGGTGGTGGACGGTTGACGTCAGATACGGCACGGGAGCTCGGACGTGAAGGCCCGGGTAGGTTGTGATGCGACGAGTTGCTATGTATCATGTTTGTGTCGCGGTAGTAGTCATGATCTCCTGACTCAGAGCGGCCGTACTCGTAGACAGACGGGCGTTGAGAGCCTGACTGAAGATGCGGCTGAGGGGCGGAGAGATACACAGAGCCTGATTTATGGAAATCGGGAGGCGAGTCATACGACTGCCCGGATTGGTTGTCACCCAACGTTTCAGCCTCATAGTCTGCACGGATTACCATTAGCAGGTAGCACGAGTGAGAATGCATATTGAACGTACCACTAAACTTCTTGTACGGAATCATAGACTCGTTGAACTTCATGTCGTTGCTGTTCGCGATGATCTTCTTGCTTCCACCATCATCGAGTACGATACGAGTGTTACCCCAACCGAACTCATCCATCCGCCAGAATGAATATATGGGCAGGAAGAAACTGTAGATTGGGTACCTGTAACAACAGAAAGTGAGCTATGCATCTGTTACAGAACAATTCAACCCACGAAATGAGATAGACCACCATCCATCCAACAAGCATGAACTCTCTTCTGATAATGAAGATAAGAGCCTGGAAATGACATCGTAAATGATTTCTCTTAATTAGACGACATTACTCACCTGAAGACCATACACCGCTGCCAACATGATTATGGAAATCAGAGGGAACGGAGATTGTCCAGTAGCGACCTCGACAATCAGCCAAGCCAACTAAACGCAACGTTAGCTGGAACGCGGTGAAAAATAACGTGCTGCGGCTCACATAAACAACAGTGGAAGGCAATATCTAATGAAAAAAAAAACATCAGAAATCGTACATTGACGCTTTGAAACGACCTTACCAAAGTACCGATCAGATCGAGAAAGACGAAGAACCTCATTGAGAAACAGCAGATTCCGCAGAGGTCGGGAAGAATAGCAAGCTCGCACAAGTTGTGAATGGTCGAGTTGATCCAACGCCGGCGTTGTGAAAACAATACTCGCCAGGATACCGGCGCCATGGTACGCGCAATTGCGTCCGGAGTGAATTTGGTCTTGAAAGTGGGGAAATGTTTCATTAATAGCGTCGTCAGGAATCGATCTTCGCCGAGGGAGAACAGATTCTTCTTGTGCAGGGTGTCCACGTTATTTTCTGCATATTCGTCAATTACACGGTTGGAGATGATGAGCGGTCGGCCTTTATCATTAGTGCGGATGCGGTAAAGGGTGAAGCAACCAGGAAGACACGAGACTGAGCCAAAAAGACTCTCGAAAGCTTTGGACAAGTTGTGCGATATGTAGTACTCGTATACCTATGGGTATGTTGGCATGAATACACAAAATGTGTAAATTTAAACCACTTGCCTGGATCATGGTCCACCAGGATCCCTCCTCATTCTGGAGTCTCGTTTCACCGCATATGCCGATTATGTTGGAATCTGCTATCGAGGCTGCTACAAGACGGTTAAGAGATTTGGGAGTCACGGACTGCGAAAGGATGTCAGAGCTTCTCGGGGTAACGAGTAATAAAGCGTACCGTGTCTGCATCCACAGTGAAAATATACTCGTAGAACGCAGGGTCAATCCCAATAACATTCCGCATCTGATGATATATCTCGAGCTCTAGCGGGCACATGGGTGCGTTGAAGTGAACCCTGTTCAAATACTGCATCAACATGATCTGACTGTCACGCTTGCCACGATTGCCGGGTTTCGAACGTTCACTTGGCTTCCCGACTTTCACAACGACTATATACCTAAATAAAAGTGTCAGAAATGACTTCATGGTTGCGAGAGGATGACGTACGGAACAACATGACCTTCAAACTCATACAATCCAGAGTATACCTTGCCATAGTTGAGCTTCTGCGAGCCATCTCCGATTGATCTGAACATCAGGGGCTCAGGATCTTTCGCTGGATCGACGCCAAGGATGTCGAGTACAATAGCAGGTGTCGGCCGTTCATTACCGCTCCCGATGATATTCCCATCACAGATGACAAAAATCAGCTTCCTCTTATCGTCGTAGTCCAAATTGGCAAGTGAGTCGAGTGTGCGGCGAAGGGAATCCTCTCCTTCCGTGTAACAAGGGACCTGGCATAACACAAACTTGTCCAGTAACTCAGGGAAGCGCTTGGTCTGGAGTTGGAGTGCGGCAAGGACTATATGGAGTCAATGCAAGCAAAGGTTCAAATAGGAAGAAAACGTACATTTCAACGCCATTGAGGCCATGAGGACACTGGAGAACACAAGCAAAAGGTAGTTCTGCACTTGGCATCTAGGAGTGTACCGGAAGTCTGTCTCTCCATAGTAGAAGGCGTTAGAAAGACAGTCCATATTCGCCGTACGGTTTTCAGCACTCATGGCGGCCAAGACTGTATTCAAAGGGCTAGTGATGTCCTGCCCGGCTTGTTCCTCAAAGACCGCAACGAGGTTCGGGTCAAGGAAGCTGTACGTAGCGACATTCAGGTTGATTGTGTTCAGGGTGTAGAGATAGTCCGTCAAATCATAGATGCTGTTATCGTAAATCGCCCAAGTTCTGTGAAGATAATGAGTGATGTTACTGAGGCAGACTAAGTACGACTTACCGCGGATTCGTTGTTTGATTAGCTTGAGAGTAGATATCGCTTGGCTCCCAAACTAACGGACCAAGGTAATACTGGTTGATCTTTGGTATGAAGGTCGCGGTATACCAGTCCTGGTTGTCGAGAGCTGTGGGAGTCGTCGGAGCATTAGATCCAGAGGAATGCATAGCTGTCGGGTACAAGACTAGAGTGTTGTTCTCGGCAGTAATTTTCATTGTCGGGTCGCTGACAAGACCCGCGCATGCCACATTTAAGGGAGGAGGGAAGTAGTAGGTCATGTCGGTACCAGCGAGCCCCGCCAAGGTGGCCGCACCATTACTTGCCTCTCCCACGATGTCACTGTGGTCACCGAAAACGAAATTGGAGACGTCATAAACCTTGCCTTGAATGGAGACGTAGTAGTCAGTGTTGCCTGTATATTGAGCTACTTCATCTGTCGTCCATGCATACTTGAAGTTCGGGCAGAGAATGACACCGAAAGCGATGATGTAGAATAGGATAAGGCCATTTCCGAAGAGGATGAGGAGGCAGATGGTCACTTTCTCTCGCCATGCAAGGCGGACGTCAGGGCGCTTCATACGTCCTAACCCCGATAACAGGAAATTGGGAATAAACCAGGTGAAGAAATAGACGGTATAAAGCCAGTAACGTCGGGTTCGAGTGGTTGGCAGTTGTTCCTCCAACATTTCAGGAGCATTATCCGCGGCTAGCATGGCAGAACTAGTCACAAGGGGAGGCGCTGTGTCAAAGTTTTCGGGTTTTGTGTCCCACGTCGTGGATTCCGACTGCTCGCGATAACTAGGAGCAGCAACATGAGACGGTGCATAACCATCGAATGCAGGCGTTTTCGGCTCTTGGAATGCTGTGGCATGCGGTTCATCAAAGTATGCTGACTGCCGCTCATCACCAGGGTAGTCTGTGGCATCATCGAGCATGGCGTTCTCGTCCTCTTGCGAATCCTCACGGGCAAGCTTCTTCTGTTCTTTCTCCTCAGAACGCACAACATCTTCTACCATCTTCCATGCCAAGTATGATAGCCAGATCCTCTGGTTCCCAATCGCGAAGTCAATGCCTTCTCTCCAGCCATTAGACTGGGCGCACTGACGCATGCGCTCAGCATCTGATCCGCGCATAGAAGGACGATATCTTTCACAAAACTCTGCCTGATCAAAGTCTGCAACAAACTCAACCTGCTTCCTCGACACAATAGCTGGGAGTAACAGAGACCTAATTTGCCCCTTGACGCGACGCCTGTCGAGGGAGTTAGAGAACCCAGTATCATTGGGGCGAATGCACGTGATAGTCCACATCGGCACATTCTCAATGTTAGACAAGACATTCCAAATCGTCTGATTGAGCTGCGTAGTGACGGGATAGATTTTGGACGGGTTTAGGCGAGGGGTTTCATCAGCACTGTTTCCGAGAGGAGTAAGCATGCGAAGAGGGCGGGAAGAGACTTGAGCTTGGACGATAGTTTCCTCATCGCTCTGGTGCTTTTCCGTAGACAAGCTGGGGCCCGACACGAGCTTCGCGACAAATACATCAGTCGAGCTGCGAAGGAGAGTGACGAAAATAGGGTCGAGCAGGTCCGCGTCCTTCTCCACGAAGTTGCCGATGTCGTATGAACAGGGACCAGCATAGTGGTTGATCCCGAAAGCTCTCCTCCCATCTGTGGCCGGTACTGCAACGAAAGACGCGTGCACACCAAACTTGGCACTCAA